GCTTAAGGCACCCCCCAAAATATATGAAAATGATTGGCCTTTCTTCCCCACGCTTCCTCCAGCATGAAGTATCCCTTCCCATAGAGGATCCAGTTGAAGGCACCTTCAAGATTTTACATTTTCTCCAGTTAATGGATCCATGGAGTCCATTTTAGATTATTCTTCAAAATAGAAGAAAAGCTTTTATTACAAATTGAAGAATGGGAGGACCATTCTTCAATTTGTAATGAAAACTATGTTCTTTTTTTCACTTTTCCTCTACATATTTAACATCAGTGCTTTCCATATCTATCATCTTATACCGTTTTGAAATGACTTGTGATCTTAATAGATAGATAGTTACTTCATTGATCCCCGTCGGACAAATTCAAGTGTCCAGTAGTAGCAAAAAAAAAAAAAAAAAATTATCATTCTAAAATGCTAACAATAGTAATAATCAGCAACAGCCCTTCAGGTCACAGCAGCAGAGATGGAGTAAACACTGGGTGGAGCAGGACGGGTCACAGCAGCAGAGGTGGAGTAGCCTCTGGGTGGAGCAGGACGGGTCACAGCAGCAGAGGTGGAGTAGCCTCTGGGTGGAGCAGGACGGGTCACAGCAGCAGAGGTGGAGTAGCCTCTGGGTGGAGCAGGACAGGTCACAGCAGCAGAGGTGGAGTAGCCTCTGGGTGGAGCAGGACAGGTCACAGCAGCAGAGGTGGAGTAGCCTCTGGGTGGAGCAGGACGGGTCACAACAGCAGAGGTGGAGTAGCCTCTGGGTAGAGCAGGACGGGTCACAGCAGCAAAGGTGGAGTAGCCGCTTGGTTTGGACCATTTGCTCTGCTCTACTTCAAAGTAAAATGCTAAATGCTTCATTAGCATTTTTGAAAAAGTTAGCATTCGTCCTGTGGATTTTCACCTGATCCGCTTGGTTTGGACCATGAATCCTCTCTGCTCTGGTCTGGACCAGTGTAAAACCATGAACACTGTATTGCAACAACATCTCAGGTAGAAAAAAAGCAAGAAAAAAAACAATTGTAAAGCACAAAACAATTCACAAAATAATTCCACTATATATGCGTTTAGGAAAAGTTCAGTTATTTCAGGAGCTAAGATTGCTTGTTATTTCTTTTTGCTCTCGAAATAATGCCTAATCCGTATCATCCAAACTATATTTATTTTCCTGGAAGGTTTTCAGATTCCCCTTTTTGTCAATTAGATGATTATAAAGAAGAAGTCAATTCTCTGACTAAGCTATACCAAGCATCAATCGAAGGGTTATTTAGTTTGTAGCATTGCCAGTTAAAGTAGGAACTAGCTCACTACAAAGAAGTCATCTGAAAACACATTTCTTTTCGCTCACCTCAGTCAAGACTAAAGTGAGGTACTTTTGAAGGTATGGCCGTGGTGTCACATCTTGAGACTCCTCCACGGCTCCAACAATCTGTAAATAACTCATGACTACAGTGTATACTCCACAAGAGACTGATTCGTGACCAAGTGCATTTATAACTCCAGAGTTATATTCTCTTATTTTATGATCTATTATGTTAAATGATAGATACTGTTTGATATGTGCATAACCTGAGTGAGCTTTTACCATGATGACATTGAAACTTCGCCACTGAGGGACATACATTTTGAAAGTCACAGTCTTCAAATAGCTTCAAGTTTGGTCTTGAGTGCCTCTTCTGGGTGCAGGACCACCCGCCATGCGAATAGCTTCTTCCCTCAGGCGGTTATAAGACTGGACACAGCGCCCTGAGATCTGCTTCTCTTTGTGGCTCCTGACTTCATTTCAATGCTATCATGAGTTTTTTTTTATGTGCCTCATTGTGTCTCGCTATTTTTTTTATTCTTTTTGTGTGTGTGTGCTTTGGTATTGGTGCCCCCGGTGTCTCCTGTTTGTTTTCCAATGTAGTTTTTTCTGCAAATGGCAATACATTGATTCTGATGCTGAAAATATAAATTTTATGTCAGTATTTCCCCCACTACCTCTGGAATTCAGAGAGCAGAAAGAAAAATACATCCTTGTAGGCGTGCCCACTCACCTGATGCAAACAATAGTGGCAGGCAAAACAGGGGGAAAAAAGTGCCCAATATCCAAGTTTGATCAAAAGATCTGGAACAATATGACAAACGGGCACTGGACTGTAGTACAATTTGGAGATCTAGGGGGGCTGCCTTCAGGAACCCCAATAATTATGGAGCTATTATTGTTTCAATAATATTTGTGTGTGCGTAAAAAGATTTGTGCGTGCGTAACCAGATTTGTGCGTGCGTAACCAGATTTGTGTGTGCGTAACCAGATTTGTGCGTGCGTAACCAGATTTGTGTGTGCGTAACCAGATTTGTGCGTGCGTAACCAGATTTGTGTGTGTGTAAAAGAAATATTTGTGCGTGTGTAAATAGATTTGTATGTACGTATCAAGATTTGTGTGTGCGTAAAAAGATTTGTGTGTGCGTAGAAAGATTTGTGTGTGTGTAAAGAAAAAAAAAGTACGTTTTACACACAAGTTTTTTTTTGACACACGAATCTTTTGACGCAGTCCTGCCTTCGTAGATTCGCAAGTGTAACTTGGACTGTGTGCGTGCGTAAACAGATTTGTGTGTGTGTAATTTGACATTTGTATCTGTAACAGAACAATCTGTGTGTAAATAACCGCGTTGTACAAAGAGAAGAACGGAAAAAAGCCTAAGTGCTACGCACAGGCTCTGTTTTACACACGAATCTCTTTTTGACACACCTCTGCCGCCAAGCGTGTGTCAAAAAGATTTGTAAGTGTAATGTGGTTGTTCTAGCAGTACACCAGCAGATGGTGCTGTTGTAGCTGGTTATTACCTACACGCAAGCAAACCAACAAGTGTAGATAGAGAAAACCGAAGGATTTAAGAAGAAGAAAAGTTCAGGATGACAAGGAACACTAAAATTCCCACAAAATCCGACCTTTATGAAAGCTGTAGGTTATCTGTCAGCTGTTTTAGTTTACTTTGAGTTCTATGGGGAAAATTTCTGTGTAGCCAACGTGAATTTAGTCTGCAGTACGTGAGAATCCTTCAGCTCCAAGCTAGTAACACCCTATCCAGTTATTATAATAGATCCATGTATCATACAGTGGTGTGAATGACAGGATTTTGAAAATAGGAAAAAAATATCATAAACAGCTGCGGTAGTGTGTCTTGTCAAGGCAGTAGGTTTTGGTTTGCTTGCGTGTAGGTAATAACCAGCTACAACAGCACCATCTGCTGGTGTACTGCTAGAACAACCACATTACACTTACAAATCTTTTTGACACACGCTAAGCGGCAGAGGTGTGTCAAAAAGAGATTCGTGTGTAAAACAGAGCCTGTGCGTAGCACTTAGGCTTTTTTCGTTCTTCTCTTTATACAACGAGGTTATTTACACACAGATTGTTCTGCTACAGATACAAATGTCAAATTACACACACACAAATCTGTTTACGCACGCACACAGTCCAAGTTACACTTGCGAATCTGCGAAGGCAAGACTGCGTCAAAAGATTCGTGTGTAAAAAAAAAACTTGTGTGTAAAACGTACTTTTTTTTTTTCTTTACACACACACAAATCTTTCTACGCACACACAAATCTTTTTACGCACACACAAATCTTTTTACGCACACACAAATCTTGATACGTACATACAAATCTATTTACACATGCACAAATATTTCTTTTACACACACACAAATATGGTTACGCACGCACAAATCTGGTTACGCACACACAAATCTGGGTACGCACACACAAATCTGGTTACGCACGCACAAATCTTTTTACGCACACACAAATATTATTGAAACAATAATAGCTCCATAAATAATCAGATATTACATTTTAATTGCATTCACCGGAAATATTTGACACAGAAGAAGGCCTACCATATGAACTTGGTGGCAGTGCCGCTGTGTACACTGTGCAAAGAGAACCGGATGGTAGTGTGTGCATCTCTGACTGAAGTGCTTGGTCTGACAGTGACTTGTTCTCCTACACTGTTACTACCGAAAGACACTTAAAACATGGACCTAAGCAGAGCACAGACACGCCTCCTCCTGGCAGGAGTCACAGCGGCCAAGATAATGTTGGCCTTTCGCGGGAAACCACCCCACACACTGTCCAGGCATTAGTGGATCAGGACTCTCATGGACATTACAAACATGGCGCTGTCAGTAGCAAGATTCACGGAGAAAAGATGGGAACAATTATGGTGTGGCAAGAACAGTTCAATTAAAGACATAAGTGAATAAGCTGGAAGTTGATGAAACTATGGAAAAAATACATAACGCAATCATTAAATACGTAATGTAATCTAACTAATATACTGTAACTTATACACCTGGTAAAGGGGTTTTTATTTATTTTTTTATTTGTGTTACTTCTTATTTCTATTTATATTTTTTTGTAGGAAGAGTTCTGAGGGTGACTGTTGTAGGCATGTATATGTTTTGCAGTTGAACATACAATCTATTCATATAATAATGTAACAAACTGGATCACATGTACTAATGAATCAGTTATGGGAACAAGAATGGAAAATTAATGAAGAATTAATCATTAAAAAGTATTGCCCCCAGTAAAGTCAGTGTAAATATGGCATGTTGTACTTAATTTTAAAGCTAATCTTGTCAAGAAAACAACCACATCATTTGTTTTTCCATAACCCTAACCCTAACTCTGTTAACATAATCGCTGAACACAGGGAGTAAGTGACAAGTCTGGCCTGGGGGTCGATCTTGTGGCCATTTGATCTGAAGAAGGATGCTCTTGTGTTTGAGCCACGGTGTTATCAGTTTGCATTATAATAAATGTAATGAACAAAATTAATGCAAATGTCCTATAAAATGTGTCAAGTAACTTGCACAAGATCAAGACACATTATTTATTCATTTCTTATCAAGCTTTACATCACGCATAAATAGAAAATACAAAACATGAATGGAACCTCTGATTAGAATCTCACTGTATACAAATGTTCTTATTTAAAGTCAAAGTGCAAGGTGAGCACTCAGCTGCTCCAGGTGAGTCTGAAGCCGGATGGCAGCACAGCAGACTCGGCTTTGAACACAAAGTACAGCTGGTGTGAGGAGGACGTGTACGGAGCAATGTTTGTCTCCTGCAAAACAGCCACAGATAAACATGTAAGAGTTCTCCACGCCTCTAAAACAGACTCTGAACCAACATTATTACATAGAAGCAGTGTTGGGAGTAATGTGTTACAAAGGTAATGTAAACAATGTAATGTATTGCTTTTTTCTATAACGCGGTAATGTAACGCAATGTAAGGCATTCCAACAAACACTGGGTAATATTTTACTCAGTACAAACAAAGGTCTTTAACAAGCAAGATCAGCAGAGGCGGAAAAAATCCTTAACAATAGTATCCACCAAGACGTTTTTTTTTCTGGTAAAAGATGGCTGAAGCTGAAGAAGAAGCAGGCACTACATTGGACAACGGCCATTATTTTGAGTTTGTTGGAGACAAAGATGTGCGGAACAGTTACAGTGCCTTGCGAAAGTATTCGGCACCCTTGAACCTTTCAACATTTCGTCACATTTCAGGCTTCAAACATAAAGATATAACATTTAAATTTTTTGTCATGCATCAACAACAAGTGGGACACAATCGTGAAGTGGAACAAAATTTATTGGATAATTTAAACTTTTTAAAAATAAAAATAAATAAAAATAAAAAACTGAACAGTGGGGCGTGCAATATTATTCGGCCCCTTTACTTTCAGTGCAGCAAACTCAGTCCAGAAGTTCAGTGAGGATCTTTGAATGATCCAATGTTGTCCTAAATGACTGATGATGATAAATAGAATGCACCTGTGTGTAATCAAGTCTCCGTATAAATGCACCTGCTCTTTGATAGTCTCAGGGTTCTGTTTAAAGCGCAGAGAGAACCATGAAGACAAAGGAACACACCAGGCAGGTCCGAGATACTGTTGTGGAGAAGTTTAAAGCCGGATTTGGATACAAAAAGATTTCCCAAGCTTTAAACATCTCAAGGAGCACTGTGCAAGTAATTATATTGAAATGGAAGGAGTATAAGACCACTGCAAAACTCAAACAAGGAGAAGACTGATCAGAGATGCAGCCAAGAGGCCCATGATCACTCTGGATGAACTGCAGATAACTACAGCTGAGGTGGGAGAGTCTGTCCATAGGACAACAATCTGGCGTGCACTGCACAAATCTGGCCTTTATGGAAGAGTGGCAAGAAGAAAGCCATTTCTCAAAGATATCCATAAAAAGTCTCGTTTAAAGTTTGCCACAAGCCACCTGGGAGACACACCAAACATGTGGAAGAAGGTGCTCTGGTCAGATGAAACCAAAATCGAACTTTTTGGCCACAATGCAAAACGATATGTTTGGCGTAAAAGCAACACAGCTCATCACCCTGAACACACCATCCCCACTGTCAAACATGGTGGTGGCAGCATCATGCTTTGGGCCTGCTTTTCTTCAGCAGGGACAGGGAATATGGCTAAAATTGATGGGAAGATGGATGGAGCCAAATACAGGACCATTCTGGAAGAAAACCTGTTGGAGTCTGCAAAAGACCTGAGACTGGGACAGAGATTTATCTTCCAACAGGACAATGATCCAAAACATAAAGCCAAATCTACAATGGAATGGTTCACAAATAGACGTATCCAGGTGTTAGAATGGCCAAGTCAAAGTCCAGACCTGAATCCAATCGAGAATCTGTGGAAAGAGCTGAAGACTGCTGTTCACAAACGCTCTCCATCCAACCTCACTGAGCTTGAGCTGTTTTGCAAGGAAGAATGGGCAAGAATTCCAGTCTCTCGATGTGCAAAACTGATAGAGACATACCCCAAGCGACTTGCAGCTGTAATTGCAGCAAAAGGTGGAGCTACAAAGTATTAGCGCAAGGGGGCCGAATAATATTGCACGCCCCACTTTTCATTTTTTTATTTGTTAAAAAAGTTTAAATTATCCAATAATTTTTGTTCCACTTCACGATTGTGTCCCACTTGTTGCTGATTCTTGACAACAAATGTAATTTTTATATCTTTATGTTTGAAGCCTGAAATGTGGCAAAATGTTGAAAGGTTCAAGGGGCCGAATACTTTCGCAAGGCACTGTATGTGCACTTTCTGTGCAAAACCAAAAGCTCTATCAACCTCGCGCTATAGCATAATAAGCTAGTATAGTGTGTGTGTGTGTGTGTGTGTGTGTGTGTGTGTATATATATATATATACACACGTGAGGTTGTTTGATATTTTTTTGCATGAATATATATATATATATATATATATATATATTTGGTGAAGTTATGCAGTAGTAGTGTAATGCTTAACAATTCAGAGACAGTTATATTGTAGTGTAACACACTACTTTGAAATAAAAGTAACAATACATACTGTATTACGTTTATGAAGTAACTTGCCCAAAACTGTATATAATATATATACACACATGTATATGAGGAAAGCCATGGGATGTGTAATTACACAGCTCTATTTGTTTTAATTTCATTTGCATTTTCGACATTTGAAATACATGGAATAATGTTTGGGTCATGACTTACAGGTCCACAGTACGCTGCCACCAGAGGAGCTGATGTGTCCGCTCCGTTGTACAGCCGCAGATAGTTCCTCTGACACGACCCTTCGTCCTCTATGCTGATCTGAGCAAAGGTGACGGTCACCACCCGGCCTCCAGGCACACTCAGAGCCCACTCACAGTGGGTGCCGTTGGGATAGGTGCCCGGAAAGTTTGGACTGGCAAAGGAACCATGGGATCCAAACAGAGGACCACCGCAGCCTGGAAAACACAGCACAAAAGCAGTTTATGGATGAGCTAACCACAGATCATCCATCTCTGAAGCCCCATGTGGCCATGAACCCCGGAGGCAAATACTGTGATACTGAATACTGTCCTTTAAAGTGATTGTCTGCAGTTTGTCAGGAAAAAAGAGAGAAAGGTACTTTATTTGAAAAAAACGACGCAAGCTCCCTCCCCCTTCCTTTCCGATTGGTCTACACCTACGTTTCCGTAACACATTTAAATGTTAATCAGAGAACACCTTATACATATACATTATTAATACACATGCACGGAAGTTTTCAGAATTATTTGTTAACGTTTTCCTGAAAAAAAATTAGGTTTTAATGCACAAAAAAGGGGATCGCTGCAAACCCGGAAGTAGCTATTTACAAGAATTGAACATTATAGAACACATCTGCAGAGGATCTGATTATGGATATAGGTTCTTTGTTCAGTTTTCATGTTGTTCCAGAGCCTAATGGAGGCTTGATTCTGAGGCTCCGTGAAAACAAACAACTGAGCATGCGAGCAGCTACGAGCATGAGCGCCGATGATTGACAGCCCTTGGCATGACTCGATTGGTTAACGTGGACGGCATCGTGGATTCTGAGCTATAGCTAAGAGAAGGGAAGGCGGGACTTACCCGTAATATTAGAGTTGGTAAAACATTAAAGGCCAGGAGGTCAATTTAATACAATTCTTCAAAATTGTAATTAATTTAGAGTTACAGACTATCACTTTAAAGTTAAAGCCCTGTGTTAACCCCAGCTTAATCCATCTTTTAGTCCTGATTAAGTCCTCATTGAGATCTGGTTTATCCTGGTTCAGAAGTGGATTAGTCCTGTTGTCACCCGTGATGTATATCCTCATAACATAATATCTGTTCATGGTTTGTGAGATGAAGCCTCACTGACCATGGGGCGAGGAGGTCCAGGTGGCCTCGAAGCCGTCCAGGGCATTGGAGTAGTCAGACTTGAGGCGCAGGTAGAGCTGGTTGGACTGAGGGAAGACGGGACTGGGCAAAGTGCTGCCACAGAACTTTCCCAGGAGCGGTGCGCTTGCGGAGCTACCGTTACGCACCTGCAACACACAACACACAACTGTGATACACAATGCACAATGTTCCCTACAGATTTGAAAGAGATTGTGGTTGTATAGAGTGACCCCCAAGCAGTGGAGAATTATACAACTACCCTTGGGCCCATATTACCACCCTCCCCTCACAGCCTCTAAGTTACTGTGCCGACATGTTAGAGCTGATTTTAGACTTGTTGTGGTAAAGCAGGTATTTCTGTGACCTGTGTCCTGAGTCCGAGCTCCTCTATGGCCCTCTGCTCTGATCTGAGTGTAACATGATGAGAGAACACTGCAGGTGCTTTGTGCTCTACAAATACAAGTTGGTTGAGTTGAATTTGTATATTTTCTGCTTATTTAAGCATCACTTTATGCCTAATTCTACCCCAATGCATATTTAAGACAAATGAGAATATTCAGCAATTCTAATGGAAAATATATATTTTCATTTTCAATTAATGAAAAAAATTATCAATAGATTAATTGAATCGAGTTTTTCAATTGCGTCTCTCTGCTCACTATGAACAGATATACATTTCTACAGTAAAAATAAATATTATATCTAAAATAAATATTGATCGAAAAACGATGTCATGAAAATAAAGATTTGTCCCCTGAGCACTGAGTCCCTGAATCTAAGCCTCTGCTGAAATCCAAATTTTTATAACCCACATTTCATCCTTCTAAGGTCAAATAGATCCTATGTTTCCTTTGGGCACTGCACATAGTAAGTTTGCAAACAAATAAAGGGTTTTCTAGTATGATGAAGACCGAATGTTGTGGTATGATCAGTTCAGTACCCCATCTTTAAACCATTGGACAGAGGCCTTTACACACATCTGTACTGGGGGGGGAAAGAAATTGATAGAAAAAATCGGAATTGGTCGTTCCCTGTTGTTTATAAACTTAAATTAAAAGAAATACAGATATATTTACCATTATATAATATATAGTCAATGGGAAAATTGAGAAAATAGTTTTTATATACCATGTTTTTTTGGTCATCATCCTTAAATATCAAGTAGAGGCCGTTATGTTTAGACCAGTGGGGGCGGGTCCCGGCTCAAAAGTGGCAAAATGACGGGCGCTGACATGCTGCAATACCACACCGGGCCAGAGGGGCTGGACCCAGACAGGGAATTATTCAATGCAAATGTACGTATCCTCTGACCTCTCAAAAACGTCTTTACAGGATGGTCCAAAAGTTGGATCTTGGCCCAAAGCTCCGTTCCACATGTGTGTCAATGCTGAGGGGAGTGGATTTTTTTGAACCAGTCTAGATTAGACGCTGTGAATTTTTGAAGGCACTCTTTAAATGAATGGGGCTCGTGCGGCTGACGCATGCACAGATGCGTTGTTTCACAATATTCTTGTGGGCGGGACCACTCGCGGCCATCTTGGATAGATCCATGAGAGCACTATTTTTGGCCCACTCCTTTGAACGGCGGAGATAGGCGTGACTACGTCCGTTAATAAATACAGTCTATGGTTTGGACTGACATTTGTCAAAACAACATGAAAACTTTTCTGACAAGAGGACTTACAAGATCTGGACATTCTGGATTTTTCAGGCAATTGCTGCACTGCACTCAGCTCCAATTTGGCACTTGACTCTGCATATAGTTGTTTCTCTTCAACTATTAATGAACTACAAAAGGTTTTGAAAAGTGAATCTAATCTATCCATCATCATCACTGGAATATGAAACAGTAGTGACAGGTCATTCCCACAGGTGTATTGAGGGGCTGGATCCTCTGTACCTCCACATAGTCAAAGTTGCAGCTGGAATGACTCTCCATGTTGAAGCTGTTGAAGAAGAAGGAGATGGTGTGATTGGGCGGAGCACGCAGGATGATAGTGCAGTCCATGTTGTGTGGGTAAATGTCAGGCCAGCCAGGGGTCTTCAGGTGTCCGTACTGCTGCTCATAGGTCCTGCTGCAGCCTGAACACATGGGGGAAACACACTGCATCATTAGCTTTCTAACCACAACAAAGAGAAAAAACACCTGGAGTTGTTTTAGCTCATATTAAAGACTTATGGCACAAAGAGGTCCCCCAGGTCTCAAACATGGACATCAGTGTGGCCCCCACTGAGAGTCTGGGCTCAAGTAACATGTTTGTCATTTTAAATCTAGTTTTATCAAGAGAACAAACATGCAATCTATATCATCCGAAACATTGAGCACTCAACGTAATTAGTATTAATTCAATGTAACCTTTTTTCAGCCCAGCCACTTATTATACATTATGTTGCCTTCATTGTCTTTTGTCATGGTTTATTTTAATCCAAGTAGCTGTAATGGAGTTCATAGAAATATATATAAAACAATGTACTGTAACATCATATTCATTCAATAAAAGTAAGCATTAGGTCAAGTTGCAAATGCAAATTATGAGCTATAAACACGCTTTCCACAAGTGGTTTCCTCTTTCTTCCTCTTTCAAGCACTTTCTTCTTTTCCTTCTATTATTAAAGAATGAAAAGATGATGACGTGGGCAGTCCCTCCTGTGGGCCCACCACCTGCAGAGGGGTCCGTGGTGGCGAGGTGCAGAGAGGACTGGGCAGCAGTCGAAGGCGGAGACCTCGACGACCCAGTCCACACACCCAACATTTCGGACACTCGGGTGAAGAGAGGGGCGGAGCTGTCAACCGATCATCACCTGGTCGTGAGTTGGATCCGCTGGCAGGGCAGGAGGCCGGTCAGACCTGGCAGGCCCAAGCGTGTAGTGAGGGTCTGCTGGGAACGTCTCGCTGAGCCCCCTGTCAGACGGACTTTCAACTCACACCTCCGGGAGAGCTTCTCCCAGGTCCCGGCAGAGGAGGGGGACATCGAGTCCGAGTGGACCATGTTCTCTTCCTCTATCGCCAATGCAGCGGCTCGTAGCTGTGGTCGCAAGGTCTCTGGTGCTGGTCCCGGCGGCAATCCCCGAACCCGGTGGTGGACACCGGCAGTAAGGGATGCCGTCAGGCTGAAGAAGGAGTCCTATCGAGCCATGATGGTTCGTGGGACTCCTGAGGCAGCTGTCCAGTACCGGCAGGCCAAACGTGCCGCGGCCCGGGCTGTTGCAGAGGCAAAAACCCGGGACTGGGAGGAGTTCGGAGAGTCCATGGAGCATGACTATCGGTCGGCCTCGAAGAGGTTCTGGCAAACCGTCCGGCGCCTCAGGAGGGGGAAGCAGTTCTTTGCCAACACCGTGTATGGTGCGGGTGGAGGGCTGCTGACCTCGACTGGGGATATTGTCGGGCGGTGGAAGGAATACTTCGAGGTTCTCCTCAATCCCCCCGTCACGTCCTCCGTCCAGGAGGCAGAGGCTGAGGATGTTGGGGCGGATACTTCCATCTCCCTGGCCGAGGTCACCAAGGTGGTTGGCAGCCTCCATGGTGGCAAGGCGCCGGGAGTGGATGAGATCCGTCCTGACTATCTAAAGTCTCTGGATGTTGTAGGACTGTCTTGGCTGACACGTCTCTGCAACATCGCGTGGCGATCGGGGGCGGTGCCAATGGAGTGGCAGACCGGGGTGGTGGTCCCTCTCTACAAGAAGGGGGACCGGAGGGTGTGTTCCAATTATCGTGGGATCACACTCCTCAGCCTCCCCGGTAAGGTCTACTCCAAGGTACTGGAGAGGAGGCTACGTCCGATGGTCAAATCTCGGATTCAGGAGGAGCAGTGTGGTTTTCGTCCCGGTCGCGGAACACTGGACCAGCTCTATACTCTCCATCGGATACTCGAGGGTTCATGGGAGTTCGCCCAACCTGTCCACATGTGCTTTGTGGATTTGGAGAAGGCGTTCGACCGTGTTCCCCGGGGTGTCCTTTGGGGGGTCTGTTCGGTCCCTGTATGACCGGAGCCAGAGCTGTGTCCGCATTGCCGGCAGTAAGTCAGACCTGTTCCCGGTGCATGTTGGCCTCCGCCAAGGCTGCCCTTTGTCACCGGTTCTGTTCACTGTATTTATGGACAGAATCTCTAGGCGCAGCCAGGGGCCGGAGGGGGTCCGGTTAGGGAACCACAGGATTTCATCTCTACTTTTTGCGGATGATGTCGTCCTGCTGGCTCCAACGAACCAGGACCTGCAACATGCACTGGGACGGTTTGCAGCCGAGTGTGAAGCGGCTGGGATGAGAATCAGCACCTCCAAATCCGAGGCCATGGTGCTCGACCGGAAAAAGGTGCCTTGCCCTCTTCAGGTGGGTGGAGAGGTCCTTCCTCAAGTGGAGGAGTTCAAGTATCTCGGGGTCTTGTTCACGAGTGAGGGGAGGATGGAGCGTGAGATTGACAGGCGGATCGGTGCAGCGTGCGCCGTGATGCGGTCTCTGTATCGGACCGTTGTGGTAAAGAGGGAGCTGAGCCGAAAGGCAAAGCTCTCGATTTACCGGTCAATCTTCGTTCCCTCCCTCGCCTATGGTCATGAGCTGTGGGTAATGACCGAAAGAACGAGATCGCGGATACAAGCGGTCGAAATGAGCTTCCTCCGCAGAGTGGCTGGGCGCTCCCTTAGAGATAGGGTGAGGAGCTCAGTCACACGGGAGGAGCTCGGAGTAGAGCCGCTGCTTCTCCACGTCGAGAGGAACCAGTTGAGGTGGCTCGGGCATCTGTTCAGGATGCCTCCTGGACGCCTTCCTGGGGAGGTGTTCCGGGCACGTCCCACCGGGAGGAGGCCCAGGGGAAGACCCAGGACACGCTGGAGAGACTATGTCTCTCAGCTGGCCTGGGAACGCCTTGGGGTCCCCCCGGACGAGCTGGAGGAGGTGTGTGTGGATAGGGAAGTCTGGGCGTCTCTGCTTAGACTGCTGCCCCCGCGACCCGGCAACGGATAAAGCGTAAGAAAATGGATGGATGGATGTTGTGTATCGATACTAGTTTTTCAGATATGGACTGACCTGCGATCTGGTAGGTGAAGCTGAGGCCATTGCCTGTCATGTAGGCGTCTGATTTAAAGTGGACATGGACGGTTCTTCCCACACTGTAGAAGTCCACCGGGTGCACATCCTCGGCACAGAACTTATTAGACTGACCGTAGTCTCCCTGGAACAAAACAGAACTTAATACCCATGGCACACAAGATTCTCAAATGTAGTCTTATTCTGATCCGAGAAGCAGTCAAACTAGATAGTCTATGCACATTTTATCCAAACCTTTTTATTCAAACAGCATACTTTTGTCACTGGGAATGAATTATTGTAGTGGCGCAAATTGGAGCTGAGGAATACCCATGTTGCAGTGTGGCTTCAAATCATTACAAACAGCACAACAGCATGGAAACCCTGGTCATGGTGCAGTGATACTCACAGGAGGCCAGTCCCTCATCTCCAGGTAGTTGTTGGTGCAGCTCTGACTGGGCTGGAGCACAAAGATCTGCACAGCCACATGCACGCTCTCCTGTGGTGGGGCGTCCAGAACCCAGCGACAGGACGTGAATGGGGGGTAAGGCTGAGGGAAGGAGGGTGAGCTCAAGGTCTGCACGGCTGTGGTGGCATTCAGGATCCCTCCACAGACCACTGGTGAAAAACAGCAAAAGATACTTTAAGAGACAAGATGCTACAAACGCAAACTGCATCTGAGTACGGAGAGCATCAGCATCCCTCCACCAGGGGGCAGTGTGTCATCTGCATCTGACCAGTAGGAGTTTCGCCCAGGGACACATCTCCAGGTGGTGCATGTTCATGGTGGAGGGGAGTTCTATGTAAAAGAACATCAAACTCTTTTGCACATTAAGCCGTCTATTAATCAATAAAGACGGAAATAATCAAATAATTCGACTGAAAATTGACAATGCTGGTGCACAATGAGATGGACATTTCTCAAGTGGAGCTTGCAGGGCCTTTGATGTGAGCATGTTTACGCAATAAGTAGTTTCATATCAATAGCAAGAATTCAAATGTACTAAAGGTATTTCCATGATTGAAAATGAACTACGCTTTTATTATTTGCAGCAGATTGGAAGAGCAGAGCGGCAGACTCACACGGCACAGTTGTGTAGGTGGCGTTGAACCCGCGTTTCTGCACTGAGCTGTCCGTCTTGAACTCCACGGTCAGGAAGTTCCCGCTGGACACAAAGAAGGAGGGGAGAGTGGTCCCACACAGTGTGCCCACCAGGGGCCAGTGACTGCTGTCCCCATCATAGATCTGAGACGACAAGCGCACAATGTGTCAATGACAGTGTGAAAAGTACATTTGAATTCTTAGTTACATTATCATTATAATGAATATTTAATGCATTGTCTTTAAGCTAACTGTGTTGTTATGGTAGGAAATATGCTTAGACTAGAAACCTTTATAGGCTAAAACGTTTGAACTGTGTCAACAGACTAATAGTTTAGGCAATATAGAATCTTTTATGTGCACATAATGTGAATGTGTTTAGGTTTGTCAATAAAACTCTGTCCCATTGTAACAGAGAGCAGTGGTCTCACAATGACAGGGCAAGCTTTGCCCTGCTGCTGCGAAACTTGCTCAAGTAAAAATATAACCTCTGTTGGATTTGTTTTTGTCCAAGTACTGTAGTTTGAACCAGTTTTAATAGAACATTTACAAATTTTACAAAACAGAAACTGCTTTCTAGTTATTAATGCATACATTTAGACACCAAACAGTCTGTATTCCAATTATAGTTGCTAAATTCTTTGGCGGCCACTGTTCTATACTATTCTAAATAGTATGGTGAATAGATAGCTATGGCCTACGCAGGTGGACAAATGCAAGACAAAATATCTGGCCCTCACAGTCAGAAGGACTCCATTGTGTATTTGTGTTATGACTCTAAACATGTTCTGATTGTCTCTTGATGCGACACGTATGCCTTTCTATGTGTGACGTATCTGTGACGTAACAATGACTATATAAACCATGTCCTGACTTTGTTCTGTCTGAAAAAAACTCACAGACAGACGTAAAAGTCATAGCTCACAGTTGGAGAAGCCTTTGTGTTTTCTCTGTTTATCGTGGTTTACTAAGTTCAAACATATTTTCTTTACAATCAACATGTCTACAGTTGAGAGGATGGGTCATAAATTGTGTTTCTGAAAATAAATATGGGTCTTTATTGCGCTCAACCACGCCTTGTAATGTCAGCAGTTGAGGCGAGCCTCAGGGTAGGGAGCACTTGTGAGCCCAGAATTCGGTTGCAATTCCATCAGAAAGCTCCTTTCTTGTTCTTTTTCTGTTGAGGGCAGCTACAGGTTTGGCTAAAATACATATGATACATCTTAAGATGATTTAATATGCACGTAGGGTAATGGTATGCTTCCAATTACGATAGGAATTATAATGAAACTTTCTTGAGGTGAAGGGTAAGAAAGGTTCATTTTAGAAAGAGGATGCACCTGAGAGTTGGCTGCAGCTAGCAAAACACGTCTAGGAGACAACCGTTTTGTTTTACTTTGTTTACTCAATGGACTTATTTACAAATGGAGGTTACATATATACGCTCAAACTATTAGCTGGACATAAAAGTTAAACTGGTCCGAACTGAAGTGGTGTATGGAGTTCATGTATAAGGTGAGACCCAAAACACACTTTTAAATAGTCTTTTTACATACTTTGTACAGGCAAATAATTTGGACATGAAACATTTTCTGCTGTTGCCAAACAAATTGTGAATAAGCCGCTTTTTAGGTCCTGTTGATGTATGATGTACAGTATATGTTCATCTGATTGGGGTGAAGTCAGTGCCTCACCAATCACCAACCTCACCGTATGTCACTGCTTCTATTAGTTTGCACAATGTTATATTTAGCTTGAAATCTGGCAGAATTAAATGTACAACTACTACTACTAGATGGGAATGTTGCTCATTCTCTTACTTATTGTTCATGTGTATCCATATATGGATAAACTATATACCTACAGCATATTCCAAAATATGAATTGGCATTGCCAAATGAGCCTTCTTAAGATCATGTTAAAGGACCAAATGAGGATATAAAACGCTGAATATAATAGTTTAAAGCAGTTTGGGGACCTTGACGTAGTCGTAGCGGCAGGAGGAAGAGCTCTCCAGGTCGAAGGAGCTGAAACTCAGGTTGATGGCTTGGTTGACAGGCATGTCGATGATCCAGGTGCAGTCCAGGAGGGGCTCATAGCGGCCGTCCAGGTCCACATCAGGAGAGCCCAGCATCCCCATGGGCATGGACAGGTACCCCCCACAGCCCTGAGCTGGCCCTGCAGACACGCCACACTCAGACAGGAATCACTCAACTATTCCACAGAAAAATCTATCACCAGCTATGAGGAGAAGACATGTGAACACCCACATCCTATTGTCAGGATCCAACAGCAACAACACCAAGACAATGGTGACATTTTTTACAGTTTTAAAATACTTTAAAACTTATTTATTTATTTATTGTTTATTTGTTTGGGACAGTACATGTTAATGAACACATCACTCCGGATTGTAGCCATGGGGTAGTTTCCATCCGTTGTCTCACATTCGCACTCACAAACACACACTCATTCACCCTGAACTATTGCACATGTTTTTAGTGGTAGGGGAAACCGGAGTACCCGGAGGAAACCTACGCTGACACAGGGAGAACATGCAAAATCCTTGAGGTGAAGGGTAAGAAAGGTTCATTTTAGAAAGAGGATGCACCTGAGAGTTGGCTGCAGCTAGCAAAACACGTCTAGGAGACAACCGTTTTGTTTTACTTTGTTTACTCAATGGACTTATTTACAAATGGAGGTTACATATATACGCTCAAACTATTAGCTGGATATAAAAGTTAAACTGGTCCGAACTGAAGTGGTGTATGGAGTTCATGTATAAGGTAAGACCCAAAACACACTTTTAAATTGTATTTTTACATACTTTGTACGGGCAAATAATTTGGACATGAAACTCATTCACCCTGAACTATTGCACATGTTTTTAGTGGTAGGGGAAACCGGAGTACCTGGAGGAAACTTACGCTGACACAGGGAGAACATGCAAAATCCACTCAGAAAGGTCCTGTTCCAACCTGGGATTCCAACCCTGAACCTTCTTGCTGGGATGCGAAAGTGCTATCCACTCAGCCACCGTGCCACTGTTTATATAATGTTTATACTGTTTATAGTTTTTGTTTTCACTTTGAGGGTTTCTGAAGTACTGGAAAATGTCCCTGATCTAAGTGTGAGCGAGCTTGCACCTCCACATAGTAGTATTACAGCAAATGCTCCTCAGTTTGGTTTTAACTTTTTATTACCAATAATGCAGCGCTCAATCACAGTTTACTAATGTTCAAACCACATTTATGTGTTTAAGATCTGAAACAATTAAAAGACAGATAATGTCACAGCACAACTTCCTTGTTTTATATCTTCCTCTGCATTGACAAGTGTCTTAGCAGCTCCAAGTCCACATGCTCCATTATTGTATAAGACCATATCATTAAAAGCTCTATTAGAAGGCTCCAGATACAGACCGCTGGTTCATCTGATATGGTCCTCCTTCAGTCTTGGTTTAGTTAGCAGTGTGCACTACTGCTGAGGGAGACTTTAGGCGCACACTGTAGTTGTCATTCATCAATGTATAAACCTGTCTGATCCTATTGTGTTACAGTACAGACCAAAAGTTTGGACACACTTTCTCATTCAATGAGTTTTGTTTCTTTTCATGACTATTGACTGTAGATTCACACCCAGGCTGTGTAAGGGCTCTTTGACCAATAAGGAGAGTGGTGGGGTGCTGGGCCAGATGACCTGGCCTCCACAGTCACCGGACCTGAACCCAATCCAGATGGTTTTGAGGTGAGCTGGACCTCAGAGTGAAGGCGAAAGGTCCAAAAAGTGCTAAGCATCTCTGGGAAGTCCTTCAAGACTGTTGAAGACCCATTTCAGGTCACTAACTCTTGAAGCTCATCAAGAGAATGCCAAGAGTGTGTGAAGCAGTAATGAGAGCAAAAGGTGCTACTTTGAAAAACCTAGAATATAAGACAATATTTCAGTTGTTTCATACTTTTTTTTTTAGTACATACATAATTCCACATGAGTTAATTCATAGTTTTGATGCTTTCAGTGTGAATCTACAATTTTCATAGTCATGAAAATAAAATAAAAACTCTATGAATGAGAAGGTGTGTCCAAACTTTTGGTCTGTACTGTATATTATAGCTAGTATGTTAATCCTCGTGCTGTAGGTCCGGTGCTCGCATGGTATAACTGATTTGAACAAAAACACCTCCTTTCCCATCATGCAGGGCAGCTCCAGGTTTAGTCAGCTTTGTGCTGACATTCTGACTTTTGCCAGACGGTAGGGCCCGTAGTTTCTTTAAAATGTAGGGTAACTAAGGATAATGTATCCAATAAAATATGTATGATGCATAGAGATGAGTAGAGTAGGGCTGTTACTCGTGTCTTTATTGTGAAAGCGATGCATGAGATGCAGTGGGCAGGTGAGAACCCATTACCCAGAGTCTGGCTGTAGGCGGCGCTCCAGCCTTCCTTGCTGACAGAGCTGTCCGTCCTGAACACCAGGTAGAGATGTTTGGTGGTGGAGCGGAGGCGGGGGGGCAGCTGTGAGCCACAGAAGGTCCCCAGCAGAGGAGCCCAGGTGTCTGGGCCGTCGTACACTGCCAGGTAGTCAAAGCGGCAGGACGAGGACGCCTCCAGGTCGAAGCGGTTAAACCTCCATACACACACAAAATTAGACTTCAGGTCATTGACCTGATGAAACCCGTTTGGACTGGTTTCAGAAACAAGACCAACAGGTATCATCAGAGATTGGTGTGAAAGGAGCAGTGAGGAAAGTCCTATTATTTGTAGAAGAGTCACTAGCGATGTACAATACTGGGATTGTAACCGATACCGAGGAATTGGTATTGATGAATACTGTTTAAACTGCATATCACAGGTTGCACATCACTCCTTGTTGTTCAATACACACACACACACAACGGGAAAGGGATCACAATGAGGATTTGTGGAACGTGAATAAACCGTTTATAATTCACCAACAGAAACACTAGCATTCAAGTTTAAACAACAAAAATCTCATTATCCTGCAGTCATGCCCATGTGAAGTGGTTTATAAACCCTACAACAGCTCTGTCCTTGCGCCTACAAACACTACTTTTTGTTTCTCTGTCCCCAAAGACTATTGTATCAGATACATTAGAGCAGGGGTCACCAACCCTATTCCTCAGGACTCACTTCAAGAAAGTCCTGAGAAATGCCTAGTGCACAGGTGGTGGAAGAGCTGGCTGCCCGTCGCATTGCGCTCTCTGAAATTTCTTCACTGTGAGACTAATAAAGGTTCATCTTATCTTAAATGCGTCTCGTCATATGAATGTTTTCGTACATGTGAGCAGCTTGACGGGTTGAGATTTGGGCTTACTTGAGGTCGATAATGCGGTTGTCTTGAACCATGATGTGGTAGGAGCAGTTGATGTTGTGGAGGTAGTCAGTGAGCGAGTGGGCCGGACTGCTGAGGCTGCCCGACGAGCTGTTGAAGAACCCTCCACATTCTGAAACACACAGGAGTTTTGACACACTATGGGGAGGCGTTGTAGTGCCATATGACTGCTGTTATGTAGAACAATAAATAAGCACTGTAAAACATTTATAAAGTGCATTCCAAAAAAATAATAATTCAACACAGTTTTATTGACTTGTGTCTTGAATTGCTCTTTGTGCGTTTACAAAGCACAAGTGAAAACCGAATCCCTCGCCGACCCCAATTTAGTTTGATTGAACGAGACTAGTGTGCTCTGAGTGAACAATATGGATTTCAATCTGGAAAGATTGAAGACACAACATGCATTTGAATGTTTAATTCATTAACTGTTTGGCACCCAAGGCACCGGTAGCGGCACTTGGTCTGCGAAAGCTCCTTGATTGTGTGCACTTAAGATCCCCTGGGACCTAGGTAATGGTGGTGGCGTCCAAGCAAGCGGGGGAGAGAGGAGGTGGTGGTTGCGGGGCTTGAAAGGGCTGTGGTATGGGAGTTTCCGCTTTTATGCTGCTGGCTTGGCAGGCATAGGTCGGCGGGGAATAGGCTTTGCTGTGAGATAAGCGAAAGGTAAGAAGGCCGGCCTGGATAGGATGGGCTGCGGCAGGTAGTCTACCAAAGATTGAATTTCCGCAGGCTGCATTTCTACTGCATGTCACCAGTAATCATGTAACCTGGTTACGACTGAGAAGGATAATGTTTTGTTTTTGGAGTCAAAAGGAGTCAGGAGTCACCAGCAGGAAACATGGTGTGTTTATTTTTATATACAGCACCAGGACAGACTCAACACTCTACAAATTCAACATTAAAGATGCTTTTAGAGCTAAACTTCTCCCACCACTGGCCAACTCAGACCATGCTTCTGCCTTATGTCAACATACAAAACTGTAACCTATGTTGAAACACGTTAATAAATGTCCCTAAATGTCCTGAATCATCACCACTGTCCTTAGATCCTCCTGCGTCTGCAAGGAACAACTCCAAAAACCCAGTGGGAAAAAGTGAGAAACCTGCGGGAGGTCCACAATGAGGGAGGGATACACTCCCACGGACTGACGAGCAATAGATCTAGGAACTGCCAGTGCTGCCCTGCACTGTTTTGGAATTAACTTGGAATTAAATGACGCCATAGAGACCATCACTGATTACTTGCGTGTGGACTCCCTAAAAAGGACATTGTGCATTTTCCAAACAATAAGGGTTACATCACAAGAGAGGTGAAAGCCAACATCAATCATCAGCTAACAATATCAGTCAAGCTGCGTATGGAGTCAGTTTTGTGGGAGAAGTATGGTAACTTGAGTATTATCCTCTCCTTCTTCCTACTCTGCATTATGACTGTAGTCTGTTCATTGCTATTCACCTGTTGTCCCATTGTCTGTTTCATGGTACGACGATGGGACGCCTGAACCCGGCCCCCTCCATCTACACATGTGGACTGCCCACCCCCTCTCCGCCTGGGAGTTGCTTCAGTCCTGCACCACAGTTGTCCTCGTTCAGGGGCCGCTGCGTGGCCTTGGTCCACGTTCTGTAGCTTAGGTCCTGGATCTATTGCCTGTTCATCCGTGTGGAGCAAATTCCTCTCTCAATGTCAACCTCCCTGAGGTTTCTCACTTCTCTCCCACTAGGTTTTAGAGTCTTTCCTTGCAGGAGGGTCTGTTAGACTGTTAGTGTCTAACAGGAAGGACTGTGGTGATGATCCAGAACATTTTAACATTCTACAACATGTATGGACATTGGTCAACTCCCCCCTATGGACCAATTCATATGTGTTATATATTTTTTGATTCTCTGATCTGTGTTGGCGTTCAACGGTTTTTTTAAGTCCTCTAAGATGACTACTGTTGTGATTTAGGGCTATACAGGAATACATTGAATTGAATTGAATAAAAAGCCACTTGTTTTTAGGGACAAGGGCAGAGTAGCTGCTGCCGCAGCTCAGAAGGAGCTCAATGTGTGTTGTGTACAGAAAAAACAAAGAGATCTCCTCAGGTGAAAAACGACAGCTTCGTTTTATTGCAGGAATGATTGTTCCTGGCTCTCAGATCGCAACTGAGCATGTCATAACTGTGTCTGACACCAAAGCGCCATCTATTGGTGCGGTGGTGACACAGTACACCCATTTTTACATTGTACTCTGGGTTCCAAACACCACAATGTGGTACTCGCAAAGGCGAGGAAAAGGGAAGGGAAGAGCGCTTGGAAGGGAGCTTTGACTCTATGGACAACAAAAAAACTTTGGGACTCAACGAAGAAAAACGTAGGAAGAAAAGAATATCCCACCCTGCAGTCAATTTTTGACATTTCTGTAGTTGCACAGACTAAAAGCATAATCAAACATCCCATTTACTGCACAGTGAATATGAGCGTATACCCTCAGGGAGCCACTCTTTTTTTCTGTTAGGCACCAAAGGTACAAATTAAACATGTTCTTTTGTTCCTGCATCTATTACTCCCTCGTTCAGGCATGTGCCATGTTCCATCACTGTTAGTGTTTCCAATTGCACACGCACTTTGTATGGGCATGTGCAATGTACTTTCTTAATCTGCATCATAGAACTATGGACATTGTATGTACCTAGTTGTTTGTAGTGTAAATGCTGTGTTTTAACTGCAGTCTTTCACTGGTATGTTGATTTGTATCCTTGCACTAATAGCAATATTATGGCATGTTCTTGTGTAGATGTTGTACAGACGAGCCGACTGTCTTGATGGTGAGAGTGTCTTGTGTGTTTGCGTCCAACAAAGATGTGATCCTAAGATAAATTTACCTTTGGGGACAATAAACTTGAACCTTGTTGATGTGGTGTTGTGGGAATCCACTCTCTGTTTGTGGACATTCTCTTTACCAACAATATGAAGGCCTCCTGGTGAGGCGTGGCATGAGGAGCCTCCCTCTCTCCACCATTGTGTTTATGTACGGTTTCTTTTCTGTCGTCTCTGTATTTATCTTTAATATCTTTTGGGTTTTTCCCTATGGATTGACAGGGCATGGGTTTAATCAACCAGGACGTTCTTTGTTCAGCTGGTCTAACAGTCAGTGAGAATTCTAACACAAACTGGTGTGTGGTGTTTTTGTAGAACCACACTAGTCCACTGCTGTTTTGTTGTAACAGACTGGAATGAAGCAGCATCTCTGTGTACTCACTAAAAGCAGCGTATTCTGCCATGAAGCCTGCGTCTGACACCACAGAGTCAGAGTAGAAGTTGAGCCGCATGGGCCCCATGGTGGAGAAGGGTCCCGGGATGGTGGAGCCGCACACAGTTGCAATGGGAGGTCCCCCAGTGAGCAGGTTGTACACTTTCACCCCGTCATAAAGGCAGGAGGCGTGAGCTGAAACAGTGGACAGTAGTGCGTCAGAGCAGAGGTAAAGAATGCAGCAGACAACACATCAAAATACAACACACTGACTAATAATTATCTCTTACAATAAGTAGGCAGATCTTTTCAGTCTATTTCCGTCTTCTTTTGAATGCGCTATAAACGCATTCAAACGTAACCTAAGTAGTTGTGAAAGAGTACCTGGAGGAATGCTAATAAAGCAGTCAGAATTTCACACTGAGCCAGAGCAGAGAAAATGGTCCGTGATTAGTTTTGAACATCAATCCACCTTGTACAATGGATTAATGTTGTTTTATGTTGTATCATCTTGTGGTCTTGTGGATCAAAATGAAATACGCTCAAGAGGAGCAGAAGAGTCCACAGTCTCTTCTGCTGTGGACTCTTCAGCAGAAGAGTCCACCTCCCGACCCCACTGTCTGGGTCGGGAGGTGGGCTCACAGGCACTCTGGATCCACTCATTCCAATAGAGGTGACATCAACTCAGGTTTTGAGTATTGTATGGTGTATCACCTAAATTATCACACACACATGTGCTTAGGATGGACTGTGAAAAATAAAGAAAAGCGAAATACGGCACCTGTAAAAAACACCCTAAATATTTTTTGCCGAGCTGAATTTCTATGCCTTTTCTTAACTGGAACAGCCCTGGGTCATTTAGACCCGAGGGTCGCACAAAGCTTAAATAGATCTTTGCCACTTAGTCCCTAAAAATTACTCACACTTACACAACTGTAATCAAAAAATATCCATTGACTTCCATTACAGTATAACAATATCCTTTGACCTGCTAAAACAGAAATGATAAAAACATATATGCAAGGGTGGAAATAGTTTCCTGGATGACTTATTTCAATCTTTTGCTAAACTATGATGCAAAATCTCCATCCTTTTTTGTGTAAAATATGATTCAAATGTTTGATGTTTGAATAATTCTACAAACAGTATCCCAAGAAGGAGGGTTACAATCAGATAACCTTTCTTTGTCCCTCAAAGGCAACATTCCAGTGCTGCAGAACAGTAAGAATGTAGGAGAAAACTCAAAAGAGGAGAAAAAGCTGTCGATATTACCTGCCTATTACGTGTTTCCCCTGCGCATAAACGGCGGCTACATATCATACCTTCTAACTGGAAGACCCTGAAGGTGAGCACCACCACGGTCTGCTCCCCCGTCTCTATAGTGTAGTTACAGTTGGCACTGTGAGGGTAGTCTGACGGGTAGTTAGGAGACACCACCTTCCCTGCATCTGCCGTGAAGGTAGCTCCACACACTGAGGACACAGGATTATATTCAGGCTCCAGAAGTTTGGAATGTCATCAAATTGAAATGCCACAAATGTCCTGTGCCCTTTTTATTCCAGAATTGTGTTGTGAAACAGGCAAAAAGTGGTTCCCTGACACTTTAGACGAGATCGAGGACTACTGGAATCAACAACAGATTAAATTAAAAAAAATGAAAAATATGTAAGAAAGTAAAATGGAAGGGAACATTTGTGAAGTCCGTCAATGTATAGAAAGTGTCCTGGATTTAAGAGACATTCTTCTACATTGGTGCCTAAAGGGAGATTATTCATGATTTATTGTTTCTGAGTAACTTGAAGGCATAGTTGGAAATGAGGGTCCATGCCAGCGTTCTTACTGGTGTTGAAGTGTGCGATGAAACCTTTGCCTGTCGTCAGTTTGCTCTGGAAGCGCACAGTGAGCGTGTTCCCAGGGGCCACCACAGGCTGAGGGGGCCCAGAACCACACGAGCTGGACAATAGGGCCTCTGAGCTCTGCCCCCGGCCCGCCCACACCTGCACAAGCATAGCCAGCAGAGACTCAGAAGGACAATAAAAGAGAGATACGGACGCATCCACAGCACACGCCTCCAGAAAAGAAAAAAAACATGGGAAAGTTAACACGGACCTCGAGGAGTACATTATTTGTAACTAACAATATGAAACACTAAAAGCAGCAAAAAGCACCTTGAGCGGTACAGTAAAGATCAAATGTTCATGCATTTCCATTCCAATGGATATTTTCATGAAGTTAAAAAAATATAATGGAACCCACTAAGCAAGCCGACGTTGAATCAACGTAATTTGAACGTCGTTGTCCGACGTAGAATATAGGTCACTGGTGGGTGCAGAATGAAAGTTTTCTCGACGTCGTTTCCCGACGTCACCTCAACCTCCAAATGTTACGTTGATGGCACGTCAATTCAAGGTTTGAATGTGGTACGGAACCGGTCGGGTCTGACGTCCTATCAACGTCTCATATGACCAAAATATTGACGTTTATATGACGTTTGTTTTCAGTCGTTCCCACTAAGCAAGCAGATGTCAAAACTATGTCATTTCAACGTCATCTGGACGTTCATTCAAGGTTGCAATGTGGTACAGAACCGGTCGGGTCCGACGTCCTATCAACGTCTTATATGACCAAAATATTGCCTTCATATGACGTTCGTTTTCCGTTGTTCCCACTAAGCAAGCAGATGTCAAAACGATGTCATTTCAACGTCATCTGGACGTTATCTGGACGTTCAAATGACGTCGCGGCCACGTTCATTCAAGGTTGCAATGTGGTACAGAACCGGTTGGGTCCGACGTCCTCTCGACGTCTTATATGACCAAAATATTGACGTTTATATGACGTCCATTTACAGTCCTATTGACCTACTTAACCTCTGCAGAATCACTCACTGGTCGAGACATACTTTTTGCAATAGGCAAGGCAAGTTTATTTGTATAGCACAGTCAAAACAAAAGGAAACTCAAAGCACTGAACAAAAGATAGAAACAATCAAACAAGGCATTACAATTATAAATATTGACAGTAAATTAAAAAGATACAAATAAAATCTCTCATAAAATCTCTCAGTTGAAGCAGAAACAGAAGTGTTTTAAACCTGGATTTTAACATTGTCAAAGAAGAAGCCTGTCTCACATTTCCAGGAAGACCGTTCCAGCTTTTAGCCTTGTGAATCTGAAATGCAGCTTTATCATGTTTAGTTCTGACTCTGGGCAATAAACGATAAACACAGCATTCAAAAATCATTAGAACAACTGTAGTAGAAGGATATCAGTCATTATTGCAAATGGAGCTGCATTAAAAATCATGTTTCTCTACATCAAAGTACAAGTTAAAGCACACAGGGCACAGTGTTATGAACACTACTGTACTGAACAGTTCATGCCAAAGTAAAAAAACATGATTGTAGCGCCTATGTTTGGATCAGTATTAAAACAGGCACAAGCTACACTCTAGGTTCCCCAGATGTAAAAACACAATCTGAAAGGCAGAAGAATGCATTTATTGAATGTTGAGGTTCCAACATGTGTCCTCTCTTGGTCTTCAGTCTCTCATCACAAGGTCCAAGCACAGCACCTGAAAATGTGGAACATGTTTAGTTTCAACATAATGTGGCAAAGTGATATAACAACACATAACTTTCTATTAATGCCTCAAACCACTCGATCCATCACCATGTGATACAAACCTTGGCACTGCACTAGCTCGAGACACTGGAAGACACTCCGTCTGAGAAACTTGGGATAAGGCTTTGGTCATTGGAGTAATTCCATGTAAAAAACAATTGCAAATATGCATTTGTTTTGCACATGGACAAATGAGCCCTGAAAGCTACTTACCCTGTATTACTCTATATGTTGCATTTCCGAGGGGGCATTTTCCCCTTGTTGCTCTTTTCCCTCATCTTGAGTGAGTTGCTGAACAATCTGAGAAAAAGATAGATGTTTTCAAAGAGAATACACCAAATAATGGTTTATTCTAAAAACAACATATTAATACAGAACAACAATCAATGTGTGAGAGTGTGATTCTTACCTTTGAACACCTTCAACACAGTCTGACACCTGTAAGACTGAAACACACATGACACATTAGGAATACACATAGAACATTAGTTATTGCAACAATCATGAAATTATACTCTATGGATTTCACAATAATTGACTGCATTAGCAAAGGTAAATGTATTTTAATTAACATATGGCTGGTTTTAAAGTTTATAAGAAAAAGTAAGAAATTGAATAGAGTTGCAAGCGCTAGTTAGCTTGCTACCAGCAGATGAATGGATATTTAATATTTGCAGCTAACAATAACATTTAAACAGCCACAGTGAGAAGAAGTGAAAGTCTCTGACATTGAAGACCTGGGAAGACGTTAAGTCCATTTATTAAACAAAGCAATACATGAACATTAAACTCTCTTTCTGCAGCAGGTAACATCTGTGTGCTCCTATGGTCCCACATGGTCCCACATGGTCCCACACCTGAACTCAACTCCAACTGATGACATCACAGGTGTCTAAATGATGGGAGTGTCCCAAATATTAAAGCTGATCTCCCTGTTTTTAAACTTAGTTTACTAAGTACTGTTGTCTTTTTGCAGTTTATAAACCATTGTGAAATATACAGTAACTTTACATTTTAGAATTGAATTATTATTTTAAAACTCAAGAATCTTAACCTTTTTTAACACATACTTTGTTGGACAGTCTAACCTAAGAATTTGAATGTGTTAAAAATAGTTTGAAATATGAAAAACAATATCATATTTTAAACTTTAACTTAAAAACTAAAAAAAGGTGTCTCCCTTTCAGCTGAGCAGTGCCAGCCGTTATTATTATAGATTCATGCACTGGCAATTCAAAATACAGATAATATACAAAATATACTTAACAAAATCCACGTATACGTGAGAAAACAACTGAGTTTCTGTCTCCAACTCTTTTCAATGTGGAAATGATACATCTATATCTAAAAACTGTGCAGACTGTGTACTTACTAGAGAGGGTGATTCCAAGTAAATAAAGCAGGGCAGCGACAGACGTACAGATTCAACGTCATATCAACGTCTGGGAAGACATTGCTTTACGTCCAGATGCACACCTTACGTCGTTTAGACGTGGAAAACAGGTCCTCGACCGAGCGACTCACGTGTCAGGCTGTAAAGCCCAAGTTATACTCGCGCGGCGCATAAGTGTGCGTCGGTTGTTTAGGGTGTTATCTATTATTTTTTCACAGTAGTCAGTAACATGCCTGGCCGTGGTGTAGCGGTTGCGTAATGAGACTTCAGTCGCAACGACGCAGGTTCAAATCTCTGTCGGAAAACTTTTGACTTTTCACTTGTTAGCAAACAATTTTTCTGTTTGGTTAAAAACGAATAAACACTCAACATAAGATTATGTAGTGGCTAATAATAAAACTTGTGAACCCATGCATTTGCATAAAATCAAGTGCTCACCCCTTATTTGCAAACTTGAGATTGTTAGCACAACAAATGCATACATTCACAAGTTTTATTATTAGCCACTACGTAATCCTATGTTGAGTGTTTATTAGTCTTTAACCAAACAGAAAAAAATTGTTCGTTAAAAATCAAAACAAATATGTAAAGATAATAATACACACACGTGGGCTCGAACCCACGTAACCAAGACTGCACACGTTTGCTTAACCACTACACTACCGTCAGGTACACTGAGATCGCTTCACAGCCTATATATTGTATCGCTAGATCAAGACGTACTGCGTCGGTCGCCCGATGACCTGTTTTCGACGTCTAGGGGAGGTCGGGATTGGACGTCATATCCACGTATATGGGAGGTCATTGTTTTACGTCCAGATGCGCACCTTGCACAGACGTCGTTTGGACGTAAATAAAAGGTCACGACCGACCGACGCGATTTTGACGTGATCTGGAGGTTGAGTGGACGTCGGATGTTTAGTGGGAAATTAATTCATGAATTTGCGACAGAGGCTAAGTTGGTAGAGCTTTGGCCTTTGGGCCTGAAGGTCATGGGTTTGAGCCCACCATGAGAGCTATGAGATGTCTGCTGTCGTTGTGTCCTTGGGCAAGACCTTTAACCCCACTTTGCCTGAATGACCAAGGCTCTGTGGTCTCAACACCTGCAGGAGGATCAGTGAGGGGCTGGTGGGGGCAGCTCTGACTGCCACGCCCCCTGACCCAGAAATGGATTAAGGGGAAGAAAATAGATGGATGGATGGATGAAAATTAATTTAACTCAATATACATATGTTAAAAAATGCATCAATAATCGTTTTATAATCAAATCATGAGGTGCCCCAAGATCTCTGATGACCACTGTCCAGAAATGTAAATAAATGTGCCAAAATGTCCTGGATAATCACTGTCCGTAGACCCTCCTGCATTAGCAAGAAACCACACAAATTGGAGCGACCCAGTTATAGTGAACTAGACCCATGTCTACTTTCACAACAGAATCCATTCAAATACATGGAATCACAGTTTTTTAGAGCCAGGATGTAATTGGATGTGAAAACGTGTCCTAACTGATATTAGTAGAAACCGAAGTGGAAAAGTTACACTTATAAAATGTATTAACAACACAACACAACTATCTGCACCTGCTTTTGTTTGTCCCAGACCCTCTGGCTTTGAGCATGTGAACGTGTGCCAGAAATCAGTCACAAGCACATGAAAGAATACTACTTAGTGTGTTTTGAACATCCCCAAATGATCAGTATATAAATGCTAAAGGCACCTTGACGTAGCTGTTGCTGCAGCTGCCAGAGCTGTCTGGGATGTTGAAGTCCGGGTTGAAGCTCATCTGCAGGTGGTTCCCCTCGTGGCCAATGATATGCCACAGACACTCAGAGTTGGCGGGGTAGTCCTGGGGGTAGTTTGGAGTCTTGATACTACCACTGTCAGCATGGATCACCCCTCCACAGCCTGCAACATGAGCATATTTACAGGGGTCACAGCAGGGGTCTATTGTAGGAGACTATTTATTTCGACAGGAAACAAGACCGCCCCCAGTCAGGTGGACGGCCTGAGGGTAACAGATGGGAGGAGCAGGGTTCTCGACAGCTTTCTGAGTGTTGTGGGGACCTGACACTGTGATTTTATATCTCTTTATTTGGGATTGGCCAGTTTTATAAAAAATCAACGAGGCCAGAACCGGTTATATTTAGATCCTTCTCCGGTACTCTCAGAGGTGTGGACTCGAGTCATGTGACTTGGACTCGAGTCAGACTCGAGTCATGATTTTGATGACTTTAGACTCGACTTGACCAAATATAAAAAGACTTGCAACTCGACTTGGACTTTAACATCAATGACTCTGACTTTCACTTGGACTTGCGCCAATTGACTTGCAAAGACTTGCGTAACCCGGGCCATTTTTACCTTTCTCCGCATCTCTCTTTCTATCTATGCCGTCTCTGAAGAAACAAAGCCTCGCGGTAGTTGTAGCGCTCGCGCGAGAGTTCGAACGTGAGTTCCAGGCAGTTCGCGCAGCAACACTTCCCTAAACAAGCGGACTGCATTCACCGGTGGGTGTGTTGTCTAGGGGAGCTGGAAATGAGCGAGCTGCAGGTATTTATCGCGACCTAACGTCATATTTTGTTCTACAAACCGTAATTGATATGCTTTCACTACAGGCGCCTCATACAATTGAATCGACGCAGTTGTCACACTGTGTGCCGTGTTTTAAAGAGGAACTGGTGAGTCAAACTAGCGCTAGCCTGCGCTGCTCTGTTAGCTCTTTCTTATATTTTTCTGTGTGGGCGCCGAGACCTATTATTATGAGTATGTTTTTGCTGTGCTCCTCCTGCTAAAGTTTGCATACATTAGATAGTTGTTTTGATTATGTGCACTAAGCTAGATTAATATTTGCACTATTGTTTATGGTTCATTGATATGAGAATCAGTACTTTTACTGATTGAATTAATTTATATGAGACATTTTATTATGTAATGATATATTGGTAATTATGAGATATTACTAATGCTGGCCCAGTTCATACAGGCCAGGTTCCTTCCCCTCCATTGGTCCCTTCAGTCCTTTGGAACAATAACCACTATGGACATTAAACTGATTATATAGATACAGGTCCTAGCCCAATACTCATATTCATATATGCTGCACTTGCTACTTCCCATTAAAAACCCCAAAGATAAAAAGTATGTTGACACGGACTGCTCTGATTTTATGTGTGGTCTGTGCATGTGTAACTGAGCCTGCATCTGGCACAACATAGTTTTGATTTACCAGCAGCCAACCACATGGAACAAACTGTTAGTCCATGGGTCAGAGACCAACGAGAATGCACCTGCAAAATGATTCCTAACATTATTTTGTTTGCCTACAAAAGTACGTGGAGACCAACAAGAAACAAATCGCGGTCAAAAAGACTCGAGAGGACTCGAAAGTCAAACCGTAGGACTTGGGACTGACTTGAGATTTGTTGGCCTTTGACTTGGACTCGACTCGGGACTTGCCTGTCTTGACTCGTGACTTGACTCGGGACTTGAGGGCAATGAATTGAGACTGACTTGTGACTTGCTAAACAATGACTTTGTCCCACCTCTGGGTGCTCTCATTGTTAGCCTGCACTCCTGTAAATTAAGAGCAAGCTGTGACCTCCGCATTAGCCCTAGGTCCTGATGTCAGATCCTAATGTAGGCTTTCAGTCAGTGGAAATATTGTCAAGCCACTTTTTTTTTGTCCAGGGCACTAAAAAGGTTAGAGGTCCTTGGTTTTGATGGTTATCTCTGCTGCCAGAAAACCTTCTAAACAATTGATCCTGGAGCTCTGTAGACACATCGGCGATCAAAAGTAACAGCCTCATGGTCACTACAGTGTCAAACTTACAAAATATATATTAAAAAAATGCACATCAAAAGTTGCATGATGCCCCTTTAAAGGCCAAACATAATGCAACATATTAAACTTAGACTAACTATTAAACAGCAATGTCAGCATGATGTGGTTTGAAGCAGGCTGTGGGGCCTAAAGTGCGGAGCGAGTTTTGGGTTTCAGAGGAGGGCTTGTGTGAACGCTTACCTGAGGAGTCGGCAGACCACGAGGCCACAAAGCCGCCTCTGGATACGCTGTGGTCAGCCAGGAAGACCACGGCCAACTTATTGGAACCCGACTGCACGGTTCCTGGGGAGGAGCTCCCGCAGTACTGACCAATCACAGGAGAGCCAGGGGAGCCGCCGTTAAAGATGGTGAGCGAGTCCCAGCTGCAGGTGGAGTGCGGCTCCAGTTGGAAATATGTGAATGAGAGCTGACGACACAGAAGACAACATAGAAACCAAGACTGACCATTAGGGAGGTTTTGGGAAAATAAGTGATCTAAACTACTACTAAACATTTCAGTCTTAGTAGTAAGCAGCACTCACAGTGATGGTGTGTCCTTCGGGGGCCTCCAGGAGCCAGGCACAACGACTGGGGCCCGGATACAATGCAGGGTAGTTTGGACTGGAGATCGCTCCTCCCTCCCCCATTTGCCACCCCCCACACTCTGAAATGACACTTTACTGTCACTGTCGAGCCGCTCTCACTGCGCTCCCATTCAACACATAACCCTGAGTCTGTATGTATACTGAGACAACAGTGGTCTGCATGTATACTCAGACAAGAGTGGTCTGCATGTACAGTACCTTGCGAAAGTATTCGGCCCGCTTGAACCTTTCAACATTTCGCCACATTTCAGGCTTCAAACATAAAGATATAAAAATTTATTTTTTTGTCAAGAATCAACAACAAGTGGGACACAATCGTGGAGTGGAACAAAATTTATTGGATAATTTAAACTTTTTTAACAAATAAAAAACTGAAAAGTGGGGCGTGCAATATTATTCGGCCCCCTAGCGCTAATACTTTGTAGCGCCACCTTTTGCTGCAATTACAGCTGCAAGTCGCTTGGGGTATGTCTCTATCAGTTTTGCACATCGAGAGACTGGAATTCTTGCCCATTCTTCCTTGCAAAACAGCTCGAGCTCAGTGAGGTTGGATGGAGAGCGTTTGTGAACAGCAGTCTTCAGCTCTTTCCACAGATTGTCGATTGGATTCAGGTCTGGACTTTGACTTGGCCATTCTAACACCTGGATACGTCTATTTGTGAACCATTCCATTGTAGATTTGGCTTTATGTTTTGGATCATTGTCCTGTTGGAAGATAAATCTCCGTCCCAGTCTCAGGTCTTATGCAGACTCCAACAGGTTTTCTTCCAGAATGGTCCTGTATTTGGCTCCATCCATCTTCCCATCAATCTTAGCCATCTTCCCTGTCCCTGCTGAAGAAAAGCAGGCCCAAAGCATGGTGCTGCCACCACCATGTTTGACAGTGGGGATGGTGTGTTCAGGGTGATGAGCTGTGTTGCTTTTACGCCAAACATATTGTTTTGCATTGTGGCCAAAAGGTTTGATTTTGGTTTCATCTGACCAGAGCACCTTCTTCCACATGTTTGGTGTGTCTCCCAGGTGGCTTGTGGCAAACTTTAAACAAGACTTTTTATGGATATCTTTGAGAAATGGCTTTCTTCTTGCCACTCTTCCATAAAGGCCAGATTTGTGCAGTGCACGACTGATTGTTGTCCTATGGACAGACTCTCCCACCTCAGCTGTAGTTATCTGCAGTTCATCCAGAGCGATCATGGGCCTCTTGTCTGCATCTCTGATCAGTCTTCTCCTTGTTTGAGATGAAAGTTTGGAGGGACGGCCGGGTCTTGGTAGATTTGCAGTGGTCTGATACTCCTTCCATTTCAATATAATTGCTTGCCCAGTGATCCTTGAGATGTTTAAAGCTTGGGAAATCTTTTTGTGTCCAAATCCGGCTTTAAACTTCTCCACAACAGTATCTCGGACCTGCCTGGTGTGTTCCTTTGTCTTCATGGTTCTCTCTGTGCTTTAAACAGAACCCTGAGACTATCAAAGAGCAGGTTCATTTATACGGAGACTTGATTACACACAGGTGCATTCTATTTATCATCATCAGTCATTTAGGACAACATTGGATCATTCAAAGATCCTCACTGAACTTCTGGACTGAGTTTGCTGCACTGAAAGTAAAGGGGCCGAATAATATTGCACGCCCCAATTTTCAGTTTTTTATTTGTTAAAAAAGTTTAAATTATCCAATAAATTTCGTTCCAGTTCACGATTGTGTCCCACTTGTTGTTGATTCATGACAAAAACATAAAAATTTTATATCTTGAAGCCTGAAATGTGGCGAAATGTTGAAAGGTTCAAGGGGGCCGAATACTTTCGCAAGGCACTGTATACTGAGACAAGAGTGGTCTGCATGTATACTGAGACAAGAAAGGTCTTCATGTATCCTGAGACAAGAGTAGCCTGAGCTTGCATGTATACTGTGAAAAGAAAGGTCTGCAATTTTACTGACACAAGGAGTCTACTTAAGCGCGGTTTTACCTGAGAAGGAGTAGAGCGCCCTGAAACCCAAGTCTCCCTGTGACGAGTCTGTCTGGAAGTGCACATACAGCTGAGGGGTGAAGACCACGATGGGCACTGGGGGAATGGTCTGCCCACAGAACTTAGCTAGTTGCTCTCCATTAGCATCTCCTACCAGGACAAATAAAAGCATAATTACAATTAAAATGTGGCTTTAGGGCACGGTCACATAGGTTTTTACAAGCGAACTAGGCCAAGTGGCCCAGATCGTCGCGTCAGGGGTGTGAAAACGGCCACATGAACGTGTTCTCTGAATCGTGCAAGCGCAACTTTGCTGTAGTACAACGCCTGGTCCAGCTGGTGGCGCTATTACTAACTTCAGCGACTACCACGTTGTCCGAGTTGAGTTTCCGCTTCTTTTCCTGTTTATATTCTGCTACTGTAGCTAACAGGCTCGAGCATGCATCGCTCTGTTTGCATCAGAGTAATGTGAACAAGTGTGAGATATGTCTTTATAATAGATCCATGGTCTTTCCCCAAAATGCAGCGGTGGGACATGTGTGTGGTGTCTGTGTGCGCGCCTTTATAGTAACGAGCGTAAAGCGCTGAGTATGAATGAATGAGCGAGTAGAGCGACCGGAGCCGGAGGATATACAGTAAATGTGTGTGTTTGTGTGTTCTGGCGATTAAATAAAGACTGATTCTTGAATGTCTGAAGTATTATAGCAATAGCACCGTACTGTGAAACGCTTTTCTTTGGCCCTGGAGCGACACACCCCGCTGTGCACCTCCACCGCAGTCCGGGGGCTTATATGAAAGATTTAACAAAAGCGGAGAATAAAGTGCAGGAGAGTCTTGTGTGAAAATGCGCGTCACAGGAAGACGTAATATGACGCACAATATCACGTCCCTATCACACCTCATCCCCCCACTCCCCACCACCCGCCACAGTGACCCCCCTCATCCGCGCTGGGGCCCACTTGCAGAAAGCATGCCCAAGCCCAGTTGCCGTGGTCACATGGCACCTAAAGCCCGGATCAAATTGCGAACTGGGCCCTGGAACACTTAAACCGGGCTTTAGGCTGCGCATGTGACCACAGCCTTATTCATATAAATCTGATTAGTTCTCAACACTTCCGGAGTCAAAAGAGTGGCCTCCTTTAACCCATTTCTTTGTGATAATAGAGAATCCTAAGTTTTGATCAACTATAGTATTCCCTTAAAAGAGATGGGATGTCCCGTTACAGCTGGGGTATCTAGTTTTGGTATTTAATAGATAACACGGTAACTGAGTGGTAAGCACTCAGAAAGGTTCTGGGTTCAAATCCAGGTCAGAACAGGTAGTGGAGTTTGCATGTTCTCCCCATGTCTTCGTAGGATTATCGCTACCAATAACTTCTAAAATTGGTCATATCCTCCAGCTATGGTCCTACAGATGGATCCTCAGGCGCTGTACTACGGTGACCACTGCCCCTGACAGCGGCCCTTTTGGCATTGCGGGGAGGGTCAAATGCAAAGGACACATGTCTCTATGGCGACAATAAAGTATAACTTAATATCTTAACATGTTTTTTGTCTGAACAAAAATTGTAAAATGTTGTCAACAAATTAGACCAAGACCAGCTGTCTTCATCTAAAAAAACATGTTATCTTTTGGATACTCTCCATTTGGTGACAGCTAACGGAAATACATATAACTAAAACAACAAACAAGAAAGAACCCTGTGAGTCACTATTTGACAGTTTGGGATGAGGGCTGATTGGCAGAGTGAGGCTGGTCCTCTCTTTTTAACTTATCTTTTGTTGAATTCCTGTGAAAACAGATCTGTTAAATGTCAATTTAACAAGTTGTCCCAGCCTTAAATTTACCAGGTGTTGTCTATGGAAACCCGCATTACATTATTTACATGTTTCAAAGTGTCCTCTCACCTAGCCTGAACTGCAGGAAGTCCTGGGCACAGGTCTGGTGGCTCTGCAGGTGCAGGTCCTGGACCAGAACCACGATGGAGGAGTTGATGTGGTGGTGGTTTTGGATGGTCCACTCACAATTCAGGTTACTGCTGTAGTTAGAAAGCAGGTACCCAGGAGAGGTGATGTTTCCCCCAGCCTCAGAACCCAAGACACCCCCGCACACTGCACGCACACACACAAACAGAAAGCAGACAGTTAGTGGCTTGATATTAGACAGATACTCTTATATTTAGTAAAATCCTGGACTTGAAGACATGAAACATACAAAGGCAGTGTTTGCGGTAAATACATGTACCAAGAATACGTATTCAGGATGTTTGACTAGCAGATGCAAATACTATTATTCAGAATACAGCTCTGTAATTGGAGGGAAATATTAATGCAAGTGAAGAACACAGTTCAATGGTAGAGTAACAAACGAACATGAAAAAAGAACACAAGGAATGCTTCACTGAAGGTCAGGAAACCTACAGTATGCGTGGAGAAAACAAATAATGTGTATGCTGTGGTCTGACCTGCGGGCTGGTCAGTGGAGTAGGAGGCACTGAAGCCTCCATTGGAGACTGATGCATCTGTCCTGAACACCACAGTCATGGTGCTCCCCGAGGACTGGACTTGGGTCCCAGCTGGCACAGAGCCACAGAACCTCTGCAGCAAAGGGGCGTCTGCAGCCAGCCCGTTTAGCACCTGTGAATTTGTGATACTTTTATGTATGTTTTCAAAGATGTAAGTACATATTTTGGGCCTTTTTTGACCCAATGGAGAATCAGCAAACCATACAGTATTTGATTACAAAAATGACAGGCCACAACACCTCATCACTATCAGTACAGCTTTCAGAGTCAATCCATCCATGCTATCCCGGGTGGGACGTGCTTGGATGGATTCCCAGGGAGGCGTTCCCATCGGAGGACGAGATGGGGAGATTGAGGAGAACCTCAAAGTATTCCTTCCACCGCCCAACAATATCCCCAGTTGTGGTCAGCAGCTCTCCACATGCACTGTAAACGGTGTTGACAAAGCACTACTTCCCCTTCCTGAGATGGTTTGCCTGAACCTCTTTGAAGCCAACCGATATCATGCTCCTTGGACTCTCTGAACTCATCCCAGTCCCGGGCTTTTGGCTCTGTAACCTGCCGGCTGCCTCGGGAGTCCCACAATCCATCTTGGACTCCTTCTTCAACCTAACAGAATCCCTTACTACCTGAGTCCACGAGCGGGTTCGGGGATTTCACCTGGAACTAGCACCAGAGACCCTGCAACTCCTTCTCTGGGACCTGGGAGAAGCTCTCCTCCTCTGGGACCTGGGAGATGCTCTCCCGGAGGTGTTAGTTGAAAGTCTGTCTGACAGACCCTCACTATATGCTTTGGTCTACCATGTCTGACACCAGACCTATCACAGTCATTGTGGGAATTTGCCAACTATTTTTCTTGTATCTTCAGCAGAGCTGTGCAAAAAGTTTAAATAACCATGTTTGATTATCATCAGAAACTTGTGAGCGTACAGTATTTGATCAATGAATTGGTAACCACTGCCAAAACAATCAGGGAACACTAGCTTTACTTCCTCTTTAATAATTTGAATGTATTTTGACATACAGATAGTTAAACCCACGAGCTCCATTCACTAACATGTAAAAATAAAGTCTTTCTGTCAGGAAGCACTCACGTCACACTCACTGTTCAGACTTCAAAAACACCACATGAGCCTGTTACGTTTATTATTATGCCGCACACAGGAGGATACTCACCTCCACATAGTCGTACACACAGGATGTCCCAGAGCCCTCCAGCCTCAGGTCGTTGATGGTTAGTGTGACTCTGCGTCCTGGCACAGCCACCACCTCCCAGCGGCACACCCGACTGTGTGGGTATAGGTTGGGGTAATTTGGTGACGAGATGGTCCCGTATGGGGTATTCAGTTCTCCTCCACACACTAAATAAGACAAATGGCATTAGTTCAGTAATTTTAATAAAAGAAACATCAAAAGGCCTTCGCAAATAGCACATGTGTTCTGGAGAACACAGAAGGATCATCAGGATCATCTACGAATCAGAGGGTTAGAGTAGAGGCTGAAAGCAAACAGATCATTTATTGAATTTAATGTATTATTGCATTATACAAGGCACTTGGCAGTGTAATGCTGATTTAAGGATCATATCCAGTCAGTACAGTTTAACCGGATAAACTTCCTGCAGGTTGATATATCACTTGCAAAGCCAAGAATATGTCACTTGCAAAGCCAAGACCTAGGAATAGATTCCAAATACTCTAGGCACTAAGTACTATTACTTTGTTTCAGGTGGAAGACCAGGTTTGTACTTCCCATTTGACTTGATTTTTATTCTGCAAATTCAGTGCTGACATTCAGAGGGTGTGTTGTAAACTTAGAACGATGTGACAAAAATTTGCCAGCTGATTTATTAGCTTGCATACATGTGGTCATACCTGTTGCTAAAGCCTGATCTCATCTGAGCTCAGAAGCTAATTGAGTAATCTTTGTTGATATAGTGCCTTTCATAGACTGACAATCACAAATCACTGTTGTTGGAAGTTTTCCATTTATTCCACACACGGTGATGAAGGCATGCTGAAACCATCAACCAGTCACTCACACACACATTCAGACATAAGGTAAATGTTATTTAGTGGAAGGGTAAAACAGAGCACCTGGAATAAAACATAAGCAGGCACAGGGAGGACATGCAAAGTCCATGCAAACATTTGTACACTGGAATACTGATGATAAAGTGTTTTGATTTCTTTAATTGCATAAGACCCATCCATTCATCTTAAAGACCAGCTGTAACTATGGTGTGGTGAGCTTACCTTCCACACTGGCTTCAAACATGAGGCTGAAGCCGGGTGCGTTCACACTACTGTCACTCACAAACTTGACGTAGGCAAAGCTGTCGGAGGTTTCCAGGGGAGTGGGCAAAGAGGAGCCACAGTGTCTGCCCAGCTGCAGTCCTGGAGCACAGAGCAGTCAGGTTAGCAGCATGCAGCCGGCTAACCAGGAAGAAACATGTACATGCAAACATGGCACCGCTGTAATTTCCTTTGGGATCAATAAAGTTTACCCTATCCTATCCTAAGAACACAAGTCAACAAAAGAGCCTAGCATGAGGATATACTACACACATGTGACCATAACACATAATTAAACATTTAGGATTCCTTTTGGGCTTTAAAAATGATCTTGAAATTCCAGTGGTGTTTTAGATTTTAGATTATGAATGAAAACACATTTTTTTCAATAATTGTTCATGGTTGTGTGATTCTCAAATGTTTTGTATTTTCAAATGCTCCTCTGACCCTGATAAGAAGTCTTGGTCCCCATGCTCACCTTGGCAAAAAGCCTCTAGTTCCCCAAAATTCCTGAGCTGCCTTACAAAACCTGAAAATGAAATCTATGGCTGGATGTGTAAACTGTCAAACACAACTGCATTCCATGTTTTAGAATATTTTAGCAATATTTTTTTTCCCTCCAGAAACAGTAAAAGCAAAATGAACAAATCATTCTACAACATGCCGTCTTCAGTGAGTGTGGTCTTCGCTTTTTCACATGCAGAATTATTGACACAAACGTTTGTCACCTCAAGGCTTGAAATCTTCCAGCTTGTCCAAAATAGCAAGGACCTTAACAGGCACCAAAAGGAGGGAACACATAACTCCGGTGTTAAAATCTCTCCCTTTTTACTTTATCTGTCATCATTTTGACTTCAGCTGTAGTCTGTTCTTTGCTATTCACCCGCTGTTGCATTGTCTGTTTCATGGCGTGATGATGGGACTTTTGAACCCAGCCACTTGACCTGGTCCTATAAACTGCTTGCCCGTGAGATACTGACACATTGGTTATGATGCTATTGTGTTAAGTATGGGGATAGAACAGACCTGATGCATTGTACTCTCTTATCTCCACATAGTCCTGGTCGCAGCTGCCGGAGCTGGAGCTGCTCAGGCTGAGGTTCTGGTACGTCAGGGTCAGGTAGTGTCCAGTGGGGCCCTCCAAGAACCACTCACACAGGGAGTTATCTGGGTAGTGTGAGCTAGGGAAGCCTGGACTGTGGATCACACCACTCTGGCCGATGAAGCGCCCTCCGCACGAGGCTGAGAGAGGATTGGAAGAGAGGGTTAGGAAGACTTCAAAATATCACTGATTTGTCTTTTTATTTTCTTAAGCATTAAGAAGTGTAACAGGAAAATACTGTAGATTTAATAAGTCAGCGTGTGTACGTGTTTTTAATGGTAGGAGGAATGGTAGCACAGGGAGAAAATCTACGCAGACATAAGGAGAACATGCAAGCTCCACTCAGAAAGACCCTGTTCCGACCCAGGATCTTCTTGCTGAGAAACAGGAGCTGTCCACTCAGCCACTTTATCACCCTCTTTTGTGTTATCCTTCACAGTCCGTCCCATGTCCAGTCTTTCTAACCTTCTGCTATAAAACTGGTGAACTCTGGTGGAGGTGATTGAATTTGTGTGTATATTATTGTATTGTTTTAACTTACGTGTGACCTGCTGCTGCATGTGAGGCCTGAATTGGGGTGTGTTTGCGTAGAGTCATGGAACTAATCTTGACATTTGTGCAAATCCCAGAGTCAAAAGCTCCATTTGTGTGTAATGTGTGTGTGTTTGTGTGTATCTGTGTTTCCTTACAGATGGAGTAGCGCGCCTTGAAGCCTTTATGTGCCACGCTGGTGTCTGTCCTGAAGCGCAGAGTCATGAAGGAGCCTGTGGAGCGCTGAGTGGAGGGCAGGGTGGTCCCACAGAGACGAGAGACCAGGGGGGCACTGGAGTCTGAGCCGTCCCGCACCTCCAGGTAATCATACTGACAACTGCGGGGAATACACACACACATCAAACACAACACACACACTGAAGTCACGAGTGTCTCCCCTTCCAAGAGGATATTTTTATACACCCGCGTGCGCATGCGCCACTCGCTGAGTGGCAAGAAGACAGAGCGGCACATACTGAAACATGGATGCGACGAGTACTTTCAAAGGACTCAGTGGGCGAAATGCACTATATACAGTGCCTTGCAAAAGTATTCGGCACCCTTGAACCTTTCAACATTTCGCCACATTTCAGGCTGCAAACATAAAGATATAAAAATTCCGCGAAGTGGAACGAAATTTATTGGATAATTTAAACTTTTTTAACAAATAAAAAACTGAAAAGTGGGGCGTGCAATATTATTCGGCCCCCTTGCACTAATACTTTGTAGCGCCACCTTTTGCTGCAATTACAGCTGCAAGTCGCTTGGGGTATGTCTCTATCAGTTTTGCACATCGAGAGACTGGAATTCATGCCCATTCTTCCTTGCAAAACAGCTCGAGCTCAGTGATGTTGGATGGAGAGCGTTTGTGAACAGCAGTCTTCAGCTCTTTCCCCAGATTCTCGATTGGATTCAGGTCTGGACTTTGACTTGGCCATTCTAACACCTGGATACGTCTATTTGTGAACCATTCCATTGTAGATTTGGCTTTATGTTTTGGATCATTGTCCTGTTGGAAGATAAATCTCCGTCCCAGTCTCAGGTCTTTTGCAGACTCCAACAGGTTTTCTTCCAGAATGGTCCTGTATTTGGCTCCATCCATCTTCCCATCAATTTTAGCCATCTTCCCTGTCCCTGCTGAAGAAAAGCAGGCCCAAAGCATGATGCTGCCACCACCATGTTTGACAGTGGGGATGGTGTGTTCAGGGTGATGAGCTGTGTTGCTTTTATGCCAAACATATCGTTTTGCATTGTGGCCAAAAAGTTCGATTTTGGTTTCATCTGACCAGAGCAAATTCTTCCACATGTTTGGTGTGTCTCCCAGGTGGCTTGTGGCAAACTTTTTATGGATATCTTTGAGAAATGGCTTTCTTCTTGCCACTCTTCCATAAAGGCCAGATTTGTGCAGTGCGCGACTGATTGTTGTCCTATGGACAGACTCTCCCACCTCAGCCGTAGTTATCTGCAGTTCATCCAGAGTGATCATGGGCCTCTTGGCTGCATCTCTGATCAGTCTTCTCCTTGTTTGAGATGAAAGTTTGGAGGGACGGCCGGGTCTTGGTAGATTTGCAGTGGTCTGATACTCCTTCCATTTCAATATAATTGCTTGCACAGTGCTCCTTGAGATGTTTAAAGCTTGGGAAATCTTTTTGTATCCAAATCCGGCTTTAAACTTCTCCACAACAGTATCTCGGACCTGCCTGGTGTGTTCCTTTGTCTTCATGGTTCTCTCTGCGCTTTAAACAGAACCCTGAGACTATCAAAGAGCAGGTGCATTTATACGGAGACTTGATTACACACAGGTGCATTCTATTTATCATCATCAGTCATTTAGGACAACATTGGATCATTCAAAGATCCTCACTGAACTTCTGGACTGAGTTTGCTGCACTGAAAGTAAAGGGGCCGAATAATATTGCACGCCCCACTTTTCAGTTTTTATTTGTTAAAAAAGTTTAAATTATCCAATAAATATCGTTCCACTTCACGATTGTGTCCCACTTGTTGTTGATTCATGACAAAATTTTTTATATCTTTATGTTTGAAGCCTGAAATGTGGCGACAGTGAATACTTTTGCAAGGCACTGTATATGCACTTTAACGCAAGAAGATCAGAGGAGATATAAATACAAGCTAAAAATAAGTACACGAGACCGAACTGAACAAATTCTAAGCTCAAATGAGACCTGGGATGACGACAAACATTTTTCAGACTTGCCTATGTCTTGGCACCGATCTGCTGGGAGACATTTATTCTTACTTCATAGAAAACCCGGGACCCTTCACTCAAGTAGGGATGAGTAACCAAAATGCAATGTTTAAAATTCATCATCACAGTGAACAAGTGTGCAGTGAAAGTATAGTTGCAAAAATAATTGTATATGAATTTGCTAAATGTATATGAATTTGTATCATATAGGTAACAGCAAAAAGGGGCAACCCACTTTTAATGTGCGAACCACTTTACCACGGCCGTTTTTTGCTGTTCTTTTCTGAAAGGATAAGAAATCAAAAACAATCTGGCCCCAGCGGGTCGTACAACCGACTACACAACAAGAATGGACCTTTTGATTTAGTAAAACCTCTCTCCAAACATCTAAAACTAGTTAACTCTCTAGTATTCATGTAGCTTTCTATGCTGTTTTGCCAAGCAGTCAGTAAGATCCTCCTATAGGAACAACAGTTTCACTGCTTAACCAATACAAACATGTCACCATAAGAAGAATTCTGTAGTCAGACATGTAACAAATCTGTGTTTCCAGTGGTCAGAAGGCATAGCTCTTTTTGCATTCTTGACCTAAGTTTGAGTTTAAGTGTTGACATCCTATTGACTGACGCTATGTATGAGGCTAGTTGGTATAGACCTCACAAAACCATGCTTTCACACACACACTTACAACACACACACGAGGCACAACATAACAAAACCAGACTGTTCTGGTCCCGTAGTGCAGACATACTTGGTGGTCTGCTCGATGTAGAACTCCTCCTCAAAGTCGAGCTGCACGGCCTCTCCATTGGGCACAGAGATGACCCACACACAGTCTATGTTCTGAGGATAGTTCTGTGGGTAACTAGGGGACGTGATGTATCCCGGGATGTCCCCATCGTGCAGCTGGATGTGACCCCCGCAGGCTGCAGCACACAAGAACAGACATTATTTGCGTTCATCTGCTGTCGGCCGAAGTGCCAGGATTTTTGGCCATACTTTGGAGATTATGAATGATAACCCAAAACCTTCTGTTCACTGTTGTGTGAAAGCATTTCTTATCAAATAAACAATGTTTTTTATTTTAGAAAACTAAAGATGTGAGAATCTCCTTGTCTGACACTGATAAGAATTCTCCATACCAGAGTTCTTAATAGTCTTTAACTTCCACGACAGCTTGGAGTCTTGTGTGGTCTTATGGTAATATTCCTGTACTTTCCTGGGCCCTCTTGCATGAACTGCATGTTAGCACATGTTCTTCACACACCACAAAAAATTACAGGTTAGTCATCATGATTATAGATTATGGCCAACACAATGACATCTCTGGCTGGGTGTGTACACTTTGAAGGGTGCCAATGATCACATTGTTTTGAAGAACAATTTGTTCCCTATTAGGCCCCTTTGAACGCGCTCACACTCAGGCTCAGCTCAAGCACACTTGATGCCTGCACTCACACTAAGCTCGATGAAGTCATCATGTTAAGCATGTGAGCCCGGCTCTACACGTTTTAGCAACACTTCACATTCACATATGAATAGAGCCACATATGAATAGAGCGGTTGAACATCCCCCACCAGAGATGAGATGATGTGAGGTCTGACTGTAGCAGCAGCGATGTGTTCCACAACTATTATCGTATATTCATTTACTTTGTGAAAAAAAACCCAGAAACTTTCAAGCAATAAAATATGTGATGAACAATGACTCGCAGCCTTTCCTCTGAGACATTTGTGACCTCTGCGTATCAGCTACTGATGGTCATTTAAATTTAGTTCAAGCTCTTTATCTACCTTATGCAGCCAGTCTTGTATGTTATCATTAGTATTTGATTGCCCATGCAATACAATGTTAATTCATGTGCATAAACCCTATCAAATAAACAAATACATTAATTATAAATAGGTCTGTTTTTGATGAGGAACAACGTTGGGGAAACTATCAAAACCATCCATTTCCAGGCTCAGGTTCCAGGCAGGTTATATGCTACATGTGACCATTCTAGTTTTGCTTGGGATTAGGACTCAGATCCATCTTGCTGCGTTCATCTGAGGCATAATGCGTACCCTGGCTGTGTGCCTCAAAGGTCAGCCTGAAGCCGCTAGCCTCGTTGGAGCTGTCGGAGTGGAAGCGCAGGTGGAGGTGGTTGTCAGTGGTCTGCAGCAGAGACGGGGTCGATGTTCCACACAGACGGGACAGCAGAGGAGCCGACGTGTCCGGGCCATTACGCAGCTGTAAGAAGACACATGCAGACACAGAGTGTGAGCCCGGCTCAGGAGAGACGCAGCAGCTTTTTTTTGTCATCATTTCAGATTTATGCAGCTAACATTTGGAACAGTTTTCCTGAAAATGTGAGACAGGCTTCCTCTCTACATTGTTTGAAATGTAATATACAAATAAACTTGGGTTGCATTGTCATTATGTCACACATGAACAACACTAGGGGTGGGAACCTAAGGGTACCTCACAATACGATACGATACACGATACAAAGCTCACAATAACGATAATATCACGATAACGATTTTATCACGATATGACGATTACACAAGTTGACAGCCAAAAAATTGTCAGGGGTTTCTCAACTGATTTTGGTGTTCTGAGTCCGAATATCACATGCATTTGGCTCTATCAGGTCAACTTTTTGAGATACAGCCATAGTGTTACGGATTATGTACGTCTACGTTATTATGAATTCTGCTTATCAAATTTGATGGAGTAAATAAAAACTGAATGACTTTGTATACGTTGACTTTTATTTCTTGAGGAAAACGGAAAAAGCGTCAGCTGATGATCCGCAGAAATTTGTTTTTTTACGCAAAATCGATTTAAAAAAATATTTCTGTAGCAAAAAATCCTGACCTGATTGAGCAAATTCAGCTGGAAAACCCTGGACTATTTAAAAAAAAAAAAAGTTTGTTACCCAGTGTTATCGATATATTTGTCAGAAATATATTATGCCAATTTATGGCATAAATAAAAGAAAAATGTAAAGTGAAAAAATACACTTTATTTCATGATAAAGGGAACGGAGATGCAAAATGTAGCCATATATTAAGTATTGATACTAATTGAATTTATTTTTTTATTTTTTTATCAATAGATACTTGGCAAATGCATATTGATAATCGAATCGCGAGAGAAACTAATTAATTAACTAATGTCCTTTTGGGAGAACCAGCTCAACCTACCTCCTCCAGCTCCAGCAGATCTTTGGCTCAGTTTTAGTTGATGGATGTCCATATTTTGCTCCTCAAAAACACTTACTGTAACTCCACGGTTCATTGCTGGCAGACGCAGCGTTATCTTTTTATGAATTTCTTAGGGTCTGTATTTGGCTTTTGAACCTGATTGTGATGTGCACCCTGAGATGTGTAAGATTTTTTTTATTTGGAAACATCAAGCAAAGAAGTGACAAATTGCATTATACAGAAAAAAATGCTAATCAATATTTACATACGACTCATATTTGAGGGATGAAAAAAATTAGGAAGGGGAGGGGTGGATTCTAATCTGGTTTAATGCATTCTGGGGTGTAGTGTGTGTGTGTAGGTCACTGTTATTGTTGAATATTGCCAATATTGCCAAAAGTTAGGAAATACAGTTTAGTGATTGATGTTTGTAGCAGTGTGAGGGCTTTGTTTTCTTTTGTTATTGAATCTGTGTGATGGTGCAGTTGTGATACATTAAAAAGGTGTGTTATTACAAGTGAGTGTTGGCTTCCTCTGAGCAAGCCCAGACCTGAGATGTGCGAGTTCTAACACACAAAAATACATGCTTAGTGAGCGGTGTGAGCCGTACCTCCAGGTAATCCCCATCGCTGCAGTCCGTCCCAAAGCCCTGGATCTGGAAGGGGCTCTGGAAAGTGACGGACACCCTGAAACCAGCCGTGACCCGGATGTGCCAGCTGCAGTCTGCATTGGGTCTGTAGTTCTGAGGGTACAGAGGACTGCTGACCACTCCCCGGTCACTGTGGACCAAGCCCCCGCAAGCTGCACACAACAGCAAGCACAAAAACACAGAACACACACACACACACGCACACACACACACACACCCAGGTTCATGTACAAAACACACACATAACACAGCGCACACAGACACACACACACACACACACACACATACATGTTACATCCTTGACCTCCACTCAGCATCAACCCTCAAAGGTGTGTCCATTTACATGAGGGAAAGTGTCTAAACAGCAACAGAGCAACCGGACGTCTCAAACTCGTCCCAATTGCTTTAAATTCTGGGCTTCTACTTTTTTGATGTTCGCAAATCAGTATGTATCTGTTGCCTGAAGAATCCCCCCCTCCCCCAGTACACAGCTCAGATTTGATTTAAATGATTACATTCTTGATCTCAGGCTCGAGTTTCTCATTCATACCATTGATATGAATTGAATGAAATCAGTTTAGCAGGAAATAGTAAACGCAGAAACTGTTTGTTTTGACGTTTTACTATGGAATGGTTGGAATCTACGCACTCTGAGATTGTTTCTGGCAAGGCCACACAGAGAATGTCAACACTACAGTGCAAGCCAATACTTTCCTTGATGGATATTTCTTTTGCTTTCATTTCTTGTGAACATTTACAACTGAGGGCTATGGGAAGACCGCAGCATCGAGTTGCACTCTAGCTTTAAAAGATTTCTTCTTACTTCAAACACAGGAAACTGTCATATTTTACTAGTGGTTGTATGATGCTGTATGCAAGGTGCATGTGAAGCACGAAAACAAAAAAAACAGCGAGGCTTCTGAAGGTGAGCCGTGTGTAGTGAGGGGCTGCTGTATAAGCAATTTTGACTCCTGATATTGGCCCACTTTTGCAAGTTGCGTACAATGATGCACTTAGACTTCTGCTGAATGTCCTTCGCTGGACCAGTGCCACCACTCTGTTCACACTAACGTACCCGCACTGAATGCTGTGATCAGAAACCTTGTGTGCAAGTTCATGAAAAACTCTGAGGACTCGTTAAATGATACTATGAATGTTTTTACATATCATATGCAGAGCAGTGTTCTGAAATTCTGAACTCTGGAGGCATTGGAGAAACTGTATTTACCGAATGTTGCAAACATTGTACATTTGTGTGCTGCTTGTCTTTTATTTTTCTTGCCTATTTGCTGTTTTGTTTATGAACCTTTTTACGTGTCTGAATTAAAGATTAAATACTACTCTTGTTCTCCTTCACCATACTATATATATTTTTCACACATGTACTTGGGAACAATGGGATAAACTCCCACATTGAACAATGATTCAGAATTCACAACTTTACAGAAACTGTGTGGTAATCTGTGGTAATCTGTGGTAATCTGTGGTCACCAGACCCCTGACCTCTGCAGTGGTCTTATACTGTATATGTGACCTCTGACCTCTGCAGTGGTCATAGCAGAAATAGAATAAATCATTAAAAGGCCACAAAACAGGTGGAATTAGTTTCTGATGCAGCAAAAATGCTCATAGCTCAGATAGTCAGTGACATCACAGAAGAGACGCCAGAACAAACACATTAAACAGGAACACGACAACAGTTACATGAGGGACTGGATGAGGAGCCGAAGGGCAGAGGGAAAGAAGCTATTTCATCTAACTGACTTGAAAGAGATGGACCTGTAGCGCCTCCCCATGGGCATGAGGGAGAATGGATGATGAGCAGGGTGTGCGTGCGAGTGTGTGTCTATGGACTGTAGGGTGTGACGCCAGTTCTTACAAAACGTTATGATGCGTTACAGTTTGTTGCGTGAGTGAGAAGTTACCAAACCAGACTTGGTATTCATGAAGTTTTAGAACTGAGTGAGCTGTCTGAAATATGTGTTTGTGTTGTTGTTAATTTGTAAAGTGTTGTTTCCATTTTAGTGACGTTGTTTTTTGTGTGATTTGAATGAGTCAGTGTTGGTTATGGATTCATCAAGCAAAGTCCATGATGTGTTCAGTGAATGATTGATTTTGCACCAAGGGTTTACACATGACACCTGTTCCTGAGATTGTTCATATTGTCTGAAGATGTGATCTCTGGAGTGATCTTATACAGTACATGTGAACTCTGACCTCTGGAGTAGGTGGCGTTGAAGCCTCTGCCATTCAGGCTGCTGTCGGAGGAGAAGTGGAGGTACATGGAGTCAGTGGAGGAGTGCAGTGGTCCGGGCAGGTCTCTTCCACACACAGTGGCCAGGATGGGGGACAGCCTGCTCGCTCCTGGAGACACACACCACTGTCACACGTTGCTCAATAACCGTTTGGGCTCACGATTTTGAGCTTAAAATAATCAGTGGTTTAACAATCTCTATGGTACTGGTGCTTTTATTTCGATATGGCTCATATGTGGATTCACAAAGACAAAAAGGATTGAGCAATCAGATGCCTCCATTTGAGGGGGAAACTCTTGCTTGTTCTAGTACACACAGGGGTATGATATCCAAGTATTATATTAACATTGTTAGTATTAGGTTTAAATGGGTGACCACGACATGTTGTACAACATTTACGGCTAATTATCTTGCAAAAACAACTGCATAACGTAATTTCTTATAAACAATGAACACATGGTGCAAATAGTAATAATACTTAGGCTTGTTAGTGAAAATTGATAGACTCCTTACTTTAGGTATTGTTTTCTGTTCAGTTTGATGTAACATTTTGTTTAATCTCAAGTTGAATAAAATAAATAAAAGCTGGTGCTTTTATATACAAGTGCTAATAGTCCAGATAGAACTGCAATGTAATAAAGAAATAATAATAACAAAAGTTACAAAAGAAAACAAAACTTTCCACAAAGAAGTAGTGTCCAATCAATGTGGCCTTGACCAAAATGAGTTATACCCCAAGGGTATGTGAAATGAGTGGAAGAGTGCTGAGACAAGCAACTAACCATCACGGATGACCAGGCTGTCGAAGTAGCAGTTTGGATAGTCCTCCATGTCCACAAAGAGCAGGTTGAGTTCCACAGTGGAGTCAGGTGAGCGGATGAGCCAGGTGCACTCCTCATCCAGGGGGTAGGGATCCGGCCATCCAGGGGAGAAGAGGAAGCCAGGAGAGGCCCCTGTCACCAGGCTCCCACCACACGCTCCTGCCGTCACAAACACCAGGGGATGATTACATATGGACAGATCAGGTTCTTCTTTTTCTCTTCAAATCACATTTGGAAGCATTATAGGTTGATACGGAACATACAGTAAAACTCTATTGTATACTTTATTATACAGTATAATTATATATATACACATATATAAAAATCTCACCAGAGATTTTTGAGACTTTCTTGCATACAATTCAATGCAAATTGTGAATTTTATGTTCAAATAGTTTCTGTAGTTGTGTACATGGCTGCTAAACTTTAAAAAATCATAATAAAAAAGTATGTTCTCTGTGATGATGGACCCTAAAACACAACATAAAGTTAAACCCAAAACGCACACATTCACACAAGTCCTGACCTGGGGGAATCGTGGGTGGAGGTCCAGAGCTCTGCACTGCCTTCCACTCAATGAGGAAGCCCCGCCCCCCCACCACACCGTCAGACTGGAATAGAAGCGTGAGCGTGCTGCCGGAGCTGCGCACTGGGGGAGGCAGCTGCAGACCACAGAACACCCCCAGAGGGTAGTAGTGCTCTGACGGGCCGTCCAGGACCTGCACGCCACACAGACATTAATTAAACACTCAATACAGCTTTTGTATTTCAACCTTGCGCACACAATACGAGTGTGACGATATATCGATATAACGATATATTGTGATACTTTCTCCCGCGATCGATTATCGATATGCATTTGCCAAGTAATGATTTTGAAAAAAAAAAAAAAAAAACATATATATATATATATATATATATATATAATGATTATGATTATGATTATTTTATTTATTAGTATCAATACTTAATATATGACTACATTACGCATTTCCTTTCCATTTATCATAAAATAAAGTGTATTTTTTCACTTAACATTTTATTTATGCCATAAATTGGCATATTTCTGACCAATATATCGTTATATAATCGTTACCGTGAGCTTTATATCGCGTATCGTACCGTGAGGTACCCTCGGGTTCCCACCCCTAGCATACAGTGAACAAAAAATTACACAAAATATACAGCAATCTGGAGTTTAAAAAGTGGTTAGGTGAAGCTGAACTTCTGCCGCGTTTGGAGATTTTCCCCCATAGACCTCCTCCCCTTCGGGAGGAGACCATGGGGAAGACCCAGGACCCGCTAGAGGGTCTTTGTTTGCTGGTCTGGGAATGCCTCAGGATTCCCCGAGATGAGCTGGAGGAGGTGCGTGGATAGGGAGGTCTAGGTTTCTTTGCTTAGACTGCTACCCCTGCAATCCGGCCACGGATGAAACGGAAGAAAATGGGCGGATGGTCGGACCTCAGTGTTAACTCAAACGGCTTGTTGTCGGCTGACGGGGAACCTACAGCTTTCACAAAGGAGGATTTTGTGGGGATTTTTTCACAAAAGAAAATAGCTGAACAGAGTTAGTCAAACAGTGAGCGTGTCGTGGGGAAGTTTTCTTTTAACCTGTTAGACCGTGTGGGCCTATCACAGGAACAGGTCTCCAGTGACATCCCATCTAAATGGAGTTCTTTTACCAGCTGTGAATGGTGGATAATCACGTTGTGCAGACTCTGTGGCCGTCTTACCGTGAGGTGGTCGAAGAAGCATTCATAATGGTCCTCAATGTCCATGTCCAAGAAGCGGATTTCCACCATACTGTCTCCGTCCACTGTGATGGTCCACTGGTAGTGTGCGTTGTAGGGGTACGTCCTGGGGTATAGCGGGGACGCGATCTGCCCCTGCTCTCCACTCACGTCGTTACCGTACACTGCAGGTCAGGGGGAAGAGGTGAGGTCATGAGGGCCACATACTGTACCCAAAATATACGGATTTTCTTATCATCTCACTGTTTTTGAGTTAAATATTCATAAATATGCAATTCAAATGCAACTAATTTAGATTATTCAATTACAAAACCTCTAATTATTATTTTTTTTTAAATCAAGTCCCAGCCCTAATTTGCATATATGTAAGTGAGTCACTATAAGATGCTTTGGGCTGTAAGATGAGTAATGTTGGTCCTATCTTTTTTACTTTTATGTGAAACTGATGTATAGATATGTGACAAAGGCTACATGTGGAAATTAGTGATAGAATCAAACTTTTTTCAGAGCAAGGATTGTAGTTACTGTTTGTTCATTTGTCTGAAATGTAGGGAACTAAGCATTAATTAATCTGCAGAAGAAATGGAGAGCTAGAAAAGACAAACATCTTTGACAGCACAAAGTATTCTGTGAAGAGTGGTTTTTCAGGATTTAAAAAAAAACAACTAATTTTTGAAAATTATTTTGATTAGGGAGTAAATTGTAGCATGTCAAATTACAAAATTATGACTCACATGTGTGTGTACAGCCCACATAAGTGTGTAAGCAGCAGCATTTACTTGAGTACTTTGTAATGTGTTTACTCACAGTGAGAGAAGGTGGCCCTGAAGCCGGCTCCACTCACTGCTCCATCAGATACAAACTTGACCCAGAGCACGTGACCCATTAGGGAGGTGTAGTTAGAGGGCAAGGCAGCCCCACAGAAACGGCCCACCAGTTGGCCCGTGGAGCTCCCCTCTCGGATCTCCAGGTAGTCACTGCCACAGCCGTTCCCGCCCTGAAGGCTGAACATGCTGCACACACCAGGGTACAGAAAATGGCTCATGGGTGTCTCAAGTCTTCAAGGTCTGTTACTGAAAAACTACAATGTGTTTGTCAGTTTCTGTCAGGACTATTGTTTTGCCCTGCTTTCAGCATGCCTGAAAATGCAGCAGCAATGACATTTTATAGACATTGGTCATCTGCCACGGCTCTGTGTGTTTGTTGCATTTCTGGTGGTTGAACTGTTTGATTCAATGAGCTGAAGTATTTGTAAAGTCCTCCAAGATAACTACTGTTGTGATATAAGGCTATACAAAATAAATCTAACTGAATTTACAGAAACGAAAATAAGAGAACATTGCCCCAGTGGTAGAATCACTTTTCCCGTCGCTCCTATGTCTGTCAGTGAAAATGCATGTGTCAATATATGAACAAGCCCCACGCCATCGGCCAGGGTCCTCTTTCTACTAGAATGTGTATGTCTATCACCCTCTTTGGGACTGGGTGACTACGGCAGAGAACAAAGGGGACGTACGAGAAGGAGAGTTGCAGACGGTTGCCGGGGGAACTGCGTATGGTCCACACACACTCCACGTTGGGGGGGTAGGGGTCCGGGTAATTTGGACTGTTGAACGCCCCGGTCTCCATCAGCATGTCTCCCCCGCAGCCTGGGGAAGAGCAGGGCAGAGCAGCTCAGGTCACAGGCTCAGGGGAAAAAATCAGGGAGGAGAAGGGACTCACTGGAGGTGGAGGCGCTGTAGGTGGCCCTGAAGCCTTTCCCTGACACAGAGCTGTCAGTGAGGAGAGTGACCACCATGGCGTTACTGAAGGAGGTGACCGGGTGAGGCAGCTCTGTGCCGCAGTACAGGCCTGTGGAGGAGAGGAGGTAGAGCAAGGAAGCCACTTACTCCTGGGTTTTGAAATCTTGTCTTATATGTACCACCCTCTGGAGCTCTAAGATGCTTTTAACTTTGTACGGCGACCATGAGTGCCCAGAAAGGCAACATATAAATAGACTGTATCATTTTTATACGACCCTTAATAAAAAAAACAATTCAGTCTTGATATCAAGTCTAAAATGACCAGGAGGCCGAACCAAAGATGATAAATTCTTAGTCATGTGCTCACGTTTTTTGGTTTATATAATGCTTAAGCAAACTGCAGAGTTCTGGTCTAACTGGGAAATACTGTATGTGCCGGTGTAAAGCACAACACTGTGGTTGTGAAAAAGCATGTAATGATTTTGAGGAGACCCCCATGAAGAATTGCCCTTGGGCATTTTACTAAATGAAATTAACCTAACCTGACTATCATACATATGAGTCACAAAGAACTTTACAATTGTGGGCATACAGTATGTCCTCTCACAGAGGAGGAAGCTGGAGCTGAGAACAAATAATTTGAAAGTGTAAAAGAGATGAACTGACCCACAGCGGGAGCCTGCAGGTTGTCCCCGTCCCGGATCTGCACTGCATCATGGGAGCAGTTTGGGTGGTTCTCCAGCTCAAAGTCAGTGAAAGACAAGGTCACGTGGTTGACTGGACACAAGAGTACATATTTCTATTGTTATAGATTTTCCCCACAAAGTTGGTATCCACAACTAGGCCCTATTATCACCAAGCTGTATCACGCCTCCATGTATGCTTTTGAGGTCTGTTTTCGAAGATCTTTTGATGATGATTTTTGTACAAGTAGTCTCAAAATGTTCACAGTGCCTTTTGAGGTTTTCTCACATAAAGGTGTGTCAAATTGATGTTCATGACTAGTCCCTAGAAGAGTACTATCACTCCCAGTGGCTGTTCCACCCCTGCTGCTTTGACCTAAACTGCAACTGCAATTGTTTGTAACTATTAGAATGATGTATTTATTTGTTATTTAATGGATGGATGTGTTTCTGCTGCTGGACACCTGAATTTATCCTACAGTGGATCAATAAAGTATCTAACTATCTATCTATATGTCTTGTGATCAAAAATTATCTATTGAGTTTTGTTATGATGACATATTGGTATGATAACAAAATAATGATGCTTTATTATTATCTGTTTGCATTAATCTACTTCCTAGTTAATTCAAAGGTTACAATTTTTAGAACATAAATTATTGTATAACTGCAGTTTTGTTCCCAAAACAAACCAAAAAAGTAAAAAAAAAAAATCTGCATTTACTTTCTGTTATGCCTGCATTATTCTTATCTCAATTTCTTTGACCAAATGCAAATGAAAGGGCGGGCCACAGAGAGCGAGACTACCAAAAGAATAATGCAGGCTGAAAGAATTAAAAAAGGAAATTAAAAAAGGAAATAAATGAACATATATGAAGGAAATAAATAAATGCAGAAAGAGATTAATGAGGATTTTTTTTTTCTTTGGGTGCAAAACAAAACTTTAATCTTAACCTAATCTTAATTCACATGGTTCAGACTCACAAGGCTCCATGGCTTTGATGATCCAGGTGCAGCTCAAGTTGGCGCTGTACTGTGCCGGGTACCGTGGAGACGCTATCGCCCCGCCCACATCGTCCGCCATGATGGAGGCTCCGCAGGCTACAAAAGACATAAGAAACATACTGTATACTTTCTTCAAGTTCTATAATCACAAGGATGTCATGTTGCATGTGACCATGGACCACAGGAAGAAAACAGACCGAGAGCTCACGTCACCCGACTCTGTGTCTTTTCCTCCAAAGAGTCATCTAGAGTTAACTCCAACAGGCTCCACTCCATGAGGATTAGAGCTAACTCCACCAGGCTCCATTAGGATTAGAGCTAACTCCAACAGGCTGCATGAGGATTAGAGCTAGGGAGCTTGAGGCTTCTGTGCAGAATCTTTCTAGGCTGAGATCACCGTGGTTGTTCCAGGGATCTGCTGAGTATGCAATGCGTATGCACCTGCGGACTGCCCTGCCCGACCCGTCTGGGAGCGCTTCAGTCATGCACCAGACCTGTCCACGCTCTGCGGCCGCTGCGTAGCATTGGTCCTCGTTCTGTAGCTTAGGTCCTGGATCATTAGCCCGTCCGTCCGTGTGGAGCGGATCCCTCTCTCAATATATGGGTCTCCCCGAGGTTTCTAACTTTTTTTCCCACTGGGTTTTTGTGAGTTTTTCCTTGCCGATGCAGGAGGGTCTGTTGGGCAGTTAGTGTCCAACTAGAAGAACTGTGGTGATGATCCAGGACACTTTAACATTTTACAACATGTATGGACATTCATCAACATTCATGGACATTGTTGTCTCCCTATATGGACCAATTCATATGTGTATATTCTGTGTCTTAACTGTTGATTCTCTGATCTGTGTTGGTGATTTCAATGGTTTTGTTGAGTCCTCTGAGATGACTTCTGCTGTGATTTAGGGCTATGCAAGGATTGTTGTTGTTGTTGTTGTATGGCAATGTGTGTATCCAGAAATGTCATAATCTTTTTTCATAATTTCAAACAATAAATATTCAACACGATGCTATACAGAAATAAACCGTTTGAAAAGATTTACCCTCAGAGAAGACGGCCCGGAAGCCTCTGTGGTTCTTGCTGGCATCGGATCTGAAGCGGACGTAGATGGTGTTGGAGGTGGAGGTGATGGCCGGGGGGAGGGTGCTCCCACAAACATGAGCCAGGACTGGGGAGGATTCACTCGGCCCGTCGTGGATCTGTCACACATTGCACAACATCAGCTCCACAGGATAGAGCTTTCATGGCAGCAGAGAGTGGGATGTCATGCCATAAAGGCGAGTACTATGGTCGCATTGAAAAAAAAAACTGTTAAGAAGAAGCACATGTAGAGCAAGTGGTGGGAGAGGGGTCGGGTTCAGAATCAGAATCAGAATCATTTTTATTGCCACGTAAGTAACAGGAAGTCACAGACTTGGAAATTGCTTTGGCTCAGTGCAACAGTCAGAAAGAGATAAAAATAAAGAGTAAAAAACACTTCTAAGGAATACATTTAAATTTGAAATAGATTTACAATTACAATTTTAAATTTAAATGTGTTTTTATCTCTTTCTGCAGAGTGTTAGGCGATCATGGAGGTTTGCCGACCATAAGGCACCATAAAACTAATAGTGGATTGTTACAGGACAACGAGACCACAAAGCTGAGGGTGCCACTGGCTACGAAACAAAGACAAAATGTTGTTGGACTCAATGGGACCGCGCACTTTCTCCGCCATTAAAGTTACAGTGTGTTTGATGCACGCTTTGTGAGGAGAACATAAGGACCGCACAAAACTTCACAATTTTCGATAAGCACTTTGTACAAGGTACCCTACTTTTCTTTTCTGTTGCTCAGTTAGAAAAGTAACCATAATGTTTTTGGCCTCATCAAACACAAGCATTGATAAAAGTCTGCAGCGTAAGGTGTATTTAGATTCTGGCTTTAGGTTAGTTTTTCTGTAACACGTCTGTATATATATTTTTGCATTTATTATTGTTTTCTAATAAAGAGATTTTTATACTTACTTTGTGGTTGGTGTTAATTTAATTCAGGTTTTATATCTGGTTTGTATTAGTATTCTACAAGGTTTAGCCTTATGACCCAAAATAGTAAATAAATAGTTATTTATCTCATCCTAAAAATAAGTATTTAGAACGAGAGTACACACATCAAAGAACCCAAAGCCCTACTAATGAGTAAACAAGGTTTTATCTTTGCTTTTAATGTCCTGTGTAAAATTAAAATTGTACTTAAAATAAAAGAAACAATACAAATGTCAAATGATTCCAGTATTGTCTGACCTCCACATAGTCAAAGGTGCAGTTGGTTCGGAACTCGATGTCCAGGTCAGTGAAGTTGAACAGCACCCGGTGGTTGGGGTCCACACTAATGACCCAGGAGCAGTCAGCGCTGTTGGGGTAATTGTTGGGGTACAAGGGCGAGTGGATCTCCCCTGAGTGAGCTGTGATGGGGCCTCCACAGCCTGGAACAGACAAGCAGCTCAGAATTCTTCACAATGGCTGGATGTGAGAGAATATGAATAACACAAACATTAAAGAATCGCTCTGCTATCTATCTATCTATCTATAGCCATGAGTGAGTAACATCGACCAATGCTGTGTCTTTCTGTATGTTGTATCCTTTCTAGAGAATCCAGAATGGCAGTGTGATTGCGCTCTGTTAGGGGCGTACCTCCTGGCACCTCGGCCCAGCTGGCATTGAACCCCCGGCCGCTCACGTACTGGTCAGACTTAAAGCGCACGGTGACAGTGTTCCCAGTGCTGGACACCTGCATGGGGCTGGAGGTGGTGGTGCACAGTTTGGCCAGCTGAGGGGCCTGTGGGTCTGGGCCCCCAAACACCTGAGGGGAACACGGTCAAACAATTAACACTATCAGTAACAGCATATGTATTTTTTTCTCCCCACTAGTGTTGAGATTATACATTGCAGTCAACTCTCTAGCGCCACACAATTCACAATAAGGATTACCGCTATGGGAGCATTCAAAGGACAATTTATCATCCACGACATCATCCAGCCTCCACTCCTGCGATCAGTGGATGGTAAGATGATTTTATACATTTTAATTTAATAATTTTTTAAGTGTTTATATACAAAAAGACAAAACTTTGTCCAGTCCCTTTTCTTTGTTTGCTGATCCAAGACTGATCCGAACCATGAGTTTTTAAATCCATTGCATCCTTAGCTGCAGATGTGAGAGGGTTCGGAAGCTCACCTCCAACACGTCGTAGTTGCAGTCCGGGTGAAACTCCACACTGAACTCGTAGATGGTGATGGTGATGCTGCTGCCTGCTGCCGTGTTGATGAACCATAAACACTCGCGGTTTTCAGGGTATTTGTTGGGGTAACCGGGGCTCTGGAAGGAGCCGGCCGGCCCATGCAGCTCTCCGCCACATCCTGCACACAACTCACCATCTCAAATACAGACCAAAGTCACTACGACTACAACTCCCTTTACTACTAGTACACTCTATACACTCTACAACAACTAAAACTTGCAGTAATCCAGGCCTATCATTGGCTGCATGTTTTGTATTGTAACTCTAAATACATAAAACAAATCTTACACATCTTAGTAATGGTAAACTGATCTGAGTTAGGCTTCTTTTGTTTTTTTGCTGAGCTTGGCAATTGTGACCCAACTTTAGTTCTACTGTCCTAAAGTGGCTAGCATTTCCTCTCTGTGTGAAGTTTGCATGTTTTCCCTGTGTCTTCTCCTACCACTAAAAAGGTGGGTGTAGCATGATGGTGTTTTTTTACTGCCGAAACTTATTGTATAATAACTTGAAATATTGAAAACACAACCCATTCAAAGCATTCACATGTATAAGTGACCACAGTTCCCTCACCGATCTGCGTCCACACCATCTGAAAGCCGGGCCGGGACAATGCGTTGTCCGTCCTGAAGATCACGGTGAGGGCAGCCGAGGTGGTGGTCCCGGAAGGTGGGGTGGAGCTTCCACAGTATGTGCCCAGTATGGGGGCCTGCGTGTCGGGGCCATTATACAGCTGTAGCACACATAGAAGAGCACCAGAGTTCAGTTTGACTCTTAGGTGTAGTTTATACGTACCTCCACCAGTTCTTCGTATTTATTTGCAAAAAAGCAATGTTTTTCTCATATTTTTCGTATCTGAGAGATCAATGAGATCAAAATAGGCAAATAGAAAATCTCACATATCACCCGGCCCATTTCCAGACACAAGTATGGATGAAGTTGCAACTACAGGTCTGTATTTTTCTTCTTCTGAACAATGGTGTCAAAGTGGTCAAAGGCTGCGGTCACCTTCAGGTAGTCGTATCCGCAGTAGCCCTGGTTGGGGCTCTCCAGTTGGAAGGTGCTGAAGGAGTAGCTGATGTTATTGCCAGGGGAGGCCAGGATGGTCCAGCTGCAGTAGGTATTTATGGGGTACTCATTGGGGAAGTTGAGCGACTCCAGGAGGCCTCTGTACTGGTTCTGTATGCGCTGAGCACTGCAGTCTGCAAAACAAGCACCAAGAGTACTCTACTGGTCTATGTACGGTGGGTCCTACATAATAATGGGGCCCGTTCTTCCGGCCCGACGGTGATCCAAAGTCCCAGCCTCCAGATCTACACCCAATAGCCTATTATTGGGTATTATTGGACCTACAGGAAACATTTTGTCCTTTCCAACAATGAAATGTACAGTACAAAGTAGTGGAACATTTGCTATTGGTCAAATACTTGCACTTGTGTGTGTGTTCTTCCTGTTGGAGTTAAATATACATGTATGTATGTGTGTGCGTGTGTGTTTGTGTGTTCTTAAAAGTGCAGTACTGTGTGTGCATGTGTGTTTGTTTGTGTGTTCTCAACGGTGGAATAGTGTGTGTGTGTGTGTGTGTGTGTGTGTGCCAAGTGTCCTCACTGGTGGAGTAATGTGCGATGAAGCCTCCCGCATTCACGCTGCTGTCTGTTCGTAGTTTGACGTACAGCTGGTTCCCGGAAGCAGAGATTGGGCTGGGCACGTCACTGCCACACAGGTGCGCAAGCTGAGGTGCCTGGCTACTGCTGCCATCGTACACCTGTCACACACAGCACACTGACACCTTCTTGCAGACAAACTAATGGGATTAGATTTACAATGTACCCTTGTCAGGTTAACACTGACTCTTTCTCTGTTAATTTTCTTGAAGGAGGTTAGGGTTAGGGTTAGGTTCACTATTATCCAAAACATGTATTGGGCATTACCAATGTCAGTCATATGCATCTGTATGTATGCGTTAATAGTGTCAATTGAAGCAGATGATGCATGTTGTGCGACATAAATAAGACGAGAAGGGAAGGCCCCTCCGACCACCACCAATCATTCACACACAACAGACCAGACTCATTCTAATGTGGGCGAAGTTCAAACTGTACAGGTTTGAGGCTCTAAACATGTACAGTATTATCTCGAGGCTCTGCACATTACAATATCCAGGGACTGCAGAAGGAAACTAGCTGTTTAGCTATAATCTGGTGCAGAACATATCTGTCTTTGAGCTTAATGTCTCAGTACATTGTCCCTTCAAATAAAGACTAAACTAAACTAAACTATATTCTCTTGTCGGTCTACAGTCGCATGCACAGTATTATCTTGAGGCTCTAAACATGTAAAGTGTTATCTTGAGAGTCAACACTCCCATGTAAGCATGGTGGTGCATCATACTCACTGCCACATAGTCGTAAGCACATGCTGCAGAGGTCTCCAGATGGAAGTCGGAGAAGCTGAGCAGGAGCTCGCTGCCCGCACTGGTCCGCACATCCCAGTAACACTCTGCGTTGGGGTGGTAGGGCAGGGGGTAGTTTGGAGAGGAGAAACCCCCAGATGCTGAGTTCAAACTTCCCCCACAGCCTGGACAAGCACACAGCACAGATAGTCTCAGTCCAGAAAAAGCCAATTAAGCATTTCCAAACAAATGACTCAAACATGACTTCTTTATCTACTTTGAAATCTATTACGTACTGTACATGGATCATTACACAGCATCATGTTGGCCCTTAAACGGGATTGTGAGGATTTTTATTTTGGAGTTGCATGTTTCAGAATGTTAAACTATTCCTTCAGATAAAAAGGCATGACACCTGTAATACGAATACGAGATTACGAGAATACGAGATTGAGTAACACTTCTATCAAGTGGATCTAAATCTAACATTGCACCATGCAGTGGAAGTATGCAGTTGTCATAACACATAACTGCAGGGTGCAAGATGCTGGCAGGGAAAGCCTAAATAGAACGCCACACTGTAAAAGAAAAAATCCCTAGATTCTACGGTCAAATTCTGGCAATTTTTTTTATCAGAACATTTCTATAAAAAATATTGCTCCACTGTAAAACAAATTATATAAATTATATGTAAATACATTTACAACATTTTATTGTTTGGACTCATCTCCAACAACGATGAGTCCGCCTACAGGAGGGAGGTGGACCGGCTGGTGTCCTGGTGCAGTGGTAACAACCTGGAGCTGAACGCCCAGAAGACAGTGGAGATGATTGGGGACTTCAGGAAGAGCACTGTCCCCCCGCCCCCACCCTCCGTGATGGACTCCCCCATCACCTCTGTGGAGTCCTTCCGTTTCCTGGGCACCACCATCACCCAGGACCTCAAGTGGGAGCCGACCATCAGCTCCCTCATCAAGAAGGCCCAGCAGAGGATGTACTTCCTGCGGCAGCTCAGGAAAGCCAAGCTGCAGTTCTACACGGCCATCATCGAGTCCATCCGCACCTCCTCCATCACCTCCTCCATCACCTCCTCCATCACCTCCTCCATCACCTCCTCCATCACCTCCTCCATCACCTCCTCCATCACCTCCTCCGTCACCGTGTGGTTCGCTGGAGCCACAGTCAGGGACAAACAGAGACTACAGCGCACTGTGCGCTCTGCAGAGGAAGTGATCGGCCGCAGCCTTCCATCGCTGCAGGACCTGTACGTCGCCCGAGCTCGAGGCCGGGCTGGTCGTATCACAGCCGACCCCTCTCACCCTGCACATGGACTATTCCAACCACTCCCCTCTCACCTCTCACCTGCACATGGACTATTCCAACCACTCCCCTCTCACCCTGCACATGGACTATTCCAACCACTCCCCTCAGGCAGGAGGCTGCGGTCCATCAGGACTAGAACCTCCCGCCACAAGAGCAGTTTCTTCCCCTCTGCTGTTGGACTCTTGAACACTTCTTAACCTGTCCCCCCGCCCTTTATAAAGTCACTTTACTGCCCATCATACGTCACTTTACTTCACTGTACTGCTGTCACCTTACATTGTGTGCACCATGTGCACTTGTATATTGTAAATAGTAACTGTAACTCTATTTTAAATTTAAATTTATTCTTTAGAAGTGTTTTTTATTCTTATTTTTATTATCTCTTTCTGACTGTTGCACTGAGCCAAAGCAATTTCCAAGTCTGTGACCTCCTGTTACTTACGTGGCAATAAAAATGATTCTGATTCTGATTCTGATTTTAAAGCACGACAAAATCACATTAAAGCACGGCAAAATCAGATAAAAAAGAATTTTAAATTGCCATCTTGTATTTGAATTTCTTTTTTTCAGCACGTTTTACATCTGTTAAATGTATGTTTTGAATTAGAAAATGGTGAAATTTACTGAATATGACTATCACTCTCTCCAAGATATACGTGAGAGAAACAGTGCATGATTTGTAACGTGAAAGGTGCTGGAACAGCGGATGAATTCATCCGCCGAGTTCTGTCGGCGATCGCTCAGACCCATTTTGAGGAAAGATCTGTGTATTTGTCCAGTACTTTAGTGATGTATGGGGATACACGCCTCACTCATGGTTCCCATCAACTTGATCCCCCAAGTTCACAGCATTAACTTGAACAACATCAGCATCATCGGCAACAGACAAGAGGCTTTTTAAATCGGCGTAGTTGTAGCAGATTACAGGGTTAAATGTGGTTTTGCTGTTGATTTTGCACATTTGCAATCTTGTGGCTCCACTTGTTCTTCTAAGTAAGGTTGTGTTGTTTTTTAAAGGAACTTTGATAAAATTACATTTATTTGTGTAATTTCATAATAAAACATTTTTAATTAAACTCATTAGGCCTTATAGGCCATTTTGTTTATTTTCACCAACCATGATGGAGAAGGCTTTGCCAAAGAAGGACTATTTAACTTATTTAATTCATATTCATATTTAATTACACAATTGCCTAATTATGGGTCATTGAGATCCAACTGTGGAAGTGCTCTTCCAGAGAGTGCTGACTCACTTTAAACACTAAAGAGAAGGTCTTATGGGGTGATCAAACCCATTGCCTTCAGCTTCAGGCCTATAGTCCAATGTTTTAACAACTGAGCTACTGGTAGACAATCAAACATGGTATCAAAGTTATTTTTCATTCATTTTTAAATTATGTGAAAGTACAGAACATTTTCAATTCAAAAGATTCATTATCAATTCTCATCACAATCGATACATGATTTTCTCTCAAGTTCTCTCTATCATTAAAAATAAACCTTTAAAAAAATATATATCTTTTGGTTGACAGGCTGTGTTCTCAATGGTTAAATAATGAAAACAAAAATAAATGCTTTACTGACCGCTCTGCGTGCCGTCCCAGTGTGCCGTGAAGCCCTTCCGCGTCACAGTGGCGTCCGAGCGGAATCGCACCCACAGTCGGTTGCTATGGGAGACCAGTACCGGGGGCCTGATTGTGCCACACCACCTGCCAATCAGAGGAGAGGTCTCGTAGCCTCCGTCGCTGAGGGCCACACACATCAGGGTCAAACACAACTTATTAATAATGTTTCTATTTGGAGATGTATCTGTTTTTTATTTTTGTTCCATAAACTTCAGGATGTTGTTTGACTGTGTCCAGCCTTAGGTCAAGGTAGTGTTCATTTCAAGAAAAGCTATCACCAAATAAACTTTATTAAATATGAACAGGGTAAAAAAAAAAAAAAGATTATTCATTTAATGTAAAAGTGAATAGTTAAAAAAGTGATACAGCTAATGTTAAGTGTGAATATTCAAAAATGTATAATATGTAAAAAGACATGTACATATAGGCAGACACAGAACATGGATTTATTGTATGTAATTGTGAAGAAGAATCAATCCTTTATTGAATCAAATGCAGCTTTAGACATGTGCACTGTCTATTCTTTCTTGTTTTAACACAGAGGCATTTTGGTGTGAAATCTCTTAATCCTAAACTTTATTACAGCCTTGGTTTGTAGACAAAATAAATAGAAAATGTGTTGTGTGATTGTGATTCATTTTTTCAGCATAAACCCAGCTCCAGTTAGACTCACCGGATTTCCACAAAGTCAAAGCTGCAGCTCGTGTGTGATCCCTCCAGCTCGAAGTCAGTGAAGTTCAGCATGATTTGTAAGTTCATCTGCACGTGGCACCAGAAGGGGGCAGTTTAGTAATGGAAACAAGATAAAAAGTGGCTCTACAGTATATGTTTTTTTATCATTGCATTTCTTGTGTCTGAACTGGTTGATTCTGATTGACTTAGGGCTGTGCAATTGAGTTGAATAGATAACAATCAGTCAAATACGCTCACATTTTGTAACATATAACAGCTATCAGTAAATCATCCACAATTGTTATTATATTTCACTGGTTGGAGACATTTCTGACGAGACTAGCTAAACAAAAATGAATTGAATTGAAATGAGACCTGCACAGTGATGGTGAAGAAGCAGTCCCTGCCAGTGGGGTAGTAGCTGGGGTAGTTGGGGGAGGAGAAGGTGCCAGTGGGGGAGGTGAAGGCCTCGCTACAGTCTGACAGCACAGAGGGAATAGTTACGATTATACATGCTGTCAATGTCTTTATTGATTCTGAATTCTCCTGATAAAATACTAGTGTTATAAGTTTTGAAAAAGTAATAAAAAATTCAGTAACAAAATGATGTTCAGTATGAGTAGGTACAATTGCAAGTTTTCTGGTGCCTGCATCCTTGTATTGTGTTAAATAAAAGCCGTAAAAACTACAGATGCTTCTTGTTTTCTCTGAATGGCTCTTTAGCAGTAAAATCATGTAGTTTTGGCTGCTCAGGATGTAAGGTGTTTGCCCTCTTGGTGTACAAACTTCTTTATTATAAGAAACAACACATTTGCAGACCAGTTCATGAAGCAGACATACTGACATGTGCAGAGAGAGACTGGACCCTGCATGTTCTATCTCTGCACGTCTCTGCATTAAATTAGACGCTGTATGTCTGCTCATGAACAAGCAGAGTCCAGTTCTATTGCTGCACTGTCTATATGTCTGCCTCATTAATGTCACTTTGTATGTTGGTGAGGTGTGAGTACCAGTGGTGGCGTTTAGGGACACATATCGAGCAGAGAAGCCCTCCACAGACAGGCTGTTGTCGGACACGAAGAGCAGTGTGAGTAGGCTGTCTGTGCTGGTGATGGAGGGGGGGGCAGAGCGCCCACAGAACCTGAGCAGAGGGGATGGACATTCAACATCATACATGGCTCCTTCTAATGTGAAGAATGACATTCAGCTGGAGAAATCCCCAAAAGTATCAGAAACACACTCTTGATCCTAGTCAAGAGTACCTTTATTATATTTATGGTAAATGTAATACACAAAATGAGTGCACTGTGACTTCAGAGCATGTAGGGTTTCAAAGTCATTTTTGTTGGATATTTTTTCAGAATTTAAAAAACCTTTTTTACCAAGGTAAACGTTTCTTTGTGGAAATTGTTTTAATCTCATCTTTTGCATCTGTGCTCATTTTTCCATAATATATCTTATAATATTATAATTTACGTTGTGGAGGTCATTTTGTCCAAATGATATATCATCATTATTTTTATAATTATTTTCTGTTTTCAGCTAAATATTTCTGAACAAAATCAGTTCAGTTCTGTTTAGACTTAGGCAAAACTGGATTTAAAGTAAAGGCCTGTACTGCCAACTGAGGTCATAAGCATATTCTAAATTAAACTATAATTATATTATTGATTCCAATGTTTAGAATAGGTGAACAATTACGTATCATGTGTCCTCCTACAATCTAGTTAACTGTAAGAATTGACAGTCATATCAGTGGTCTCACATCTGTGTTTAAAGGAAATATGTTATTGTTTGTGTTTTAACCACACAAACAATTGTTTTCCCTGATCAAACAGCCCTGTGAATGTTAGGAGCCAAAATTAACATAAATAGTTCTCCATATTTGTTCTTGAATGTGATTTTTTCTCCATAATAAGTCTCATCATAAACAGCAGAAAGACGTCTTTTCTGTACCGTCCCAGTTTGGTGCCGGTCTCCACGGTGCCATTGTCATAGATTTCCACATAGTCAAAGTTGCAGTCGGTGTGGTACTCCATATTGAAGGAGTCGAAGGAGAGCCGGATCAGGTTCCCGGGGGCCACGCTGATGAACCAGGTGCAGTTGGCTCCGTGCGGGTAGCCGTTAGGGTGTCCTGGGCTCACGATCACTCCGCTGGAGCTGGTCATGGTGGCTCCACAACCTCAAGGTAATGTGCATATTAGTATTTATTTCTTTTTTATATATATTTTCTTTTTGAGTTTTTGTTTTTGAGAATTCCAGTATTCAAAAATCCTTAAGTTCTCAATATAACGGGGCAACAATTAGATAATAAAAAAAGGAAAAAGAAAAAAAAAATAAGGAAAATGAATGAATAATGACAAAATAATGAATAAAAATGATAACAATAACAATAATAATAATAATAATAATAATAATAATAATAATAATAATAACAATAACAAACTAAATGTAAACATAATGTAAAAGTTTTGGATGGGCTCAGAGACACTTTAGCCTTATATCAAGATGTAAGGACATTCAAGCAGATAACAACGTACCTTCTATGGCCTGGCCGTAGTCTGCCAGGAAGCCCATGTTAGTGACTGAGGCGTCGGTTTGGAAGCGCACGTACATGAAGCCTTGTGTGGACTGGAGTCTTGGAGGGATGTCAGTGCCACAGAACTTCCCGAGGAGAGGAGAGCTGGAGGAGGAGCCATCGTGCACCTACAGCACAACAAACACACGTCATGAGGTCTTGTGTTCATGCTCCAGGTAGTGTAGGGGTCCTTCCTCAAGTGGAGGTGTTAAAGTCTCTCAGGTCTTGTTCACAGTGAGGAGAGGATGGAGCTGTGGAAATGAGCGATAAGTTGAGGAGCTCAGGGAGGAGAAACCATCCCCACATCTTCCCACCATTACAGTTCATAACTATTGTACATGTTTTTAGTGGTAGGGCAAACCAGAGCATCCGGTTGAAACCTACACAAACTCGGGGAGAACATGCAAACAGCAGAGACAGGCACCATCTGACTTGGGGATCGAACCCAAGATCTTCAAACAGAAATGTAGTGAAGTAAAGGAAAAAATTGCTACATCAAGTAAGCCTCGTGAAAAGTCCAGATTCCCTGTGCATCTACTTGATTACGTTGTGCTAAATCTGACTTACCTGCACGTAGTCATAGCGACAGGAACTGTGCTCCATGCTGAAGGACTGGAAGTTGAGCGTGACCACGTGTCCTAGAGGCTGGCGGATCACCCACTCACATAGCTTGTTGTGGGGGTAGGCGTTTGGATGGAGCGGAGAGTGGATCTGGCCCGTGCCCGTCATCACTCCCCCGCAGGCTGCACACACCGGGGACATGAGGTGTTACAACAGGGCAAAAGCTGGGGTAACTTTTACTTATTATTTAACATACTGTTGTCCCCAATGAAATTAAAAGTAAAAGATCAGATCACAATATGCTGTTCTCATATCGAAAGCATGTAATTTTCTGAGCCCTGTGAGCCTCAATATTAGACCCTCAATATTTGACCCTTAAGGCTGAGATCTGATTGGCTGAGTGAGGGTAGTCCTCTCTTGTTTACTTTTCTGTTTGACAAAGCAGATCTAAGGCAGCAACAAAGGCCAACAAAACCCACATGTGATAAATAAAATGGTGGGTCCCGACATCATTCCAGTTGAAATCCACTTCTCCAGAGACACTGACACTCACCCAAAGAGTAGATGGCCCTGAAGCCTGCATGGCTGACTGACCCGTCCGACCTGAAGCGGATCCACAGGGAGCTGGACCAGGAGTGGATGAGAGCGGGGAGCTCACTGCCACAGTAGCGCCCAATCAGAGGGTCCGTCTCCCGCAGGCCGTCCCGCACCTCAAACACAGCAGCACACCTGACCTTACATGTGATCATCTACTCTACTGTATGTGAGCACACTTCTGTCAAACATGAGGCAGAAGTTACTGTATGTAGCTCCACATTCAACCAAAACAATGAAACATGAACCAAAATAATGAAACACCAGCAACAAGTTAATAAAGGTATAAATGAGGACTTCCAGGTAGATCATCAAGGCTATTGGTCCTCCTTACTGTCAATCATTCTGGTGATACGTGCTCATCGAAAAAGACCAGAAAGTTTAGATCAAAAAGTAGAGAGAGCGGTTCTTTCCTAAAATTTGGGGAAATTCTCCTATATACCTTTAAGTAATATTAAAAAATATATATCTTTACGTATTTTGATGTTGCTCTTTTTCTCTTTGACAAGCATTGGTGACAGGAATAATTGATAGAAAATAATTATTCAGTAAAGTCAGTAAATACATTTCACCAAAACAAAGTGATGTTTCCCCTGGAGAACAATCATTGAGATTGAAGTTGGCTTGTTGGCACTTTGGCTTGTTTTAGCAAACAAAATCATGACTCATTCTGAGGTCATCACAGCAACCACATAAAACGATTCATAGATTGAAAAGTGTGTGATTCTAAAATAGTCAGTGAATTCAGCAGACTCTGGGCTAAAACTGCCTATAACTTGTTGAATGTTGATATTGGCAGAGCTTAAGTTCTATCCAAAATAATAACAAAACTAATTTCTGAAAATGTGAATGAATGTTGCCGAGTCCCGACCTGACCTCACGTGTGCGTCTGTGCAATAATAAAACGAACTAATGTCAGGATGTGCATAATGAAACCACATGTGTCCACTGTCACTTTACTTTATATACTGTCACATTGTTGCTAACATGTCCAGATGTAAACATACAACTGTATATTTCTCGCACTAGAACATACAGTTTTTTAAAGTTAGCATTTTTTTACTTGCTTCTTTGTTATGCTGAAGTTAGAGATTTTGTTTTATTTGAGTATAGAGGAGCACAGGGACTGGACTCCTGTTAGTGCCCAGAGTCAGAACTAAACATGGAGAGGCTGCTTTTCAGATTCATGCTGCTAAAATCTGGAACAATCTTCATGAAAGTGTGAGACAGGCCTCCTCTCTGACAATGTTTAAAACCAGGTTAAAAACAGTCCTGTTTAGCTGTGCATACAACTGAGGGATTTTATATTTTATTCTTTCTTTTATATGTACTGTGATTATTGATGATTTTAATGCTATCTTATTTTGTTCAGCAATTTGAGTTGCCTTGTGTATGAAATTGTGCTATACAAATAAACTTGCCCTTGCCTAGAGTTATTGTCCACTTATCTTATGGTGTTTGCTCCTCATTCTAACTGTTCTTTAACTGGTTCAACACTGATATTTCCCCACTTTGGGACAGATGAAGGATCTCTTAATCTTAATGTTGTACCTCCACATAGTCGAAGGCACAGTTGGTGTGGTTCTCCAGGCTCATGTGGGTGAAGTTCAGTGACACCCTCTCTCCCGCGGGCATACGGATGATGTACACACACTGCCTGTTGTGGGTGTAGTCGTTGGGCCAGTTAGGGGAGATGATGATCCCCTCTTGGTTCGTGAACGTTCCGCCACAGCCGGGGTCACCTGTGGTTGCACACACACAACACAAACACACACACATGCAGTTTTTTAGTCAATGTGACTTTGTGACTCAAACTTATTTTCTCCATAACTGTAACTACACCTGTCATTTGTCCCTTTGGAGCACAAACTTTGTTAAGCTGAGGCTCTGTAATTTTGGCCTCCAATGCTTTAATTATTGTTGGGAACAATTTGTGCACAGGGAAAGATGTGCCTCCAGTGGCCTACATACAGGGACGTGCAGTCAGATGAGGCCTGGCCTCACCTACGATCAGGGGAAGAAAAAAGAATAAAATGGAAATACTTGGTCACTATATCAAGTGATTTATGTTATTTTATTATTTTCATGTAACTTTGCCCTATTTCATTAATTTTTACATTGAAATCGCAGATTTCGTCATATTTTCTCATATTTGACAGAGCTGTGCACTGGAGGCGAGCCTTGGGAGAAGTAAATGCCTGTAGTTCACTGAGGCAGGAGCCCGTGCGCTGCTATCCAACTGTTTTCTCTGTTTATCGTGGTTTACAAAGTTCAAACATATTTCCTTTACAATCTACATGTCTACAGTTGAGAGGATGGCTCATAAATTGTGTTTTTGAAACAAATTTGGGTCTTAATCGCTCAAATGGCGCTCAAACCACGGCTTGTAATGTCACCAAATGAGGCCAGCCTCAGGGGGGCGCATGTGAGCCCAGAATTCGGCTGCATACAATTTCATTAGAAAGCTCCTTTCTTGTTCTTTATGCTTCCAATGATGATAGGAATTATAAGGAAGAGAGGTGAAGGGTAAGAAGGTTGATATTAGAAATTGGAATCAACCGAGACTCGGCTGCAGCGAAACATGAGAGGAGTTTATGGAGGAGACACCCGTTTTGTTTTTCTTTTTAAAACTCATTGGACTTAGTTCCAAATGCTCAAAAGCTCAAACTATTATCTGGACTTAAACATGAAACTGGTCTGAACTGAAGTGGTCTGTGCAGGTCATGTTTACAGTGAGGTAAAGACCATAACACACTGTTAAATGTGCTTTTTACAAACTTTTGTGTTTTATATGAGCAAACAATTCGGACATGAAACATATTCTGCTGTAGCCAAAAATATTGTGAATAAGCCACTCTGTAGGTCCTGTTGATTTGTATTATATATGTTTAGCTGACGTGGTGTTCTTCCCACCTTGACACCTTCTCCACCGACTCCTACTGATGACTGCTGTCGTTGTGTCCTTGGGCAAGACACTTAACCCCACTTTGCCCAAAGCCCCCACTGAAAGATCAAGGCTATGCCCACACTCAGAGAGCAGCCGTCCTCCTGTGGACTCACCACCTGCAGAGGATCAGTGAGGGGCTGGTGCTATGAGACTTGGGTGGCATCTCTGACTGCCACCCCCCTGACCCAGAAATGGATTAAAGGGTAGAAAATGGATGGATGGATGTTTAGCTGATTGGGGTGAAGTCAGTGCCTCACCAATCACCAACCTCACGTCACTGCCTACATATAGTTTGATAAATATGTAAAAGATGTTTAAATGTTCGTCAGAGAATACATTATACATATACATTCTTAATACACATGCACAGAGGTTTTCAGAATGATCTGTTTACGTTTTAATGACAAAAATACTGATTTAATGCGAGAAAAAGCGATTTCGATAAACCAGGAAGTATGTTCTTGGACATTTTAGGAACATTTGCAGAGGATCGATTTATCGATTTAGGTTGAATTTATGTTTGGGTCACTCACCGCTGATGTTCAGAATTCTTTGTTCAGTTTTCATGCAGTTCAAGAGAGTTCTAGTTTGGAAGTTACTGTTACTGGTTTCCCCTTTGGGAACTATTTTATTATCAGTAAATAAATAAACCTTTCAGCATTCATAAAGGTGGACTGAGGTTTATTTTGTGTGTTCTGTTGGTACAAAGCCGTAAAATAAGCGGGATAATGTATAGTAGGCAGGTCATTATCGGAAAATAAGTACCTTGTACCAGATAGTGACATGCCTACCATACATCATCCCTTACATATTGGCTCAAACAAAATGGAGAATGACCAACTGTTGACTTCCCCTTTCATAGCGAGTTCAATTCAATAAAATGTCTTTTGTATTGCCCTAAATCACCACAGTAGTCATCTCTGAGAACTTTACAAAACTGTCGATTTGCCAACACAGATCAGAGAATCAAACAGTTCAAACACAAGAAATGCAACGATGAAAACACATGGAGCCATTGGTCCATAAGAGCCGGATGACCTATGTTCATAAATGTTGATAAAGGAACAAGTCCCTGAATATCAGATTTAGAGCATAATAAAAGCATCAAGATCCAGCTCTTTTCAAGCTTGCTATGTCTCGTTTTTACTAGTGCCTGAGATTAGAAGGTAGTGGAATATTCTGGAGGAGGTTCGTACTTGGAGAGGTGGTGTACGCGATGTGGAAGCCCCGGTCAGTCACGCTGTTGTCAGAGTGGAAGTGGACCCAGGCGTTGGGGCCCGTGGTGACCAGAGGGGCCGGGGACGATGTGCTGCAGTACCGGCCCAGTATGGGGTCTTCAGGCAGCAGGCCATCACGTACCTATAACACATACTCTCACATAATCTCACACAGTCTGTCACAGGGTACCTCCGAGCTACTGATAACAACGCCAACAATATGACACAAGAAAAACAGCTTTCTGACAATGAGGAAATTCATTTTATATTTTTATCTTTATTTATTTATCTTTATTTATATACCGCCTTTTCACTGCACATCAGAGTCTCAAAGCGGTTTACAATTGTGATTTTTGTTTGGGGGTGCCAATACAGGAGGCACATGTCAGACCTATTGTACATATTTTTAGTGGTAGGGGAAACCGGAGCACCCGGAGGAAACCTACGCAGACATGGGGAGAACATGCAAACTCCACTCAGAAAGGCCCTGGTCCAACCGGGATTCGAACCCAGGACCTTCTTGCTGAGAGGCGAGAGTGCTATCCACTCAGCCACCGTGCCGAGTGGATATATATTATATATTATATTATATGTCCTTATCATTTTATCATTATAAATGAGACATGCTCGAGCCAGGCTTTACTTTGAGGTTGCAATGGTAACTAACTCTGTCACATCTGCTGGTCAAGTTGCACCCGGATGTCGCATTATAGATGGTGTTGGTAAAAGGAACTCTCTAACATCCTGGTATGTGTCCTGCAACAAACTCGCCTGACCGTACCCCTCAGCCCATCCCGATCCCTTAGTGATTGCTACTCTTAAAGTAGATCATAAAATGGCAAGATGATGTGATTTTTTTCTCTGCTTGGGGAAAAAATACTAAGATTTTTGTGAGTCCTGTTTGTCAAGTGTTCCGGGTCTGCAGCTGGATTGTCTCACCTGAAAGAGGGCGCGGCCTCAGTGAACCACTCGTTTGACGCCTTGTAAAAAGGTGAAACTCAAAAAAATAGAATATTCTTCAAATGTCCATTTACTTCTGTAACTCAACTTACAATGGGAAACTATGAAATGACAGACTCATTGTACAAAGTGAGATGTATGGGATATTGTTGATAATTATAACATTCCTACACAAATCTTAAAGGAACTATACCTGATTTATTTTCAAATGAGTTTATAAAAATGTGTTTTACTACATTCAACTTTTATTTAAATCCGTAATTCAATTGAAAAGTTTAGCTCATTTATTCAGCTTATATGTGAATTCAGGCCATGCAAAGTGCTGACTAGAAACTTTGTGTGACGCTAGTTCTCCTCCACTTGCACAACGAGGGCCGGCGCTGTTGCAAACAGGCCACGCCTCCTCTAGCGTCTGCAGGTAAACAGAACAGCATGGCGGCTGTACTTCCTCTGGCTGTAACTGCATATACAGCAAAACAGCCCAAAATACGCAAAAGTGAGAAGGAGAAGAGGGAACTAGAGCGAAAAAATTATGAAATAAAAAAATCTAGCCCTGGTGAATATACGTAGCTTACAAAGTATCCTTGCTGGAGAGACCTGCGGGAGCGGCACTGCCTCGGACTACATTTGGAAGCAAAACTTGCGGTCAATTTCTGTTACTGCACTGTATATTTACTTAGCAATGCGTTGCTTTTGTACCATTTCATCTGTGATTGCTGTACAGCTTTGGAGAAGTTGTGCTGATGCTAATGTTTGCATACGTATTTGATCGCTACTAAAACTAGATTGTAGGGGAGAGTATGAGGGTTTCTTAGAATGAGAAGCCTGTGAGCGAGTTGGGGGGGCGGTGCTAAACATTCAAACTCAAAAAAACCTTGCAGAAATAGGTCTAGCTCCATTAAATATAATTTATTCATCTTATGTATGTTTTAGTGAAATTTCGTGTCAATGCTGTCACGTGGGCTTTCATTGAACAGGAATGTGGACACAGTTGAACATGGTTGTACCTCCAGATAGTCATAGTTGCAGTCTGGGTGGTTCTCCAGGCTTAACAGCCCAAAGGCAAAGGTGATGAGCAGGCCAGGGCTCACAGTGACCATCCAGTAACAGTCCCGGCCCGGAGGGTAGTTCCCGGGGTAACCAGGGGAGTTGATGCTGCCGTACGGGGCACTCAGCTCTGCTCCACAAACTGAAAGGGGAAAGCACACAAACAGTCTAATTATATGTATAAGAATACAGGCATTATTTTGAGGAGCCAAAAACCTTCCTCTAGTAAAAAAAAGTAGTTTAGTTTAGAGATTTACAGACGGATTGGTGCTGCGTGTGCAGAGGTTGCTATATCATCGTTTGCAGTCAGAGCTGTATCAGACTGTTGTGGTGAAGTGGGAGCAGCGTCTGCAGTCAGAGCTGTATCAGACTGTTGTGGTGAAGAGGGAGTAGCGTCTGCAGTCAGAGCTGTATCAGACTGTTGTGGTGAAGAGGGAGTAGCGTCTGCAGTCAGAGCTGTATCAGACTGTTGTGGTGAAGAGGGAGCAGCGTCTGCAGTCAGAGCTGTATCAGACTGTTGTGGTGAAGAGGGAGCAGCATCGGCATACAGTGCTGTCATCAGTTTTGGGTAATGATCAAGAAGAAGAGAGGCTGAATACAAGCGGTCTAAATGAGTTTCCTCCGCACTGTGGCTGGACATTCCCTGAGGAGCTCGGAGTAGAGCCGCTGCTTCTCCACGTCCAGTTGAGCTGGGAAGGTGATTTGGGCATGTCCCACCAGGAGTAGACCAAGGAAAGACCCTGGACACATTGGCACAACTGTGTCTCTCAGCTGGCCTGGGTACAACTAGGGATTTCCACAAGTGAGCTGGAGGAAGTGTGTGTGGATTGGGAAGTCTGGGCGTCTCTGCTCCGACCGCTGCCCCCACAACACTGAATGTAATTCCCCACTTGCATCATCTGTTTCTCTACTCTTTATCCATTATGTATGTTTACAAATATAAATTATCAGTCAATATTTTCAAGATTATGTAGAAGGACTAGGGCTTGGCGATAAAACAATAATGATATATATCGCGGTAGACATGTGATCAATATCAATAGAAAATGGGGTCACATGTTCCCACCGGATCATGCCTAGCGGCGAGATTCAACGCAAAGTCAATGGTGACATACGTCAAAGCGAGGATTCGCATGTACGTCTTGGCATGCACGTTTGTCCAGCACGTGCAGTGGGTACGGCAGCTAGATGCATGCAACAAACGGCAGTAACGAGGAGGAATGAGTGCACAAGAGGAAATTGAAATTGTAGATAAAAAAGGAAAAGTCACGTCACTAGTTTGACAGTATTTTGGATTTCTAAAGTCTGACATGAGTCAGAGGGATGCGGCCTGCAAACTTTGCAAGGCCTTACCAAGTTTATTTATTTAGATAAAAAAAAAAAATCAATAATCATCTATACCGACTGATTTGAAACACTCATATCGTGAGTGTTTTCAGCCATATCGCCTAGTCATACTAAGGACTAAAATATGCTAAGGATGCATAACAAATCTTCTTTGCATAAATCCAAATCAACTATGTGGAGTGGTCTTTTAAAACCCTGGACAGAGGGCCGTGAAACAAAGATGAAAAAAGTCATTCTGTAGCTCGTGGACAAACCTGGGTCCTGCGCCTGCCACACCACAGTGAAGCCCCCCGCCTTCACCGTGTGGTCCGAGCGGAACCAGAAGTACAGTGCATTGTGGGAACTGGCCAGGGAGGCGGGGCTATTGCGCCCGCAGTAACGTCCCATCATGTACGCGGACGCACTGTCGCCATCGTGCACTTGCAGAAAGTCTGCGTTACAGTTGTAGCTGTTTTCCAGCTCGAAGTAAGGGAAGGTGACGTGTAAGGTCTGTGGAGGGAGCAGAGCCAGCGTTAGAGGCAAGCACACACACACACACACACACACACACACACACACACACACACACACACACACACACACACACACACACACACACACACACACACACACACACACACACACACACACACACACACACACACACATAATATTGATTAAAATTGCATGATCTAAGAAGACAAAAAAAAATTCTCATTAACCCGGCCGCAGCAGCATCGGATTTCCATTAGGGCTGTATTTATCGGTTGTTTTAATAATCAATTTTTTGGCTGATTATTTTATCAATTAGTTACTTAGTTGTTTAGATGAGAGGTGAATATGGAATTATTTCTACGCTGCGATAAATCAATTAACTTGTTTCAGCTCTAATTTTCATTTATGTGCATTTATTAGCTTTGTATAGGGTTTGAAACCAACATATTTGTCCAAATTAAAGAGAAAGAGGCGAAGATAGGACCTTGTTAAAGTCGGTGCGGATGACCCAGGCGCAGCTGACCATGTGATCGTACTCCTCACCCCCAGGGTTGTTGGGATAACTGAAGGAGCCCGATGGACCGCTCAGGGAGCCACCACACTCTGGGAACACAATACACTGGATGAAGAGGCAGGATACATGCAGTGCTGCTCGTTGTCTCTGGGACCGGTCGGGGTGAGGTGCTGAGCCCGCTGCGGCGTATCATTCAAATGTGATGCGAATTGGATGAATTATTATTTTTATGAAACATTATGATTTATCATAATATACATGGGGTGGGAGTTTATAAGTTTTTTCTTCTTCCCACTCCATTTTCGAGCTCTTGGAGTGTGCTTATGAACAACAAGGCCTATGTGAATATGTAATAGGTGGTTTTATGTTTTATTTTTTTTATTTTTCTTCAGGGCACAGGAGCATTAGTGAATCATGTTCTGTTCTTGTGCAATGTTGTGGGATGCTTGTTGTGTAAACAAATGTGTAATGTTATGGGCTCGAAAGAAATAAACAAATGAAAATGAAATGAAATGAAATGAAATATCCTAGTCCTATGGCAAGGAGATAATCTCCTCTGCATTATCCAAATTGAAGGGTGTGGTCAATCTCGTTTTGAAATTTGTTAAAATGAGTGCTTCTCAATTATTTTCTGCCAAGCCCCCCTTAGGAAGAAGAAAACATTTCCTGCCCTCAGTCACATCTTAAGATCCATCAAACCAAGGGAGGCGCTAACTATTTGAGAATGGTCAGGGAAGTTTCCAATGCAAACTGCTATTGGTTTATGCTGTTTAATGGGGTATTATGTAGGATTTTATATTTAAGATTTAAGATTTCAAACAACACTTATGCATTTGACCAAATATACTTGAACTGGGAAAATAATGTTTGCATCATCTAAGCATAAAGTACTCATTCTCCATAGATCTTTCAGAAAGCTGTCCGTTAGGATCAGCCTTTTCTTTTTCACAATAAAACATTATAATTTCAACATACACATTTGTTCTGTAGTTTCAATGTATTAACACACTGTCAATGAGTACATTTAAAGCAGAGAAAAGGATCGATTATGAGACACTTTACATCATAACGCACCACCACTGAAAAGGCAAAACCTGGTAATTAACCAATAGGTATTTGAAGTTTATAGAGAAAATACTTTTTTAGTCCCTGCATTGTCCACTTAAACCCTATAACCGCAAAGCTCAGTCTTATTTAATCCTATTGTCCTTGCCATAGTTCATATCAACCGTTTTACATCAATACTTGTACGTTTATATTCATAATTTCAACAAGCCTTTAACTAGCCCCTTGTTAGATCAAAACAATGTGCTTCAAAGGCAGAGAGGACAGACTGTTTAAGAGCGAAGCCTCCTCTCTATGACAGGACCTAGGTTCACAGCTTACAGCTCACTTCTCTGACCATCTCGCTCAGGTTAAAAAAGCACTTGGATGGGAGACACAGGTGGTAGGGGCCTGTACCTTGCTGAGGGATCTGGCACAGGGGCCCGGTCCATTGGCTGGTGCAGGTGCAGCTGAAGCCGTTGAGCTGGTCGACACAAGTGCCCCCGTTCTGACAGGGGCTACTGGAGCACTCGTCGATGTTCTGGTCACAGTGGACCCCACCCCAGCCAGGACTGCAGTTACACTGGTACCCAGGGGAGGCACCAGTGGGCTGGACACATGATTAAATCACAGTGTAACAAGTTTGAAAACAGAGCTTCTGGACAGAAGGGGTGGTGTTATAGTGAATGGAGCTAAAAACAACAGATTTGTGATTGATCACAAACAATGTTGGAACAAGCTTGACTAACTAAACACTTTTACTCAAATACAGAACTTAAATACTTCACCTGGTATCAGTAGTGTACTTTTACTTTAGATTAGAGGCGATAGTAGCTCAGTTGGTAGAGCGTTGGCCGTTGAGCCAGAAGGTCGTGGGTTCGAGCCCAACTCATAACTTTCACAATCGACTCATAGAGACAGCCACCTGCAACCTGTGGCTGCAGGTGGCTCTCTGCTCCTGGTGCAGACGGCCTCTTGGATAACGCTTCTTCAAATTGTTGAATCTGCATCCAGTCCTATCTCTCTTCATGGTTGTTTTACTGATGTGACTGTATAATTGTATATATATGTGTGTGCGTGCTTAATAATAAATGTGGTTTCGGGAGGGTTTTTACCAAACTGTAGCACTTTGTGTTCAATATTCTGTATGAAAAGCGCTTTATAAATAAAATGTGATTGCTTTGATTGATCTTTAACACTAACCACACACTGGCCGTTCACACAGGGGTCGGAGGTCTGGCAGATGGTGCTGCTCTGGGTGCATCCGCTGGGGCCATATCCGCTCCCAGTGTACCCAGGAGGACAGGTGCATATGGGCAGACTGGAGCCTGTGGGGCACACACACACACACAAAAAATCCTCATAGGTTACTTTTGGAATTTCTCAGGTGATTAGAATCAATATACACAAGCATTCAATCGTGTGATTAAATTCCATTATGCGCAAATAACACAAGACAGCATGACTTGGACGGTCCGCATAGATCGGGAAAAATTAACGTAATTTTCCCCAGGGCTAAAAAAAAAAAAAAAACATTTGGGGTCCCACAGAACATCTCACTAGATCATTCATTAATTATTCTACAACTACCAGTAAATATGTGTAAGATGGGTTGTTGGCCATATCTTGCTCCTTGGTGGGCCTGACCTGGGCCCTCTGACTCAAGTTGAGTGTGTGTGCACCTTTAGAGAAGTGTGCGTAACTATAGAGGAGTGTGTACCTATAGAGAAGTATGTACCTATAGAGGAGTGTGTGCACTCATAGAGACATGGATGTGTGCCTGTGTGTGTGTGTGTGTGTGTGCCTGTGTGTGTGTGTGCGTGTGTGTGTGTGTGTGTAACTATACAGTGTCTGTGTACCTATTGAGCAGTGTACGTATATGTGTGTGTGTGTAGTGTACCTATAGAGGAGGAGCAGGTGGCCAGAGGGTGACATCCTCCATTGTTGGCGTCACAGATGTTGCTTTGGGTGCAGGTTCTGCCATCGCCCTGGTAACCTGTAAACAAACCAGTGTTAACTTTTCATATCCCCTCATTCTAAAATTGCACAGAATATTTAATGGTCTTCCTTTTAAATTTAGACCCAAAACATTATAAGGCTGTAAAAAAAATAAGGAAAAAGTGTATGTGTGTGTGTGTGTGTGTGTGTGTGTATGTGTGTGTGTATACCTGGAGGACAGGGGCCACAGTGGAAGGAGCCCATGGTGTTCATGCACTGCACCTGAGGGGACGTGGAGCAGCCGCCGTTATTGCTCCTGCACTCATCCACGTCCTGACAGCTGTAGCCGTTGCCTTGCCAGCCTGCACAGCACACAACACACCAACAGACACACGCATACACACACACACACACACACACAGCCACAGACACACAAAACACATCATTACAAACTGTCCAACTGCAGCTGTCCCGTATCCCACCCTCATACCAGGAGGACATCCGCCGCAGTAGAAGGACCCTGGAGTGTTGAAGCAGTCCACTGGGGGGTTGCTGGAGCAGGGCTTGTTGGGCAGACTGCACTCGTCCACATCCGACACACAGGCCGGGTTCCCTGCAGGAGAGTCCCAGCCCGCCTCACAGATGCACTGGAACCGAGGCTGCCAAAACAAGCACATGCCCCTCAGTCAGCGGCCCACAAAGTTACACTAGAGAATACAGTAGACCTTCAAACAGCTCTGATGGTGGACAGGTCTCTCCATGGCCTCACACCAAAGCACATACGAGACGTGTTAGTGCCACATGAACCAACTATGAGGAGCACAGGGACTGGCCTCTTGCTGGGACTCTGAGGAGCACAGGGCCTGGCCTCCTGCTGGGACTCTGAGGAGCACAGGGACTGGCCTCCTGCTGGGACTCTGAGGAGCACAGGGACTGGCCTCCTGCTGTGGACTCTGAGGAGCACAGGGACTGGCCTCCTGCTGAGACTCAGAGGAGCACAGGGACTGGCCTCCTGCTGAGACTCAGAGGAGCACAGGGACTGGCCTCCTGCTGAGACTCAGAGGAACACAGGGACTGGCCTCCTGCTTGTGCCAGTCAGGATTGAAAATATGAGACAGGGCTCTACCCCTTTTCTACTCCAATCCTTCATTTAACCCAAAGTTACATGAAGCCTCTGAGAGATCACCCTATGCACCTCATCTCAGAATGGTTGAAATTTGGAGCAGGACCAGAAAATAAGTGTGTGACTTGGAGCACAACTTGGAACATTAGGATTCATTTTGGAGACAAAACCTAGAAATGACCACCAAGTGTACCACCATCTGATATCTATTTTGGAAAACATCCACCTCCAATTTTTGTTGTCTGTGCAAATGTGTTCTTAGAAATGTATGTGTAATTAATTTAATATTTCTATATCAATTTGAAATTGTAATAAAAAAAGTCTTCATTTGGTGAGCAGTAGCATTTTCCCCCATTATTTGTGGGCAATAAGAGCAAATACCTAAATAATTCCTTTTTTGAAGATTTAAATATTATCTTATTTGCTCAAAAAAACAAATGGTGACCTTTATTGATTAACTGATGAATACAAACTAGACCTTTGTTTGGCCATCTTAAAATCCCTCGACAGCAGTGTTTTGTTGAAATGACTTGATTATCTTCCAGATATCAAGTATGGACTTGATTTATTCCACTTTGCATTTTCTTTAAGATGGACATCCCGGCAAAGTATTGAATGGTTCTGAGCATAATGTGTTTTATGTTTACCCATCGTGTATCATCATCCAGAAGTAACCATGACGTCAATGGCTTTAGCCGGACAGATTTAGTCCTCCCTCCGCCTTTACTCTTTGAAGTGTTTTTTATTCTATACAAGGACATTTTCATTGGCAGATTAACTTTGAAATTAAATTGTCCATCTCCTTGAATGATGATTTTGGTATTCCTTATCGGTAACATTTGTAAAAGATATGAAAGGTGTTCTAAAGAAGTAAAGTAAATGCCCAGGTATCCATAGTCACTTTGACGTTTACTGTACCTGTTGAAACTCCTTTGTGTGCACATGTGTGTGCCCGCTCACCTGTCCTTGTGTGACACGGTCCGCGTCGATGCATGTCCCGTGCACACACAGGTCCTGCCCTGCGTTCCTGCAGTCATCATAGCGCTGGGTACAGAGGGTCCCGCTCCACTCAGGAGCACAGCTGCACCTAGGACAGGACAGGACCAAACTCTATGTTAGGCTATGTTCAATAAATGTTTGGTTATTGTTGTCCCTCACACATGATTTTGCAAATATTCACTTTAGCATTTCATGTTTCACAAGGTGATGAAAAGGGATTTGTAGCAATTATTCAATATTCATTGAACGTGGCGAGAGTTCCTTTGAGGAAGCCAGTTGTAAAGAACGACTGGAACCCTGTAACATCAAAATTTAAGGATCTGTCATTGCCAAACAGAGCATGTAAAAAGAAGGGGCAAAATTAATTGCACTTGTGCCTGTCCTTGTGCTTGTGCCATCCCTTGTACTTGTACTTGTGCTTGTACTCATACTTGTGCTTGTGCTTGTGCTTGAGAGACACTTACGTGAAGGAGCCGGGCGTGTTGGAGCAGGTGGCCCCGTTCTGACAGCCACTCAGTGTCCCGGAGAGCGTCTGACACTCATTCACATCAGTGTTGCAGTTTGGGCCCTGACACACACACAAACACACAAACACACACACGCACATTTTATAATCATCAAAGTTGCTTTACTCCTAAGCTGTTTTATTGCTCCAGAATGTAATTCAACAAAGCTCTAACAAGCAAATCGAATACATTAATCAGAAAGTTAACGATTAGTGGTTTTGAAAGCAGAAAAAATATGAAGTGAAGCCACTACAGGACAATGCATTATCATCTAGACAACACTATTTATCATTCAAATTGGAAATTTACACACTTTGTTTTTGCATAATTACTGCTCTTTTTCAATCTTAACATCCCATCTCTCAACACAAGCAGTTGTCCTTGTTCTGCTTAAACCAAACCATTAAGTTGGTTCCTAGTCATATATTAAATCAATCTTTATTTCAGAGAATGAATTGGTTAAAAAGAAACAGCAATGAGATACAGGTTGAACGTGAAAGTGGAGTTGATTTTTAGAGCCATAATTCAAAGTAAAGTGAAAGTATCCAAGTACTCAGCAGAGACGCATCAACAGGTGCATGAGCAAAGATTCATCAGCAAAGAAACATCAGCAGGTCCCTCAGCACATACAGATGTCTCTTCAGGACGGCTGGGCGACTCACCCCCCAGTTGTTGGGACACATGCAGTGGTAGGAGCCCAGCAGGTTCAGACAGGTGCCTCCGTTCTGACAGGGATTACTGGTGCAGGACACCGTCTGTACTGTCTGCAAGGAACCACACATGTACTCAGACCATAAACTATAAATATTAGACTCAGACACACAATACAATCTTTAAGTTTGTGCTGCAATAGAAGCCTCTCCTCTCTGTTGTGTCCTTAGGCAGGACACTTTACCAGGACATCTGTGCTGGTGAATTGCTACAAGTTACATAATCATTGAATATGTAGTAAATAGTAAAGTCTTATGTTGATAGTATAATCAAGAGAACCTCAGTATTCAAAAATGTGTACGGCCCTAAAACTAGTATGAAGTTTTAGTTTATAATCCTTGAACGTATGTCTAACGTACAACCAATTTAGTTCTAACTCTACACTAATGCGCACTGTTCTCTTCAAACAAATTTGACTGATCCACCCCGAGTCATAATATATTCAGATAAATGATCAAATACTGTTGAGATAAGGTTATGCCACAGCTGAATGGAAAAGTATTAAAATAGAGTTACAAATCAAAGCTCACCAATTCCAAGGACGCGACTTTGGTCTCCAGTGTTGAGACCTGTAACAAGGAAAACAGCCAGCTTTACTGATGAGGACATGATTCTGTAAAGCTGGGGTACCTAATTTTTAAACTACAAAATGTTTTACTCTGTCATACAACACATGGCAATAGTTCCTGGCTCTAAAATGGTTGTCACTAGTTTGTCCTGTATTTTGGGTTACATCTTCAGATAGTCTTTTTTGGACGGAAATGTTAAAAAGTAGGGCTGTCAAACGATTAATTTTTTTAGTTGATTAATCGCATAGTAATGGTGAGTTAACTCACAATTAATCGCATTTTTAACATTCTATTTCAAATCCACTCCAATTGAAGTTAAATGAGATTTTCAAATGTAATGACACATTGTTATTCATACCAAATGTACTTAAACCTTCTACTTTTGGGTACAACCAACAAGAGCTGTTAATGGAAGGGAAAATGTAGGTACCCCAGCTTTAATTTTGCGAGTTTGGTTGCATTTCAGCGTGTCTCCTCCTCTCCTCCGTGTGTCACACAACATCAGAGAATGGCCCTGTGCATGTATATATATGCGTGTATTATATGACCACGTTACTGTCACCATCACACGCACACGTGTCCGCGGCATTCTGAGTGATATTATTATAAATGGGCGGGTCATTCGGACATTGACTGCCAGCCTATTTCAGAACAGGTACTCCCATATTGCCAGCCGTTTCTGATGATTTTTACTGAATTTTCAAGACCCACAGAATATTGTGTACTATGACTATCTGAAATCCAAAACCAGATTCTGAAAGAATGGACTGTCTGCTTTCATCAGCAAAAATAATTTTGTTTCTAGCTTGTTTCGTTCCCATGTAATACCCAGTCGAGTAGAGGTAAGTTTGATTGAATTCACCAGAAAGCTGAGAAAAAAAAGGCACAAGTGCATCTAGCTTTTTTCAAACCATTCATAGAGCAATGCTGCCATCTGCTGGCTCGATAAAATATTGCCTCAAGCCTTACATATTTGATACAATAGACATCTGGGAACGTGAAAATAGCGGGAAACGCAATTGACGTGTTAACACGTCAATGGCAGTTAATAAAATTTAATAAAAGTTAATAAAACGGTAATTAACGTGAATTAACGCGATAATTTTGACAGCCCTATTAAAAAGAGAAACCATTCTCTTCCAGCCCAAATCATAAATTAGTGATTCTAGTTTCGTAAGTATTTTCTAAAAAGATAAAGACACCATGTTGTGGTCTGATTTGTTCGGATTTTACATTTATGAGATGCTTTAGATTCTTTCTTGATAGAGTAAGTGTGTGGCTAGATACAAACAAGCTTTTCATTAAGGGGGGGGCAAGTTGTGTATCCCAGTTATGTGGTACAGTGGTCCGTCTCTGTACCGCAGTTACCCTTTTGCGGCCTCGTTGTTTCGTGCAATTTTGTCTGTTTTTTTTCTTTTTCTCAAGTGCCCATTTGTACTCCAACAATATAACATACAACATCATATAACTGCTAGTAGTACATGATAGTTATGATTATTTGTATATAAAGTCAGAAAAAGGCACTTTTGAGGCTTGTGTGCACTGTGGTTATTTGTTTGAAGGACTACCGCAATCTTCCCGTAGCCCTGAGTGCTGCTCCTGCCCCTCAGTGCGATGTCCTTTACAGCCCTCAGACCTACAATGAACAGGTTTGATATCTTTGCTATCGCACTTCAGCCGTTGTGAGTTCAGGTGGGTAGAAAAGTGTATAAAGCGTGTGGTAAAGGGATTTTATAGAGCTGCATAGAGCTGCTACTTTGCAGGTCATTTGTATAATGTAACCCCCACGAAGGGCCACTGTATAGGTTTGAGACAGGATATGCAGTATAGGTGTGAGACAGGATATGCAGTATAGGTGTGAGACAGGATATGCAGTATAGGTGTGAGACAGGATATGCAGTATAGGTGTGAGACAGGATATGCAGTATAGTTGTGAGACAGGATATGCTGTATAGGTGTGAGACAGGATATGCTGTATAGGTGTGAGACAGGATATGCTGTATAGGTGTGAGACAGGATATATCTGGGACCTTTGTGCTGAGCTGGTTGAGTTTGTTGGTGACGTCAGGCGGCACTGCTCCTCCATGGGCCTTGATGTCATCGATTTCTGCTTTGTTGGACTTTATCTGCAAACATAGTCAAAGTATGAGTCTAGTCATTTATGCTCTATGTTAAATATGTACCTGCATGGAAACACAGGGCATCGTTTATGAAAGCTCTGTACGACAAAACATGTGCGTGAAGTGTGCATGCGGGAAAAGTCAGCCTCAATATCCGATTTATCAATTTCAATGTGAACGTTTGGTATGCTCAGATCCCACAACAGCTCCTGATCATGTCTGGAGCTGAATTCAAACAGAGACAGACTGAACAGGATTTGTAATACAGTAACATACTGGCGTCACAAGATGGCGTTCATCTGTTTTAAGAACCAGGTTTATTCTATGAGTGCCAGTCTAATTTTAAGGGGTGTGTTATTCAAAAAAAGCTGGTTTCCACATGTCGTATTTATTATGTTACTGTGGGTTGGATCAGAGGGCTGAGCACTCATTCATAAATACCACACTCACTTTGCCGTACGCCATTTTTGACATTAGGTACATGTTTTGACTGTCTCTTTCTGTTCATTAGTCCAACAATCAAAGCTTTAAAGAATTAATATGCATTCATTTGGCTATTAAAAACTCGATTTTGCAGGTCCACATCATGGCTCTATTGTAAGAACTGGATAGGGTATTACTAGCTTGGAGCTGATGAACCCATGTGCTAGGGGGATTCTCGCAGTACTGCAGACTAAACCAGACTAAATTCACGTGGGCTACCCAGAAATATTTCCCATAGAACTCAATGCAAACTAAAACAGCCCGACCTCAGCTTTTAGTGTCCCTTGTCATCCTGAACTTCTTTTCTTCTTAAATCCTTCGGTGTTCTTTAATTCCACACTTTAGTGCAACCAACTCTGCTCGTCTGGCTCCCCCTCTAACTCCTGCTCTGATCAGCAGTTCTGATTGGTCAGAGCACAGGCAAGCCCCTCTGTGCACGTGCATGAGAGCCACACACGCGTATTTGGCGCAACGCATCATGGGAGATCATCCACTGCGCAGAACCGGGAGGACCAGACGATGCCCAAATACAGCGAGTGATATGGCAAGATCAGCTATAATGTCAGCGACCGAGCCAGCACATGCGCCACTGAGCAGAAACCATTCATTTGAATACAGCACCGTCTTGGATCACCGGGGCTTGGGTCCTCCCGGTTCTGCGCAGTGGATGATCTCCCATGATGCGCCCTCTCTACCTTTTTGGTGGTACTACATTTGAATTTTGTGCTTGACCTCTCCATTGGCTCTGGAGTGATGCATGATGTCAAGTTGGTATGTGTGACATGTGTGTTGGAGTATTCTGGTGATGTCTAGTGGATTCAAATTAGATTACATCTGTTGACAACCCCTACTGCTGAGATAATTCTGTGGTTTAGGTTCAGGTGTGTAGCTCTACAATTATCTTAGTGTGTAAACAAGGGTGGAATGACACTTTCTGGTGTGTAATCTATTGCTTTAAGCGGCAATGACAAGCGCTGTGACAAGCGAGCCCAGACCACGGCCAGCTCTAAGCCCCCGTTCTTGTCCCTTGGTCCTCCAGGGAACTAGCCTGACTCTTGCCAGAACCTTGTAGTTCGCTGAACTTCACACATTCACACATTATTAATATCGGGCATGCCTCACAGGGCGCTGCTCTGTCAAATAGGAGAAAATTATGTCAAAAATCTGCAATTTGGAGGTAGATGAAATAAAGCAAATTTACATTGGAATAATCACTTGGTAAATAGTGACCAAGTATTAGTGTTTCCATTATTTTTCTTTCCATGATTGCCTCACCTGCTCCCCTGCCTGGTCTTACCTGGATGTACCCAGAGGTCATACTCTTGGTAGTCCACCTGATCGTACGCCTGGTCTTACCTGGATGTAGTATCCAGATGTCGTTCTCCTGGTCGTACTCCTGGTCGTACTCCTGGTTGTACTGGTTGTATTCAGGTCATACTCCTATAGTCTTACCTGTGTGATGAGCAGCGTGAGGTCTTCGTCGCCCACTTTGACCCGGCCGTTTGCTGAGGGTCTGAAGCAGATGTCTTTGCTGTTTCCTGGGCTGAACACCAGGTGACCATTGTCCGACAGCATGCGTGGTCTTTACAAAAAAAAAGAGACAAAAGCTTTGTCCACAAGTTTTCATGACACAAACCGTGTACATTTCTAGGAAAACTACATTGAAGATAAACACTTGAGAATATGAACCTCAGAGACTGATATGATCATGAGCATCATTATGGTGGCACTGCAATTAGCACTCTTGCCTCACAGCAACAAGGTCCCTAAAGGTCTCAGCGTGACAATCCCGGTTAAAGTTCCGTTGGTTGGTTTGAAGGACATCAATTACGCTCATTCTGACTCCCCTGACCAAGTTACAGCTAAAATCCACATTTAGAGCTGGCAGAAGAAAAGCATCCACGTCTGTTTGCACACCACACAACAGGGCCGTCACAAACTGCTACTATTATTGGATATACAGTACCTTAAGTGTTCTGAATAATGAAGAATGAATATATTTCCGAGTGAATCAACACTGTGAGTGGATGTGGTATGTCACCTGCATAACTTTACATACGACACAAGACACAGTAATTGAATATTTAGCGTAGCACAACTCTATGCTTGAAAAATAAAACTACATCTTCCTCAATCGAGTGCAATTGATTTTTCTATAGCCCTAAATCACACCAGCAGTCGTCTCAGATGACAAAGATCAGGGAGTCAAACAGTTCGAACCACATTTGTTTGTTAAAATACAATATTAACAACACATAACACGGAGGAGCGGATCCCTTTCTCAAATGGGTCTCCCTCCCTGTGGGTTTCCCTAGTTCTCCCCAAGGTTTCTCACTTTTTCCCACTGGGTTTTTTAAGAGTTTTTCCTTGTCGATGCAGGAGGGTCTTGTTGGACAGTTAGTGTCCAACAGAAAGGATTGGTGATGATCAGGACACTTTAGCATTCTACAACATGTATGGACATTTTCTTCTGTGTGTGCTTTATATTCTTCATGTGTTTTAACTGTTGATTCTCTGACCTGTGTTGGTGATTTCAATGGTTTTGTTAAGTCCTCTGAGATGACTTCTGTTGTGACCTAGGGCTATACAAGAATAAATTGTATTGTATTGTATTGTATTGTATAGGAACCATAGGACCATCTGGAGTGGGATGACCACTGTCCATAAATGTTTATAAATGTACTTAAATGTCCCAGATCATCACTGTCCTGCATCGGCAAGGGGCAAAAAATAGTCAAAAAAGTGACAAACCCACAATGAGAGAGGGATCTGCTTCCATGGACGATCCAGGACAGGCTGTAGACAGGGACTCATCCCATATAAAACAAGTATAGACCCATACAGTCAGGCAAAAAAGTCACCAATTGTGCAAGTCCTCCCAAGTAAAAAGATGAGAGATGTCTGTTATTTTCATCATATGTATTTCTCAACTATGAAAATAAGTATATTTTAGATTCAACAAAGTGATAAAGTATTGAGATGGAATTTTGTTACACTTATATACACTTTGTTGGCAATGACATGTGAGATTTCAAAACACTTTTAAGCAACTTTTTTTTAAAGTTAAACTCATCATTCTATCAATGTGCAGAAGCCTGTACTTTTCCACTTCATGTTTTGACTATCTCTACTGGCACCGTGGCAGCTGCTGATTGGAGGTCTCCATGCCTCCGCTCTGTATAATACACTTGCATTCTGTTGTTCGTGTTGTTCGTGTTGTTCGTGCTGTCTCTACCATTGACAATAAAACATGTCTTCTGTCTGAATTAAAGACGCGATCCCAGACTATGTCATCTTCTTCAGACAGAGGTACAATATTTTCTGTAAGTCTTCACAAGGTTCTCACACTGTTGTAGGTATTTTGGCCCATTCCTCCATGCAGATCACGTCTAGAGCAGTGATGCATCTTCAATGCAATATTGATGGAAGGAGATATTGACTCCAAATCCCACGATACATGGCCCCATTCATTTCTGTGTGCTGGGGAGGGTATGACTCAGAATCTCACATCTGGTTTGATTCCTGATGCACATGTAGACTATGTTGTCTTTATTCACATGCTCGAGGTGCCAAAGACGAGACTTAAAACCCGAAGGCACAGGGCCTTCTCTGTGGCTGGACCAAAGCTATGGATCGCTCTGACCCCCCATGTCAAAACAGCTTAAAGTTTTTTGCTTTCAGGTCCTCTGTTTTATTTATTTTATTGGTTTTAGTTTTACTCTCATTTTTAAATTGAATAACTGGTTTTATTACATATGTCTTGTTAACTGGTTATTATTCATTGTTTTTAGTTTGTACCTCATTTTTACTCATTCCGCAAACCTGTATATTCAAATATCTGTACATTTTTCTCTGAGCACAAACTTATTTTATAAAATGTACTGCATGAATAAGGGAGATTGGTTTAGATTCCATCAGCAATTGTATTGAAGTTGCATCACTTCTCTAGAAGAGATTCGTGTAGAAGAGGAATGGGTTAAAATACCAGCAACAGTGTGTGACATTGCCAACAATGACAGTGGAATGTATTGAATTTGACTTTTGTAATTTACTAAATACTTATTATCCACCACAATTTGAACAAAATTCTGGATTTTTTTCTCTCTTTCCGTCTCTCATAGTAAAGGTATACCAATGATGAACATTACAGTAATTCCTCACATTTGTTATGTAGGACTTTCTCTATTCGTTGCTGACTAAATACTTGTTTGCCCCACTGTAAAGTATAGGATGATACTCTAGTAGTATATACTTATATGTGTAAGTAATAAAGTGAAATTAACAATAAATATTTAGTTTAAGAATCAAAAAATCTGTAATAGACTCTAAAGCAAGGAGACTGAAGTAGTAAGTCATTAGCTCTGTGGGTTCAAGTATTCAAAGTGAGGATACAACTGTCAGGGTTAGCAGCACGAGTTTCTGAGCTAAAAGTGACACATGTAATCCCATATTGTTCAGATTTTTTATTGTAAAGACTGTAATCAATCATTTGTTTTTGTTTATCCTAAAGCTCCTACAATTGCAGAATTAGGCTTTGACATCCAACCCCGGTCTGCCCCTACCCACAGCTTTGGAATTCACCACATATACATCTCATCATATGTGTACTCACTGGTCAGGGATGCCCGCTCTTCCCCCATCTTCGGCCTCTCCGTGAAGTTCCACCAGCACCAGTGTGAAGAGCATCCACTGCAGCCACGGTCTCTGCGCCATTCTGCCTCTAACCAGGCCTGCTTCACGGTGAGTCTGGCCCTGTCTGCTGGATCATAGGTGAGATCTGTTCTGGAAGGACTTCACAGAGACTTTGACCTGACAAAAAGTGTGCAAACCATCTCCTAGCGTGAGAAATGCTGCTTCATCACCTCTGCACATGACCAGGGCCGATGAATAACCCGCAGTTTGCAGAAAGCCCCATAAAGGACTTACCTTAAGCGATCTTTAATAACTGCTGTAAAAGAAATGTTGGTCAACTCTTTTTTTCATAACATGCAGGAAGTTTGTGAGACATGTAAGCAACTTGCATAAGAAACAGGAAAAGGTGACATTCTAAGAAGCTACAAAATCTGAATTTCAAATCAAATAAGAGTTGTATTCATTACATCTCAACGTATGCTTGAAAAAAGTTTTGTAATTTGTCGAAACAAATGTGAGTACATTGAGGAAACTTTGGAACAGTTTATTGTAATGGTCACAAGATTATGCCTCAGTTTTATGTTATCTGTAACAACAGGGAAGTACAATTATTAAACAAAAACAATGGTCAAACTTTCATAACAATGGTCATACCTTAAATGTAAACACGACCACTGTGTTTTGTGAAATCTGTGTCAAACCTGTGATAGGCACTGAACCTGAATCTGCATGAATGTAACATACATGTGGGTTTAATTATAGAATAAAATACAAAAATAAATTTCATTTTGTATCAGAAAGGGATGCATGGATTTAAATATATTATTGATACTTTCAGAAAAGACAACTCTGCGCACTTATTGGATACCTTTTGTGTGTATTTATAAAGTATGATTTGTTAAAATGTTTATACAAGCATTTGCATCTATCGTTTTATTACTTGTTATTGCCACAGACTTACACAACGTACAAAAGCACATTCCCAGTTTGTGACTTCCTGATACTTATATGCTTACAATACACTTTTTGTGATTGGCATTGGCATTTATATTTTTGACTGTGGAACAATTTTAGAAACAAATATGTGGAAAAACATATAGAACTATTGAATAGTGAACCACCTCCGTGGATGTGAACGGGGAAATCAAACATGACACATTTTTCCCCATTAAATGTCTTTATGTAGAACAGGGGTGTCAAACTTATTTTGTTCAGGGGGCGAATGAAAAATGAAAGAGCTGGTCAGGGGCCGAAAGAATAAGTGGGCTTCATTTATTATACTTTTTTATAATATGAACTTGTTTCACATTATTTGAATTGGATATTCTTTTCTAATTAAGATGAGTTCAGTTACTGTGGACTGCACCAAAACTGGACCAAATATTGAAGGTATTTAGGAAGATGTTCTACTTCCGGGTGGATCATCAAGACTATTGGTCTTCCCAACTGTCAATCATTCTGGTGATTTGTGCTTGTCAAATAAGACCAGAGACTTTTGTTCAAAAAGTGTAGAGGGCAATTCTTTCCTAAGAAAATTGGGGAATCCTCCTTCATATCTTTAATGTAGAAGACTCGTTAAAAGCATAACATAACATACTAACTTCTACTTACATGTTGGCTTAAAATTTCTTATGGAATTAAATGTTGTGGTTGTTTTCTTGAGAAAATTAGTACTGGATAACATTCCATTGTCGCCTATTACCATCAAAACTGCTATTTAATATAATAATTCAAAATCATCTCAGGGGCCACTGGTAATGGTCTCGCGGGCCGGATCTGGCCCCTGGGCCTTGACTTTGACACCTATGATGTAGAACATATTTTTAAGCAGTCCACACAGGTAGGCAACAAAGTCATTCAAAAAAACAAATATACTGTTCCATTGTCCAGACTGGGACATCTTTCTCACACGTTTGATGTAGAAATGAGAGAACATTCTGCGTAAAAGTCGGATTATCTGAGAGTAATTCAAGTGTGTAACGTGATGTTGTCAGCTGAGCGTCTCCATAAAGTGGGTTGATTTAACAGAGCTGCTGTCCTGGGCCAGCTCCTGTCGCCCAGTCCAAGTTAACCATCAGCCCAGGGTCCACTCTATCATGTGAACAAGCGCGCACACACACACACACGCGCACGCACGCACACACACACACACAGTTATTGTCAGTTACAAAAGATGATCTTTAGTATGTAACCTAATGTAATTTGATAACACACTGGAAAACAAAGACAAGGAATTTATAATCTAAAAATGATGGCTGTGTTTTTTTGTCCACAAATGCAATGAGCTTGTGGTTAATATGTTTTTGAAGGAACTGTCAATTTTAAGAAACTCACTGAAGAAATTTAACTCAATAAAGGAGGCACTTTGCCTTTCCAAAATCATCACCGCTGTGGCACCTGAAGCGTGGCCTTCTGTCCGATTTGTTCATTTCTCAAAATTAATACAAAGGAAATGGCATTGAATTTTCTGTAAACTTTGATTTAATTATAAGAAATACAAACTTCAAAGAGCACCCAGATTGAAGCAGACATTCTCACAGATCAGACACATTCAGACAGGGCTGCGCGATATTAGAAATTAGAGCAGTGTTTAGTATTGCTATAACAATATTATTGTAATATTTTCTTCTTTCACCAAAATTGCAAGAGACAAATAACAAAAACATGAATGACATTCAAATGCATATATTTATATGCTTTTTTGTGTTTGTTGAATGTTGATGTATCTGTTTAGTTGTCTTTAATAATGGAAATGTTTTATTTTATTTATTTTTTTGGATATTGCACGCACCAAAAATGATATTTTTTCAATAAATTGTGCAGCCCTACATTCAGACATGGGTGTTTTGTGAGGGTGGGAGACCAGCTGTGCTAAAAAGCTCCAGGTTTGAGCAAGTCAACTTTAACACGTTTTAGCCGTATAGATGAAATATAAAATAATATGATATTTAACATTAACTATAGAGAAATCTTGAGAATTTGCTGACACAATATGGAAGACAGAGCTGCTTTTGAGAAAGAAAAAAAAATACACACTCATAAATTACATAACATTAATTTTATCTTGAAAGGACCAAATGTAATACCACAGTCTCCCAAAAGTTCTTTTGTCCAGATGAAAGCATTTACAGTCGTGGTTTGGCTCAAATACAACCCCTTTGTGTGACTCATGACTGGTGGTAAAAACAGGAGGCTTTGTGTTCCAACAGCGGTCAGGACAGTAGGCCCCATCAGGACAGGAGGCCCCATCAGGACAGGAGGCCCCATCAGGACAGGAGGCCCCATCAGGACAGGAGGCCCCATCAGGACAGGAGGCCCCATCAGGACAGGAGGCCCCATCAGGACAGTAGGCCCCATCAGGACAGTAGGCCCCATCAGGACAGTAGGCCCCATCAGGACAGTAGGCCCCATCAGGACAGGAGGCCCCATCAGGACAGTAGGCCCCATCAGGACAGGAGGCCCCATCAGGACAGGAGGCCCCATCAGGACAGGAGGCCCCTGTTCCTATAGTGGTGTGAGCTATGACAGTAGGATCTGCAGTAGTTTGGACACCACCACCACGTTCAGACTGTTTCCCAGGACCTTGTACCTCTGCTTCAGCGGGACGTCCTCTGGGAATTCTGCGCACACACACACACACAGGCGCACACCCACACACACACACACACACACACACACACACACACATACACACACACACACACAGACACACACACGCTCATTGTTACAATAGTCTTACATCCAAATCTGACCTGGAGTTGTGTTAGCTTTTTCAAAATAATGTCAGAAAACCATTCTCTCCCTTTCCCTAAGGGAAAACACAGGGATTGTGTCACCAGTGCAGACCTTTTACGATGCAATGTTTGCAGACAAAAATACATGTTTTATGTAGCTGTAAAAAGTGTAAATATAACTCGTCTAAAGGCATTTTAAAAGTAACAGAAAATGTCCAAAAATAAAGAATAAAGAACCGATACATGGACAAGCGTACAGAGCGGCTGGTGTAGATTCAGTGTTTTCAAACGTAGGCCTAGGTTATGCGTACTTTACGTGACACGCAATTATATTAGGTTATATCACAAACCCAAAACCAGATCTACTTTCTGTAAACACATATTTACAGTTTGGTAGTCGAATGCAGTAAACCTCTCCTATATTTACTTAAACTCCTTTGCACAGAGCTGTCAGAAAGTTTGTGTGCCTGTAATCTATGGAACACGAAGCAATGAAAGGGACAAGACAAGTGTAGTGGTGACATTCGGAGAGACCTCATATCACCTCATATGGACCAAAGGCTCTATGTGTTCTATGTCATTTACTTTGAACTGTTTGATTCTCTGATCCATGTTGGTGAATCCACAACTGTGTAAATCCTCCAAGATTACTACTGTTGTGATTTAGGGATATAACAAAATACATTGAATTGAGTATTACTGATGTTGTGCTGTAAGCTCCTGCAGGTGCATCATAATATATCAATAAAACAATAATAAACCAAAGTGCAAAGTACATGAAAACCACAGCCCTGCAGCTGGAAGAACCCATGGCACTTATTCAAAGCTGGGATACATAATTTTCAAAGCACAAAATATAGATGAAATAACATACTATCTCCCGTTTCTGCAACTGTTGATGGGTATCACTAGTTTTCACATGCATGTAAAAGATTGTCCTCTGTCACATCTTCAAACCAACTGTTTCAGACAGGAAGGTGAAAAGAGAGGACCATCCTCACTGAGACAATGAGCCCTCTCAGCCCTGAGAGTCAAATAGTGACACACAGGGCTCTTTCTTACAAGTATGAGCCTTATTATAAGATGTATATAAAACAGCATGTTGTGGTCTGAACAGATCCTTCTGTTGGGAAAAAAACATTATGTATTAAAACAAAAGTAGAGGTACCCCAGCTTTGAATTAACTTAACATATATTTATACACAAGATGAGTCAGAGACAAAATAATGAAAGGCGTGTGAAAAGTAGTACTGTTATGAGAGTGAGGAACTAGTTATTTGGAGTATAAAACATCTTCTCTACTCCCCATTACTCATAAGATCTCATGTGTCATATCAGTGCATGTGCCTCTTGTTGTCACGTTTGCGTTGCTAGGTCAACACATCTGTTGCTAAGGGCATATTTTAAAACAGTGCATCTTTTGAATCAGTGCACATGTGCAAAACTTTGGCTGTGACACAAATTGTTTTGGTCAAACTTAATTTCAGGATTACTTCCACCAGGAGACATCCCTGCTGATCATTGATAGTCAGACGTGAGCTTTTCCCCTTTCCCTGTTCTGTCGCTATGTGTTTGGCCCGTGTTACTCAGACACACAGTAGCTGCGTTTCCATTGAATAATGCGCAAAAACTTTTTCGATACATTTCAAAATTCGAAAAACCTGTAATTCGCAAAAGCGGCCGTTTCCATTAAGACATATTCGAATAAGTATACACTATGGTCGCGCGTTTATTCACTAGTTTCTAGTACGTCAACATGGCAACAGAAGTAAACAACACTTTGATTTACGTGAGATATATTAATGTCTTGACTTCTGCTGCGGCTCTCATCCTCTCTGACCTCTGACCCCGGGAGAAACTGTGGCTGCTTTGACAGCTCCGCGAACGCGCGTGGTCATGTACCGAGCGCGGACCATAGACGCGGGTCTTGCCTGTCTCCCCCGTCTCCTCCCCGTCTCCTCCCCGTCTCCTCCCCGTCTCTCCCCCGTCTCCTCCCCGTCTCTCCCCCGTCTCCTCCCCGTCTCTCCCCCGTCTCTTCCCCGTCTCTCCCCCGTCTCCTCCCCGTCTCCTCCCCGTCTCCTCCCCGTCTCCTCCCCGTCTCCTCCCCGTCTCTCCCCCGTCTCCTCCCCGTCTCTCCCCCGTCTCTCCCCCGTCTCCTCCCCCGTCTCCTCCCCGTCTCTCCCCCATGCCTCTCCCCGTCTCTCCCCCGTCTCTCCCCCGTCTCCTCCCCGTCTCCTCCCCGTCTCTCCCCCGTCTCCTCCCCGTCTCTCCCCCGTCTCCTCCCCCGTCTCCTCCCCGTCTCTCCCCCATGCCTCTCCCCCGTCTCTCCCCCATGACGTCTCTCCCCCGTCTCTCCCCCATGCCTCTCCCACGTATCTCCCAAGTCTCCACACGAAGCGCAGCCAAAACTCACTGAATAAAGCAGCTCGGCTTCCTCCGCTATATCAAAATAAGTGTTTCCATTGCCGTTTTGCGAAAAACTTAATTTCGATACGTCCAAAAAACCACCTAATTTAAGCGCATTAACTTTTTATCGAAAAACTGTGGTTTTTTCGAAATTTGCGCGTTTCCATTAGACATTTTATGATTTGCAAATTCAAATTTCGAAATTTGATGCTCAAAGGAAACGCAGCTAGTGACGTGGATCAAAGTTAAAGCTGGTTTACGTGAGTTAAGAGTAGACATATGAGTAACAACATCTAACCTAACTTTCAAACTCCAAAAATTGACTTATGTAATAAACTCCTAGTTTCTGTGGCTAAAACTGTTTGGTACTATCACTAGTTTTCACATGTATGTAATCTTGGCCTCTGTCACATCTTTAAACCACCTTTTTCCAGACAGGAAGGTGAAAAGAGAGGACTATCCTCACTCAGCCTTGAGAGTCAAATAGTGACTGAGAAAGATGAGCCTTATTATAAGAGGTAAATACAACAGCATGTTGGGGTCTGGACAGATTTTCTGTTGGGAGAAACACGTAATGTAACTAATAACTTTTTTTTAGACGTAATAGTGATTTGTAAGTATATACATTTTCAAAGTAACTTACCCAACATTACAAAATGTTGGTTAAAATCCATAGTTTCTAAATCTTGTCCATGTGGAGATTGACAAATGATTGCTTTGAAATAGGGAGGCACATCATGCACCTATGCATCGGCTGAACATTGGTATAGGCCGACGTTTGCCTTGTTAACTAGCGGTGCAAGGCGCACGTTCTCACTACCTCGCCCTGTACCCTCTATAAACCACACAGTAGAGACATCCATGGCTCGCCCGCAGCTCGGGGTGCACACTGGGTTTGCGCGGGCCTGTCCAAACTTTCCTCCTTCCGTGTACGTAGACCAGGTGGCCGGTCAAACTAAGCATATCATTGGCTAAGCCATTTATATCATAGGTGCGCGCACTTGCACTGTTCCATGTGATTTATTTTGTATTGTTTCTGTGATTACAAAGTGGGGGACTGCTAGAAAATCATGTGCAACAACAAATGTCATTTGACGTTTGAGAAGCAAGCATGAGGCGCTGTACAGCAATTGCATGAAAATTGAAGAAAAACGGCGAAACATTGGCCAATTTGATATGTTAACACCAGTATCGCCATCATCCCAACATTTCACAATCGGTGCATCCCTAAAAATAATGCAATATTTCATAATATTTCAGACTTTATTTAGACAATTTTCCCTTTAACTTAATAATGAAACATGTTGAGTTCATTATGTAAGGGATAACGTATATTACGCAGGTCATTATCGGAAAATAAGTACCGACAGGGCAAATCGGACCCCGACGCGGGTCTGCTTCCGCCCTGAAGGTACTTATTTTCCGATAATGACTTGCGTAATATACGTTATCCCGCTTATTATACGGCTTTATACCAACAGAACACACAACATAAACTTCAGTCCACTTTTAGGAATGCCGAAAGGTTTATTTAATGACAGAAAATAAAATAGTTCCCAAAGGCTTTCCCGTGGCTATGCTAGCAACAGTTAGGCTGGCAACTTCCAAACTAGAACTCTCTGGAACTGCATGAAAACTGAACAAAGAATTCTGAACATCAGCAGTGAGTGACCCATACATAAACCTAACCCAGGGGTTAAAGCAAAAAAAAAAGATTTGACTGAAAATTTTCGCATGGAAATTGATCACATGTAAATCACAGTAATATGCAGGACCAAGTTATATTTTTAATTACAATATATTATTGTATAATAAATCGTATATTGAATACAGCTCAAATGAATTCTTCAAAGATATACAGTGTATTTTGATATGAAATATAAGTGGATCAAGCAACGAGTCAACTTTTTGACAGAATATTAGTGAGAGAAGCTTTACTTGAGGCGATATGGAGCGTCAACACTTTGGCTCTGTCCTCGTCAAAATATCGCAAAAGGACGATAAAATTCTGTCCACATTTGTTTGTGGACACGTCAATATTTAAGAAAAAGGTTTCCCTATCAAGTTTGAGTGCACAGTGCACTTCGATCAACTGCAAATGATTTAAATAAATGTACCAGCGGTAGTGATATTCTGAACGTTATTTTCTGCGATAAAGCCACAGACACGGTCCGCCAGAGCAAGCCTAGTGTCAGTTGTTGCTGATGCACCAGGTAAAGATGAAGTGTGGGAAAGTGCACAAACAGCTGCCTTGTGCGCAGTTTTGAGCTGGTGGCGAATCAAAACTTTTTTTCTCATTACTCCCATATATGCAATTTTTTATGGCAAAGTACGCACAAGCACCGGCCACTTTCATCTTTTTGCACCATGACTCGTTGATTGGCTCTTTTACATCACGCTGAGTTTTGCAAGAAGATCGCAAACAAGACAATATCAAAAGCTCACCAAGACATGTTTGTCCCCATTCCCAGTCGCAGCAAAGTCCGTTTTGTACATTCCGTTAAAGGACAACTCACCCTCAAATCCACTTTTTTTTGCTGATAAACTGTATAAATGAGTGTCCAATAGTGTTGTCTACATATCCTGGTCATAATCTTGTCACTTTGGTGCAAATTAGTTGAAAGTTAGACTTTCTGCCTAAAACCGTCTGTGAGGCGCCATCTGCTGGCGACCTGTATTACTACATTTGAATTTTGAATCTGGCGCCAACACTGGCACAGAAGTTGGACCTGACGTCTGAAGCAAAACCTGACGTCTGAAGCAAGACCTGACGTCAGCAGCCCTCCGCCCAGAGCTATGTAAACGGCCCAGTCTCGTTCACGCCCCCTTTAGTCCTCCAGGCTACGCCCATTTAGAAGAAGATTTGAACAGGAAATGTGAGTAACGTAAGCTCCGAGGAGCGGGGGTGAGAACCACTTTAAGTAAAATAGCATTGCGTTTGGTAAACGTTAATTACCTTTCGTCTATTACGCGCCCAGCTTACCAGTCCGCGGATCTGCTGCTGTTATCGCTCCGTTCGAGATTCAATTTTCCTCCTCTTCTCCTTTTCAAAAGCTCCGTGCAGTTTCCAGAAACGTTCACCTCCGTGTTACCAATGCTAACTTCATCGCGTCTTCATTTGCGCGTGAGCTCAGCTACGTTCCATTGCCTTGATTCATTTGCGGAGCGCTCATGTGGCCACGGCACGTTCAAGGCCCACTCGTGATTATATTACTTATTATTTCTATATACATATAAATACAATTATATTCAAATTATTATTATACATCGAGATATATATATATATATATATATATAAAACAGATTCACACGTATATGTATTACTATATATTATTTTTATAATCAATCATTTCATTGTGTGTATTATTATCATTATATATATATATATATATTATTTTTTTTCAGACCAATTTCATTTGACGGAAATCCGTCACCTAGACGGAACTCTTTAATCCCTGACCTAACCTAAATCCATAATTCGATCCTCTGCAAATGTGTCCGAAAATGTGCCGGTATCTTAAAATGTGCCGGTATCTACTTCCGGGTTTTTCGGGTTCGCCTTTTCTCGCATTACATCAGTGTTTTTGTCATGAAAACGTAAACGGAAAATTCTGAAAACGTCCGTGCACTTGTATTAAGACTGGATATGTATGATGTACTCTCCTATTAACATTTCATTGCGTTGATTGATTGGCATTTGCGTTTATTGAGCGTGGCTTGCTCCGGAGTGGCCGGAACTACTTGCGGAGTTGTCCACGCATCTGAAATACAAGCAGAGAGTGCGTTGCCATGGGCAGCGGTCATTATTGTTTTGAGAGGTCCGTCATAGAAAATAATGACCGGTAGAACGTTTTGAAATTACTGCTGCTGTGAGGAGCTGTATAATAATTTGTATTATTATTTTTAAAGTTATAATCACTTTTTTTTCTTTCTGCCAAATACCCCGTCGTGGTGATGAACCAACAGCTGGTCTTACCGAATGTGAGAGGGAACCCCATGAGGTTAGCTACTTCTCTGGGGGTGAAGTATCGCAGGCTGAGAGTTTGTAAGCGCTCCAGCCTCTGCTCCTCGCTCAGCTCAGCCAGGCCCCGAAAGACAGCCTCCATCTACACACAAACACCACACAGACACCACGTTCAGTTCTTACAACAAACCTGGGGACACAGATGTGTTGAGGCATACAGAGCCACACCTGGGCCTTTGGAGACGTGTGCAAAACCGACCCAGTGCCTTCCACGTACCGCCCATACCTGCAGACACACAAGAAAAGAGGGCTATGCAACGCGCCAACACCTTTTAGATTCTGGATGAAATGGATTCTCTATTTCATGTCTTAGTATTTGGAATAATGTCGTAAGATGCAGTCTGTGAAAGAATCAGTGGGGAGGCGAGACCTAAAACTAGAGAAAAGACAATATTTTTGTAGGTGATGCTGATTTGTTTGTTTGACTATTCAGATTAAATGATTCCTGCTATTTAACAAGTCACTGCTCTGTGACAGATAACACATTCATCTAAACAAACTTCAACTTTATCTGCTTTGTCCTTGTAAATATTGTATATTAACAGATGTGTGCTCCTATTTACTCTGTATTTTATACTGTAAATGTTTACATATTCACAGATATGTTCCTGAGCACCTACATCCAGATTATTCTATTCTCACAAATATTATATTATTATTATTCTTGTTTTCAGATTGTTACTTTAATCTTATTTTTGTTTATTATTGTGAAATACTATGCAAGCTACTGTGGAAACGCAATTTCCCTGTAGATCAATAAAGGCTAAGTCTAGTCTATATTCCCATATGAATGATATTGTGACAGACGACAGATTATATAGATAGACAAACATAAATCAGGATTTAGGGACACCCTGTGGAGTACCACAAGAGTCTATGCTGATACCCACATTATTCATAATGTAAATGTAAATGAAAATAAAATCAAATATGCAGGTGATGACTTGGAGCAACATTTGGCCACTGCCATTCTGGAAATTAACAAACCTAATGTACAAAACTTATTCTATGATAGAAGTGCTAATCATAATTATAGTCTTAGGGAAGGCAAATAAAATATTTGCCCTAACTTATATACTGTATACAATAAGTGTGCATCTAAGAGAGAGGAGGAATTGAAAACATTGAAAACTGAGGAAGTATGTGGAGCAGAGAGTGTAGGGGGAGAGAGGTGTAGTGGAGACCTGTGGGCCTGTGTATTGTCTGAGTCAGTCTGTTGCGTTGCACAAGTGAGAAGAGTCAAATAAGTGTCCGCTTAGTCAACTGTTTATTTTGTATCCTGTGTGTTTGTTGTTTATAAGTTTGTATGATAACTTTGGTGACGCAGACTTCAGACTGACCCTTTAGTGAAGCAGATGGACCTCCGGCAGATGGGTCGCACTATATCCAGGATGTTTGCGTAGCGCAGCAGGGTTTTGGGTGGCAGCAGGTACTGGTCCAGGTCTACGTTTGGCTCCAGGAAGTCCTGAATCTGCCTGATAGATGGGTCCTGGTTCTGCTGGAGCTTCTTCTGCACCTCCTCCGCAGTCTCCAGCTTGTACAGGAAGGGGCCCTGGGGAGAGAGCATGAGTGATGTTTGGAGGCAGAGTCTGACGTATTCACATCTAGGTGTAATGTAATGAAAATGTAATATAGACCTGTGGCTGGTGAGGAGCCTCTGTGGACTGCTCACATACGCCCGGCTCGGCATGGACAGGAAAACACTCTAAAATCTAACATAACATCAAGATAACATCACAACAAAGACTTCATATGAAAACATGTTCTTTTACGTAAAATAAGTGTTTACTTTGGAATGAGCGTTTGCACAGAAGTCTTCATCAGAGTGCTTGGCGATGAGGAAGTAACGAAGCCGAGAGTTTGGGATGCCCACCTGGAGTAACACGCAACAAAACACGTTCAAGTTACAAACGCAACACCATTGCTCAACTATGAATGAAACAAAATAGGTCTTTGAGTGTCTCGCGCTATGTAAAAAAAATAAAACCTATGCATTCTATGGCTTCACACCAAGGTACATCTATGACATGTTGGTTCCGTATGAACTGGGTCGGACTCTGAGGAGCTCAGGGACTGGCCTCCTGCTGGTGCCCAGAGTCATAAATAAACATGGGGAGGCAGCGTTTCAGATTTATGCATCAAAGATCTGGAACAGTCTACTGTACATGTACCTGAAAATGTGAGACAGGAGTCTACTCTGGTAGTGTTCAAATCCAGGTTGAATACAGTTCAGTTTGCCTGTGCATATAACTGAAGAACTGTACCGTTACTTTTTTTTCCCCCCTGTGTAATTTTAGCAGTCAGAGATGCCACCCAAGTCTCATAGCACCAGCCCCTCACTGATCCTCCTGCAGGTGGTGAGTCCACAGGAGGATGGCTGCTCTGTCAGTGTGAGCATAGCCTTGATCTTTCAGCGGGGGCTTCAGGCAAAGTGGGGTTAAGCTGCATGACATCTTACGTTTTTAATAACTGTGTGTGATTTTAACGTTTATGATTTATGGCTCATGTGATATGGTCTGTTACTTGTTAATTGATTGCAATTGGACGAATTGATGAGCGACAGTGGCTCAGTTGGTAGAGCATTGGCCTTTGAGCCTGAAGGGTGTGGGTTCGAGTCCACCACGAGACCTTCACTGACTCCCACTGATGTCTGCTGTCGTTGTGTCCTTGGGCAAGACACTTAACCCCACTTTGCCTGAAGCCTCGGTTAAAAGAGCTGTGTTGTCACTGACAGAACAGCCGCCCTCCTGTGGACTCACCTCCAGCAGGAGGATCAGTGAGGGGCTGGTGCTATGTGACTTGGGTGGCATCACTGATTGCCACCCCCCGCCCAGAAATGGATTAAGGAGTAGAAAATGGATGGATGATTGATTGCATTATTATTATTTGATCTGCTTTAAATGTGTACCCTTAGTTCCTACCAAGAAAGTAAACTTACACTCGTAGGCGACACCATGATCTCTTTATAACTATATCCACATTGGTCCAATGCTTCCACCAGTGCATTCCTGAGGGAGACAGGAGTGTGTGTTAGCAGTCCTACAGATGGACACGTGTGCGGGCAGTGGAGGTGTGTTTCACCTGGCACAGGACTCCTCAAAGCCCTTCACGTTCTCCAGCAGGATAAAGCGAGGAGGAGGGCTCAGCCTGCGGGAAGACAAGAGCTCAACATGTGCTGTTCTGCCAGCTCCAACACACTCAGAGGGGCACATTTCATCCACACCCCACAAGCTGCATTCTTTTGCCAAAATGTTGACCCGCACAGATAGGAAAGCCCATATTATTCCAATCTCGAAGTCCTTACACTGGCTCCTTATCTCGCACAGAATCAATTATAAAATTCTGGTGTTGACATTTAGGGCTCCTCATGGTCAGCTGCCTGAATACATCAAGGGCATGATCCAGCCTTGGCTCTCCAACAGGAGAACCTGTTGATGGTCCCCCACACTTATTTTAAAACCCCAGGAGACAGATCATTCCAGGCTGTTGCTCCTCGCCTTTGGAATGAGCTGTCAATAATTTCAAGTCCTAACTTAAAGGGGCACTCAGTAAGTTTTACCCCCATCTAGCGTTGAGATCATATATTGCAGTCTACTTTCTCCCAGCAGCACCTTGGTAGTCTTGTATTGCTCGTATCAAATGACAAATACAGCTCTCTACAACAATTACAATATGGTAAAAGCTTCTTGAGCAATTAGGCTTTTGAAAAGTAAATGTGAAACATGAGCTTGAGAATATCTTATTTGGCTTTTTGTGTTTCTGAATTTGAAACCAGTTATTAAAAGAAAATGTGTATATAATATAAGATAATATAAGAAAGACCGTTCAGATAAAGTTACCATGACAGCACATGAAGGTATCACTGTTCACTGGAGGAATTGGGAATTCCTACTATACTATAAAAGGCTCGGCCTGCAAAGTCATAATCTACGGTTTTGTAAGTTTTAAAAGAGAGAATTTAGACAGAAAAATGGCATGAATAAAGAATCCCAGTTTTAGTTTTGACGAAGGGACAATGCTACAACAAGCAGCATGAAGAGCCCTAGCTCGGCCTCACCGGGGCAGAAGCTCCAGGACATACAGAAAGCTCTTGGTCCGCTGGTCCACCACGTCCCGCTTTAGGCCAAGTCTGTAAAGCACAACAGTCAGACCTTGTACCCCACACAAAGAAAACCGACAGGACAGACACCTGGTGAAAGGCTGGCAGGGTGGACTCATCAAGATCACATCAATGGACAGTTGGTTGAAGTCTCCTAGTTGTATGCCCTAAAGAGAACGGAAGATATGAGGACGCTTCAAGTGAATTCATGCCCAAGAAGAGCGACAACTTGCTTTTTAAGAGATAAGATTTCACATATCCTAAATGTACAGTGGTATGCAACATTACTGCAAATGTTCATGATTTTCCTTTAAAAATCATCGGTTGTTTGGATAAGAAATTTCCTTTGAATATAACATTCAGGAGACAAACAGTGATTTTTGAGAAGTTAAATACAATTTCTAGAACGTGTCCAAGAATGTATTTAAACCAATTAAACCAATTAGGCATGAGCATAAATTTAGGCACCACAAAAGAAAAAATTGCTGAATCTTTGAGGATTTTGAGCAGTGTTTAGGATTGTTGCTTCCTTTCATTCTAGTGTATATACATATATTTAGGACTTCAATATTTGCAGTCGGCTTGATTTTATAATTGCAACAAGGCAGTGATTTTGATCCAAACACTTTGTTGAGTGCATCAGGGAGCTCATTGTGGGTGCTCAATGTTTTACCGCTGGTGTGTGCAGGGAGAAGAGGCTCACCTCGATGGACTTACCCCACAGAGGGGTGAGGGGGAAGTTGTGTGCGTAGATGTGATTGGCTGTGGTGTTGATGTCCACTGCAGCCACGACCTCCGCTGGGACGCCACAGCCTGGACGGACATGCATCATACAGGACACACTTAAACAGATTCATTGCAGTTACTCAGTTACAATGCACTGTACTATGCGGCCTAGTACAGTATTACTCTGAAACTTATTCTGGACAAACACAACATCATTTGTCAGAAAATATAAAAAGTTAATTATGCCTTCTATGTTTAAGGCTTAGAAGGTTCTATGACAAAAGTACTAAGACTAGTACTGTTTATTTACCTAGCGGTACTAGCTTCCTAACACTTTTGTCTGAATCTTCTATGCCTAGAAAGTATAAAAGTGCTGTTCAATTCAGCTAAAGGAGCAGAATTTCCCAGAAACGTTTTCCTACATGTTTTGTACATTTTTAAAAAATATTTAAATATATTTGTTTTGGTTTTAGGAGTCCTCTAATTCTTGATGGGGCAGCAGTTAGAACTTGTGTTTCACAGCAAGAAGGTCCTGGGTTCAATTACACCTCCAGGACTTTCTGTGTGGAATTTGCATGTTCCTCCGGGTGCTACGGTTTCCCCTACTGCTAAAAACACGTACAATAGGTATGAATGTAATGAGTGAGTGAATGGATGGTGTTGGTCGGAGGCTTTGATGCTTCCGTCATCACTTTGGAGAGAAGGGATAAATATCTGAACTTCAAAAACATTGGGCACAGAAGAGAAAATGCCGGAGAGCCGAGCGGAAGTCCAACCTCCAGGTTGATTACAAGATCTTCAAAGATAAGTTGTGCGAGCTACGTAGTACGAGAGAGGTCCATCCATCCATTCATTCATTTTCTTCCCCTTAATCCATTTCTGGGTCGGGGGGTGGCAGTCAGAGCTGCACCCAGTCCACAGAGCACCAGCCCCTCACTGATCCTCCTGCAGGTGGTGAGTCCACAGGAGCTGAGATCTTTCAGTGGGGGCTTCAGGCAAAGTGGGGTTAAGTGTCTTGCCCAAGGACACAACAATAGCAGATGTCGTGAAGTAGGTCTTACGGTGGGCTCAAACCCAAGACCTTCAGGCCCAAAGGCCAATGCTCTACCAACTGAGTGACTTTCGCCCATGAGAGAAAGGTATTTTTCTGAAATGATTGAAGGCTGCAGCAACAACCTGCGTGTTCTGTTCTCAACAGTTAATAGATTAACAAACCCCCCTGTTCAGATGCCATTAGAGCTAACTTCCAAACGTAAATGTAATGAGTTTGCTAATTTTTTCAATGACAAGGTTCAAGGCATCAAAAACGCCATTGTCTCCAATCCACAGATAACCATCCAACAGCCAAAAAGGCTCTTTGAGCTAACTCATCAAATCAGTAACATCAGCAGCTTTTTACCATCTAAAAAACATTGCCAGGATCAAAAACATAGTGTCTAAAGCAGACTTGGAGATTCTTATCCATGCATTTGTCTCCAGTAGGTTAGACTACTGCAATGGCCTGCTCACAGGTCTGTCCAAACAGGCTGTAAAACAGCTGCAGTACATTCAAAATGCAGCAGCTCGAGTCCTGACTAGAACCAGGAAGTACGACCACATTAGTCCTGACTAGAACCAGGAAGTACGACCACATTAGTCCTGACTAGAACCAGGAAGTACGACCACATTAGTCCTGACTAGAACCAGGAAGTACGACCACATTAGTCCTGACTAGAACCAGGAAGTACGACCACATTATTCCTGACTAGAACCAGGAAGTACGACCACATTAGTCCTGACTAGAACCAGGAAGTACGACCACATTAGTCCTGACTAGAACCAGGAAGTACGACCACATTAGTCCTGACTAGAACCAGGAAGTACGACCATATTAGTCCGGTCCTCAGGTCTCTGCACTGGCTTCCTGTGGCTCAGAGAATAGACTTTAAAACAGCTCTGCTTGTTACAAGTCTCTCCATGGCCTCGCACCAAAATATATTAGTGACATGTTAGTCCCATATGAACCAGCCCGGACTCTGAGGAGCACAGGGACTGGACTCCTGTTAGTGCCCAGAGTCAGGACTAAACATGGGGAGGCTGCTTTTCAGATTCATGCTGCTAAAAGCTGGAACAATCTTCCTGAAGATGTGAGACAGGCCTCCACTCTGACAATGTTTAAAACCAGGTTAAAGACAGTTCTATTTAGCTGTGCATACAACTGAGGGATTTTATATTTCCATATTTATTTATAATGTACTGTGATTATTTATGATGTTAATGCTGTTTTGTCCTCTTCAGCACTTTGAGTTGCCTTGTGTATGTATTGTGCTATACAAATAAACTTACATTTCCTTGCCTAAAGCTCTATGGTATGCTATGATGTAAATAACAATTTATTTCTTACATTTTCAGGGCAAGTGTAATAGCCCTGTTGTAAACTTTGAGTTCCTCACCCCATCTCTCATTACCCAAATCTCCTGGCATAGGTGAGTGTGGAAACGTAGAGTGAGAAATCAAGAGCTTTGCCAACAGTCTATGCTTTGGACTCAGCTCCCCAGTTTCCATAATTAGAACAGAAACATACAGCATAACTATATATAATAATAAATTGGGGGCGACAGTAGCTCAGTTGGTAGAGCATTGGCCTTCAGGCCTGAAGGTCGTGGGTTCATTTCCCACCTCTGCACCTTCTCCACCGACTCCCACTGATGACTGCTGTCGTTGTGTCCTTGGGCAAGACACATAACCCCACTTTGCCCAAAGCCCCCACTGAAAGATCAAGGCTATGCTCACACTCAGAGAGCAGCCGTCCTCCTGTGGACTCACCACCTGCAGAGAGTCAGTGAGGGGCTGGTGCTATGAGACTTGGGTGGCATCTCTGACTGCCACCCCTCTGACCCAGAAATGGATTAAAGGGTAGAAAATGGATGGATGGATGGACATACAGCATACTGTGAGTGGGCTCTCCCATAACCTAACTCTATCTTATAGTCTATGGCAGGGGTGCTCAATACGTCGATCGCGATCTACCAGTCGATCGCAAAGGTAGTATTGGTAGATCGCATTAAATAAATAAAAAATTACACATTCTAAACAAATATATACAAAAAACTCCGTTAATGCATTTGTGTGTAGACAGAGATAACCGGAGTTTTGCGTTCTCGCACGCCACAGTACCCCCCTAAATTCCTCTGATCACTGAAGCATGGATCATACTACCTTAAAAACTGTTCGCTGTGAGATGCTCGCAGCAGCGAACATCCTCCACATCAGAGAGCAGCAAAGTGATCGCGGGGACTCACGCTCGAAAACAACCAAACCAGGACTAAACCAGGACTAAACCAGGACTAAATCAGGGCTGAGGACGGGGTCAGTGCTTGTAAACATACGTCTTACTCTTTACTCTGAGTGTCTTCTATGACTGTAAAAGTGCCGTTACCGGCGTCTGCATCAGAACTCCGCCCACTTCTGTGTTTTTCCCCAACGCAGGACAGGACGTAAGAGACGCACATGTTTGGAATGTTACAAACGTGACTGATAACGCAGATGTGTGGATGCAAATTATTTTATAAACGGAGGAGGGGAAATATTTGGATTTAAAAAAACCAGGCATGGCACATGGACATGGCACCACAGTCAAATGACATCTGTGTTTTACTCAGTAATGTTTTACTGACACTTAGGTGACTGCACATGCGCAAACAACCGCGCTCAGTGCAGGAAAGCTAAACCACGACAAACTTGTCAGCGAGTTACCACCAATTTTCCGGACTATGCATCCCTGGCCGATTCAGTTCAAGTCATCAGAGTAAACTCGGGTAATGACAAATTTACATAGGTAATTGTGTTTTGTTGTGCTATATTGGCTCATGCGGTTTTGCATGTACATAAACATACATTGTAGGTATAAAGAATATTTTTTGAAATAAATATATGATTTGCATTTTTGTAGTAGGTAGATCATTTTGACTTGATCCTTTTATAAGTAGCTCGCATGCTGAAAAAGTGTGAGCACCCCTGGTCTATGGAAATCCTGTTCCTTACGACTAAAATCCTCCCCGGTACAGTTTTCAACATGTAGCTCAAGAATATTGAAGTAATCCACTTTAACAAGGCCATGTCAACTCTCCCTATACTTGCCTTTATCTCTCCCAGTATCCAGAAACACTGTTATGCATTCCATCAGCAGGTCTGTAACCATCTTAACTTCAGATATGACATATGTCTCTCTCAGTGCAGAGTGCTCCTGTCTGACTCACTGTTAAGAGCAAAATGCATGCCTCCTATCCCGCTGTAAAGCTCCAGGACACGCAGGGGGGGCACGCTGGGGCCCGGGGCGGAGGACATCACACCGGTGTCACTCATGGATCTTCTGGACTTTACATGACTTTTAAAACACATAAGTTCATGTGGAGAGAGTACACTCGAGCACTCACACAGGAGCCATGCTGGCGCGTCACTGAGGGTGCCAGATCTGCTTTTGGTTTACAAAAAAGAACACACAAATTAAACAGAAATGATTCGTTTCTTATCCTTCTTTATCCGTTAAATTAGATTTTACAAAGAGCAAGGCGTGTTAAGGTTTAGACTAGTGAAATGCAAGACCCTTCGTAGATTTTGTAATGTATGTTAAAAAAAAGACTAAAACGCACAGAAAGGAAAGGCTGAGGTTCTGTTCAGAATTAAGACTTTTAACTTTTTCTCATTTATATAGTTGTTTTTAGCACTATTATACTGCTCATTTACCTCTTCATATTATCAGTGCAGTAAGACCATTTTATTATTTTATCCTCTGCCTCGCCCATTATAACCATGGTCCCAAAATAGATATAAGAGAACAGACCTGGCAACTCAGCCCTTCTTCTTTGGTTAGTTTATACTGTTTGTGGTTAAATCCGTGGCTTTACTGCCCCCTTCAGTTGACATAGGTATTATATTTGTATTATATTTGTGTATTACTAATATCATTTGTGTCGTCAGAGCTCTGAAGGGGGGACGTAAACACATTATTACAGAGAAAATAAGATATGTGGGTTCACTTATCTTGTAAGTAATGTTTCTGTCTAAAGAAAACTCGAGCGTTCATTATCAGTTGTATGAGGACTCACAAAATGATCTGTAAATAAATTCCAAGATGGTTTACGCTCTTTTCACTGCAGGACTCACTTTATGAATATTTGACAGCACATGTCCTTTTATGGGCATGTGTTTCCAGCGTAAACTTCCGCTTGGGTGGGAGCTCGGACTGCAGCCGCTTTTCCACAATTTTGATCAATTTAGTCTTCACAAAGCCACATTTGTAGCTCACATTGTCCTGTGTCAGCGTATACAGATTCGTAAGTGTGACTTTCAGCAGTTGTGTTCGTGTATGAGGCGCTGTCAGTACTTTTGATGCTAACATTAGCATATGTGCTAACGCTAGCCTGAGTGTCTCTGTGCAGGGGTCTCAGGCAAAAATAATGATGTTGGTGTGATTTAGTTATGGCTAGGAACAGTTACTGTGGACAATGGTAGTTTTGAGGTCAAGCTAGATGTGATCATCATTTTTGTCATTAAAGCTGTAGTACCTAAAATAAAAAATGAAACTCTGCTTAATAATACATTGTAACTTGTTCCTTGCCCTAAAACAGTTTGGGTCTATACAGTCTATAGTGGCCTCTCTCAGATATCTCTCAGATATATAAAGAGCCAATCGGATGGACAATAAGCTCTCAGTCCAAGATGTTAAAAAGTGACACTAATACTGGCTCTTTCTTATAATAATGCCAACATGTTCTAATATTATGAATACGGCCTGGTGATGTGGTCTGATATGAGAGTCCCCACTGTGCTGCTTTGTCTGTGTGCAGAACCATGTCCAAGTCTCTGAAGAAGATTGTGGAGGAGAGCCGCGACAAGAACATCCCTGAGGTGGACATGTGTGATCGGGGCATCTCCAACATGCTGGACGTCCCGGGACTTTGTGAGGACACACACATATCCACTCTGTAACGTCATTGCTCTCTCTTTTATCTAACTATTATTACCACTGTCACTGTTTTAGTTGTTTTTTTCTAATAAGAATTAGGGTGGTGGGAAGTTTACATGGTTAATTTGAGGTTCCTGGGATTAAAAGTCTAATCACTGTATGTATAATGAATAATCTTTCTTTATATAGTGCCTTTACCAGACCAGAGTCACAAAGTGCTTTACAATTGTTCCAATTAGATGGCAGCACGGTCGCCTTACAGGCGCATGCCAGATCTATTGTTCATGTTTTTAGTGGTAGGGAAAACCGGAGCACCCAGAGAAATCCTACGCAGACACGGGGATAACATGCAGACTCCACACAGAAAGACTTGCTGTGAGACACAAGCGCTAACCACTGTGCCACTGTGCTGCCCCATGTGGTTACTGTAGTCACTACATGGGATGTAATAATTCAACACCATAGCTGAACTTAGCTGAACTTGTGCACTCTTGTGCTTGTTCTAGTCACTTTGGGAAACATCACTCAGCTGGTCCTGAGCCACAACAAACTCATTGGTGAGTCCTTTTTTCATCTTCTACTGGATTGTTATTAAATTAAATTAACAATAATGAATAATTATAATGCATCGGATTTATAAAGCGCTTTTTTGGACACTCAAAGATGCTTCACATGTCGCATTATTCGTTCACTTACATGGTGTCGATAACACTGCATTTCAATGCTGTGCCTGCAGAGGTCACCATAAGCCTTGGCTTTCATATTGTTCAAATTGATTGTTTTGACTGCTGTAAACAGTGGGGGCGACAGTAGCTCAGTTGGTAGAGCATTGGCCTTAAGGCCAGAAGGTTGTGGGTTCAATTCCCACCTCTGCACCTTCTCCACCGACTCCCACTGATGACTGCTGTCGTTGTGTCCTTGGGCAAGACACTTAACCCCACTTTGCCCAAAAGCCCCCATTGAAAGATCAAGGCTATGCTCACACTCAGAGAGCAGCCGTCCTCCTGTGGACTCACCACCTGCAGAGGGTCAGTGAGGGGCTGGTGCTATGAGACTTGGGTGGCATCTCTGACTGCCACCCCCCTGACCCAGAAATGGATTAAAGGGTAGAAAATGGATGGATGGATGGACTGCTGTAAACAAGTATATTGCGCATAATATGAAACAAGTTTTGTGTGTGCCTTTTTTGAATTACTCTGAATAAACAACAAAATAATGTATACACATTGCTAGTTCTATATGGCTATGAAATAAACAAAGAATTGCATATTCGCAGCTGCCTGCAGTGCTTCAAGTGAAACACGTTCTGATTGACTTGTTCTAGTACAATGTCATGAATGAACATGACCACACCAGAGCACATTCTGCTCTGGTGTGGTCATGTGCAGGAGGTACATGGGAATTATTTATAACCTGAGCCAGTGATGATTATGTTTTAGACCATGTTACAACACTTATGTCTGTGGTAATAATTAAATCCTGCGATGTGTCCCACAGCTGTTCCTCCAAACATCTCTGAGCTCAAGAACCTGGAGGTGCTCAACTTGTTCAACAACCAGATAGAAGAGCTGCCGACACAGCTCAGCAGCCTGCAGAAACTCAAGCACCTGAACTTAGGGTAAGGCACCACACGCGCATACCCACGCAGGCACACACACATGCACATGCACACACTCTGGCAGACGCACACTCACTTTCACATATGCGCTCAAAACACAAAAACAAATGCAATGCAAACACACAAAATATGCTAACACACATACACATCCATGCACACACATGCACATTCTCATACACACACACGCACAAACAGGCACACACGCATACAGCGAGTGCAGCGTCTGTCCTCACGTCCAAGTCACAAGAGGGAAAGGTGTGCTTTTTCTGCCTCTCAGCACAAAGCTCTTACTTAGAAGTACACAAAAGAAAAGACATGTGTAAGACATCTTTCTGATTCTGTACAAAAACATGTATTTTGGGGAAAAGTTTCCCAGCTACAGAAGTCTGTAGATTTATTTATTTTTTCGAAATCATGATTTACAGCTGCCCTTTTTAAAGACTATGTTGATAGATATGTAAGGTGTCTTCAGAGTCTTTCTTCATTTGTGGCAAAATGTCTGTAGGATGCTGCCAAACTGCCCACGACACAGTTTAAGGGGAAACGCCAACAGATGAATCAAAAACAGATCTGCAAAGTGTTGAACCGTGTTATTCCAAAGCACTATATGCCTTCTTCTAAACGAGTCTCCAGTAAATCTGGAGATGTCCTGTTGAACTCTTGGCACCGATCCAGGTTTAGCTCCATGTCTCTTCTTGGTGTGTGTTTGTGTGTTGCGGCTCTCACACTGTTTACATGCGCACGCACACCCACACAGGATCACCGAGGGATTGGCGGCTGATCCGGGAAACATCTGCGAATGTGGATGTAAGCCGTATTCTGTCATTCTGCTGCTGCTGTTGCTGCTGTCGCTCAGCCTCAATGACCACGGTGTGATCTGCGCCTGGGCTGATAATGGGATACGCTTATACATGTATGAGAGGGATTGGCTTCACAGACGAGAAGCTTTTGTTTGTCCCACTGTTTCAGACATGCAGAGATAAACGCTATTCCCTACGTTGTGATGTTAAAGATCCATATTATCAATGAGTATGGACTGTCGTCAAAGGACCTTGATGCTGCGGTTTTTAGGAGCCGCAGCTTGCCAGACAGTACTTTTGGTTCATTTATTCATTTTTAAGAGGGTTCCAAACCATTGAAAAAAAAATTGTCATTCCAATGTATTTTTTTTTTTTTTTAAGTTTGGCTTGCTTCAATTTTGTATGTATGTATGTACTTATGAATAAAGAAAAACATAATTATATGACTAAAAATACTTTCTGTGCCCCAACCCTAAGGCAGCAAAATATTTTCAAGGGAGATATTCCCAGGCCTGCTGAGAGGCCGATGCCCGAGTCACCTTAGCAGGCTCCTGTCAACATTTGTGTGTCTGTTTGCAGAATGAACCGCCTGAGCACGTTGCCTCGAGGATTCGGCTCCTTACCTGCTTTAGAAGTGCTGGACCTCACCTACAACAACCTCAGCCACAGCTCTCTGCCTGGGAACTTCTTCTACCTCAGTGAGGCACATTTATGCTTCGATCAATAAAGTATAGCTCATTTTCATAATGGTATAGCAGCTTTTAATTACCTTTGCAGCTCCAGCATGTAAAGGAAAAACACATGCAGAATACTTCCAACATACAGACCTACAGACCCAAAAACAGACCTAGTGGTTTTAAACTTATTGGTCTGACTCTCTTTCTTTCAAAGCCACTCTGCGAGCTCTCTACCTGAGCGACAACGACTTTGAGGTGCTTCCCGCGGACATCGGGAAACTGTCCAAGCTGCAGATTGTAAGACTATTGCATGTTTCCCTCTCCGACAGAACAGAATCCACATGTGTGCATTCATGTGTGTCTTTCAGCTGAGTCTGAGGGACAACGACCTGATGTCACTGCCCAAGGAGATCGGCGACCTGGTGCAGCTGAAGGAGCTGCACATCCAGGGCAACAGGCTGACCGTGCTGCCCCCGGAACTCGGTCAGTCTGGGGGGGACAGAGATGGAATAACTAGCCTAATCCAATTGACCGTTTGATATACAGTAAATAAGGATGTAAAGCCAGGGATGTAGATTAAGGTGTCACAGTCCAAAACTTGCATGCATACTGAGACAGGAGTGGTCTGAGCCTGCATGTATACTAGGGATGTAAAAAACTATGAATTTTCATGACCGACCACCGAGCCTCATTAACCGGTTGAAACCGGTTAACCGCGTAGTTTAAAATAGTCCACGTTCTTTGAAATAACAGCCATTTCGAGCCGCGTACTTTTCATAAGTGCAGCTCTGCGTTCTACTGGATCAGAGTTGAGACAGCGGCGCCAAAACCCGCAACAGCTCCGGCACCTTTGCGCACAAAGAACTGCTTTTTTAATCTTCCAATTCTGCTGTGCTGCGGGTTAATACCAAAACTTTCTAGCAGCAAACGACGGCTCGTTCACATGGTCAGAGCAGCGAGTGACGAGCCGCGTCTCACAGGTCTTCACAAAAGTTTAAATACAAGTGATGTGTGTGGAGCTGATCCCGAGGACCATAAACACAAACATGTTCCATGTGGTTTGACTGGAGCCGCGTATTTGTGCGAATCCTTTGGGCTCCGTGACACAGAGGAGCGCGACAGACCGGTATGTGTGTGTGTATGTGTGTGTATGTATGTGTGTATGTGTGTGTGTATGTATATGTGTGTGTGTGTAAATGTAAGCTCCAATGTAGTTCTGACCCGCGCCAGTGTGCAACTTTGACGGTAACAGAGGGGAGAGATGATGCGTGTGGATGTTACGTATGGAGAGGGGGAAAGTGCGCGTACGCGTGTGTGTGTGTGTGTGTGCACGCGTGTGTGTGTGTGTGTGGCTCGTGCGGCGTGAGAGTCGTCCCGGAGTTTATAATACATGGGCGCACACAGCTAGATACAGACCCGCTCGTCACATCGTGCAAATAGGGCTTAAAATAGCGTTATTAAGAGACCTCCCCTCTCCCCTTTTTCTCTTTTTTTAACCGACAGCTTTGACCGGTTAACGCTGTGACGGTCAACCACCGGTTAAACGGTCGCCGATTTACATCCCTAATGTATACTATACTGACTATACTATACTATACTTGTTTTTACCTACATTTGTGATGTGCAGATTTTTCTAAAGCTTGAACAGAAACCTAACTGCTGACTTGATCTGCCCTCTGAGCAGAGCTTATGTTGTGACCAGATTCAACTGCGTTACTAACAGGGGCAGAAGGCAGATCCATCTGGTGGGACTGAACGCAGAAGTGTGGGGAATGGTCTCTCTTAAAACATTGTTTCAGCTTGAGCTTGAAGCACTGAAGCATGTTTTCATCTCCCTCAGTGGCAGGCCTTCTGACAGTGCAGCGCTGTGTGTTGTAGGGAACCTGGACCTGACCGGACCTAAGCAGGTGTTCAAAGCAGAGAACAACCCCTGGGTCACTCCCATTGCTGACCAGTTCCAGCTCGGAGTGTCTCACGTCTTCGAGTACGTCCGCTCCGAGACCTACAAGTAGTAAGTCCTTCAGCACACGAGCACAGACAAGTTCACGTTCTCACTTTGTCAATCCTTTAGAAACAAGTCCACATGGCGATATTTTTTTTCTTTTGCTTTTTGTGAGCTTTTTGGAACTGAAATTTGCATAAGCTGTGAAGGGGTGTAGTAAGTTTCACCGTGGTAAAAGTCAAATAATGTGTTGCTAAATGTGACTGCATATTAGTATGTTTGTTTCTCAGTATCAATGCATAAATAGTACATTTTGTTAGTCCCAGCAATTTTCTAGTAAATGTTGTGAAAAAATTGGGCCACAACAACTTATGCATGTCTCATTATTTGGCTATTTGGGCATTGAGCTAATTGGCTGAGTGAGGGTGATTCTTTCCTATTCACCTTTCTATCTGGAAAAAGACCAAAAATGCTTTAAAACGTTATACAAGTGATAGAACCAAATTGCTTCATCACATACTTCAATTATTTGTGTTTGCGTTTTTCTCGTCTTTTAGTTACCTTTCCTAATAGAATACAGCTACTCCTGGTTAAGGTTTTGGGAAATTGCAAACCATTACATACTCACAGCAGATCAGATTTGTTGTCACATTTGACCCTACTTTATTATGTTTATTTTATTTATTTATTTGACTGGGACAGTACTGTACATGGCCATGAACATATATGGTTGGGCAAATTTGTTGACACGCCAGATTGTAGCCAATTGTAGCTAATTTTCATCTGTAGACCCAGGGGGCGGGGTCACAGGTCACAACAAAAATACAGCAGTATGTTGTGTTGAGAAGTTTAAAAAGTACTATTTCCACAATGTCCATGCTCCCGAACTGTGTCCTCCACTTGAGTGGTATGGTGCTGTTGTTTTTTTAAACGCACCGTGTCGAAGACGAAGAGGCAAACGAGATCCGAAGTGGTGAAAATCCAGGATATAAATGTTCCAAAGAGCTGCTCTGGAGCACGCTTTGGAACTAATCCCTCATGGCTGCGACGGGAGCACACAACCAGGCTTTGCACACGGCCACCCTGCCTGTCAGCCAGCCATGAGCCTCTATCACAGACAGACTCATACATGTCACCATGAGATGAACATACACAAGAGACCGGAGCTTATTTCAGTATTGTGCCTGTTACTGTGACCAGGATGTTTCTTGTGATATGCCACAAACTGTTTAAAGGACATATTCTGCAAAAGGGTCTTTCTTTGACATTTTATCCATCTTGTTTTAACATAATTTTTTCACAAAAAAACTGGTCATGAGTGTGTTTGAGCTCAGTCTTTATCAATATCAGAAACTTAGCATAACACAGCACAAACACATCCACCCACGTCTGAATACAGAAATTGCAATTACAAAAACAATATAGAATAAACCACACATCACAATAACGGGCAGTTAAACGTGTCAGGCTTATTCTCTTTAGTTTAAGAGGCTGTCTCTGTTTGATTGGCCTGTTTTTAAAATTGTTGTAGTGAATATCTGGCTTCACCAGATATGTTTAAGTTTAGTTTGAATCCACTCTCATGACCTTGGAGCAGTCAGACATGTGATTATACTAATCAGTGGTCCTTCTCACACTTTAATAATGTGTCCATGTGGTGTGAGCGTGAGAGTGGACAGGTGCTGAAAGTCTCCTGTCCACACACTTTAACCTCTTTCAACACCGCTCCACAGAATGTTGCTTATCCCCAACCCACGGCACTTACCATTTTCTTTCTCTGTATGGTTGAGAGCATGGAAATATCTGGCACAGCTTGCCCCCACATATCTGTTTGTATAAATTCACCAAATCGGATTTTTTTTTACTTTCAATTACACTGCAACATGTTAGAGTTACATCAAAATCTAGCTGAATGTGTTTCCCCACTTCTTCCACTTGACTGTAGTGTTGGAACAATTGTCAGTAACCATCCATTCTACCATTGTGTTCCGCTTGAGCCATTGCTGGGTGGCAGAGGCATTAGTGGAACACTGGCTCTACTCCAAGCACACCCTGTGTGACTGGGCTCTGTCCTCATTAACACTAAGATGGGAAGATGTTGAAGTCTGGAGACGTTGGATATATATTGGTTTGGTGTGACTGCAGTCACATTTTAGGGCAGTTTCTGAGATCAGGGACTCCAGCAAGCAGGGCAATCCATATAGAGAAATGTCCAATATTTTCTTCTACTATGCTTTGCCTTTCTGTGCCAACAGCGCTCTGTTGGATGTTGGCTCTCGTCTAGTTGGCGTATTTCGGTTTTTAGAGCTTAGATCTGGCTCAAAAAATTCAGCCTGCTCCATGCCCATGATGCTCACATGTTTAAGTCGTACCCAACCCAGTGTTTGTGAATTGACATTATGTTTTGTGTGTGTGTTGTGGCGTTCCACAACAGATTACCCACAGCATACAGCACAGCATCACAAGCAAAGTCTATTGGGAAGCAATCGGGCATCTGGGCCGATCTAAACCAGGTCTAACCCCGCTAGAATGGTTTCATGATGGAAAACCTTCTGTTTCTGTTATCCATCCTCCTCTGACCCTAACCTAAACTTGAGAGACTTACAATTCCTGATATTGGTGTGAGTCTGTGAGAGAAGAACACCTAGTTTCACCTAGTCACTTTTGCTTATTGTGTGCTTTAAACTTAACTAAATTACTGGAATTGGGTTCACATCATGAAACGTTTTTGTATTGTAGAACCTTAATTAGCAGTTTTTAACTGGCTGTCCTACCCTTCAGTCCTGCTGTCTAAAGGAAAACATCCATTGGAGAAGGAAGGCTGGCTCAGATCAATGCCCTTTGGCCTGCTCCATTTATCACACAGACACACACACACACACACACACACACACACACACACACACACACATACTGACACACACACTTTTCTCTATAAGGCCATATGTAACAGTTTAACATCAGACAACTTTAGTCATTAATTAAACCTTGAGGAATAGAACGCTCCATAAACTATTTTCCCATTCTAAATCCATTCTCTAGCTCTAATTGGCCTTAACACTGACGGCCTGCGCTCACTTCTACCCAAACAGCCCAAGTGCCTCTGTTAGAACAATAACAACTTTCTTAGGCGCATTGCCCAGGCCGTGCCTGAGACGTAACCAGAACTAAAGCGAGTGTCAGAAGAGTTAGCTGCAGGTTGACTTGTGGGGCACATTTGAAGGCAGTTTCTGAGCTCAGGGCCTCCAGGGAGCAAGGCACTGCAGTCAGAGTAGTCTGTTGGAGCCTCATTTGGAAGAAAAAATGCGAATCCATATAGAGAAATGTCCAATAGTTTCTTTCTACTACGCTGCGCTGCCTCTGTGCTCCTGGAGAGACAAGAGGTTGGTTCTTTTACAGATATGCGACTGGACAAGATATGTGGACTTATACTGTATATTATGATTATTATTAGGGCTGTCAAACGATTACAATTTTTAATAGAGTTAATTACAGCTTAATAATTAATCGCATTTCGAACTATCTGCAAAATTGCCATTTTTCTGTAAATGGTTGTTTGAATGGAAAGATAAATGACAACATACAGTATGTACTGTATTTGTTTATTATAACAATAAATGCAAATAAAATGGCATTAAGATTATTAACATTCTGTCATTCTGTAGTAGACACTATTATTTCAGTTTGACATATTCCTCTTCAGCTAAGGCTTCCTCTTTTTTTCTTTTTCTCTGTTCTCGGTCTCATAAAGGATGTGGAAAAATTAGGTACCCCAGCTTTAATTTAGCGAGTTTAGTTGCGTTTCGGGAAGAGAAACGGAGGCGACACGGACACTTCCTGAGGCTCCGTGGTCCAGCTTCAGTGATGAAGACACGCACACAACAAGCAGAGAAAAGTTCTGTGGCGTGTATGTCTTGGATCACGTTACGGCGGTACCATTCGCCGTCTTGTTGTCACAACGGCTCACAGCCACTAGAGGTGGGAACCGCTGTCCATAGCGGCCACAGATGCCCCGCGGTCACGTGCGTATTCTTTTAAAACTTTAAATTGCTCTGTGGACACTTGAGTGTTATTATGGGATGCATGGGCGGGTCATTCGGTCAAATGCGTTAATTTTTTTAAAGTGAGTAATGAAAAAAATTAATTTATGTGCGTTAACGCAATAATTTGGACAGCCCTAATTGTTATGCATCAAACTCTTTGATACTTTAATATTCTATATTTTACAGTTTTGTATCTTTTCCCAGATCAAGTTCTTTACGGTTTTTGTCTTTTTATGTGTTCAGTAGATTTATAGATGGACAGGAAAAATAAAGGGGAAGAAAGTGGATGGATGGATTGATGGAAGATCTATCTAAATCTACAGTTGCCCCTTCAATTAGCCCAGTCAAGGGATGCATGGTGTAATACCAGGGGTGTCGCTCATGACCGTGGGGGATCTTGTTAACAGACAGAACAACACGGTTCAAATGGCTCGAAACTCTAAAGATTACAAGAAGAATATTGTAAATGCAGTCCAAGATTTAATATGGTGAGTGGTGATTCAGCGCACTGTGGCTCTCATATCCCAGTAAACGCTGTTGATTTCGAAGGCGTTTTGTAAAGTGTGAGAGCTCTGTGCTGGGGTGGATGTCAGTCTTGTGTCTTCTTCAGTGAGGTGTCCACAGTTGTCTGAAGCCAGCTGCGCATCTCACTTTGTATAAATAGTATAAGTGTGGTGGAGGTCCACAGGACCAGACGTGATGAGGCTCCTGTTCACACTGTCTCCACATGGAAACACCACTCTCACTTTCTGCACCAGGAGGAAACACATGAGCTGCTGAGCTTTCAGAACACGTCGTGCAACAGTTTATCCTCTGAGCTTTTAACCATGTTACATCGTCCTCTAAAATGTTGAACTCCGGGTTCAAAGTACCACCAATCCATAGATTATGATGGTATGACTGGAACAGTTTTATTTATTTTTTTAAACTGTATCGCCTCAATATTGGTTTTGAGACTCTCCCTTGTCAAATTCAGAACTTTGAACTTTGAATTTGAATGCACTTTTACTGTAAGCATAGTCCTCCCTCCAAACCCTTTTGTCTTCTTTTAAAAGTCTAAACCTATATTTTGTGGAATGGCGGGTTATTGTCTGCGTTTACAATGTCACTGAAGATAAAGCATGTATTGTGGCGGCTCCTTCTCAGTTCTAGTACAAGTCTCTTCAGAATCATGCTGACAGCTCAGAGTGTTGGCACCCATGGGACCCCAGCACCCTGCCCCCTCCTTAGGCCTCCAAGGACCAGTCTGTTTTATATGACTGACGCCACAGCAGAAGAAGGCCAGAAAGGAAACTGCTGTTTCCTTTTTTTTTTCTACCTTGTTCCCCCATTGATCCTCATCATAAACAGACTTGCAGTAGTTTAGATCCATCCACGCTCATATAAGGATTGTATGGCACAAATGCTTCATCCCTTCTGTAAATGCAGATTATTGTAGCCTCATGACCTCACATGAAGAGCAGCAACCATGGACCTCAAGGTGATGCGGCTTGTTGCAGACCTTCGGAAAGAAGTTCTGTGTCTCATCATGGAGTGACAGGAAACTTCTCTCCCAAACTGTTTAAAGTTGCTGGTGGCAACATACTGGCAAAGAATGTCCCCTTTAAGTGTAACTTACTTTGATAGCGTTGTATGGGACAAGTCTGTTGGCCCTGCTCCCTCGTGCTTACCAGCCAAGTGCTTGGCATTGTAGATTGGGTCCATAGGCTGTGAGGAACAATTTAGCTCCTCGGTCAGCAAGTCCATAAGCCCGCGCTCCTCCTCCTCTCCCCAGCGGCAGCCCTTGTCCCACTGTTGACCCTGCGCCTCAGGGCAAACTGTATGGACCACGATGCGCCCGCTCCGGTCCTGGTCCATCAGTAAACATGTCTGCTGGTTCGGACTATTGACCCCTCTTTGCCCTGAGACCTTTATTAATTGGTGACTCTATCAGACATCAGTCCCAGATCTGCAAATACGATTCCACACATTTCCTCAAGTTAAGATTTAACTCACATTAGGAAATGGGTGGAGTCTGGTGTGCTCCTGTTTGGTAATTTAAATCTGCAGCTGGCTGCATATTTGATACCCCTGCCTAACGGAATTAAGCACTTTCTTTACTATTTAATGTTGCAATGAAGCATCCTTGCGCTGTACTCCTTTATGTGTATAAATTGTTTTATCTGTATGGTGGCTTAGGGTATCATGATTTTTAAGAGGGACCCGTGTCTTGGCCGCTGCATAGGCACACTGGAGCATTCAAATGAGCCACACGCTGGGGGCGGGGGGTGCAATTATATCTTGGGCTGCAGCAGGAGCACAGGCCTTTCCAGTCGGGTGAGCTCTTCTGTGAGGGCACCCATGGGAGAGACGTGACAGGCTCACTGTTCGCATCTGTACTGCTTATGTACAACACAGACAGAAGCTTTAGTCTGCAAGGAATCGTCTGAGGACACCATTTAGGGCTACTTTAGACATTCACAACTGGACTTTACTTTCAAAAATCATGTGTGTTCACGTGGACTTTTTGCTAATTAGAATATTAAAGACAAAATAAATTGCACTGCAGAAAGTATAGTGCTTGAATTGAGCTGTATTGATGATCCAACGTTCCAACAAAAAAAGGTCAAACGTTTTGAAAGTCCGAGGTTAATTGGCAAAGTTGGGAATAATGAGGCGTACATTTTATTATAAAATCTGTTTCTGCAAAGCTATTACCAGTTTTTGCCAGATCTTTATTTTAAAACATTGTAAACCTCTGCGTAAACAATTGACCCTGCTGTAGACATTACCACATAGATGTTGGACGCCATAATGCATGCCTTCAAAAACTGAGAAAAATGAAAGGGGAATTTACCACTCACAATCGACTTATAATCCTTCTATATATTAATAAACTAACCAACTGCTTCATCCATTCTCCTCTTGGATATGTCCCAAACAAAGCCCACTTTCTGGGACATCCCTGACATCCTAAATGTCAGAAGTTTAGGTGTCATACTGGACTCCATTCTTTAATTTACAGCTCAACAATACGAATCCCATAGCCACTCCCAACTCCAACCATCTCTCACCCCAAACACACATCTGACGTTTTTGGCTGCTCTGATTTCCAGTCGGACAAAAAATAATACACTCCACTTCTCGTCCAACTCCACAGGCTCCCCATGATCCAAAGACCTCCTTAACACATCCAAGGTACTATATAACCTGGCCCCTTTCATACATCTGCTCAGTCCACAGGAGGATGGCCGCTCTATGGCATAGCCTTGATCTTTTCAGCGGGGACTTCAGGCAAAGTGGGTTTAAGTGTCTTGCCCAAGGACACAACGACAGCAGACATCAGTGGGAGTCGGTGGAGAAGGTCTCATGGTGGGCTTGTACCTACGATCTTCAGGCTCGTAGGCCAATGCTCTACTAACTGTGCCACTGTCGCCCTCTATGTTTGATAGTCTTTTTATTGTAAGGCGCCCCTGGGTGTGTTCCAATCAATGTTGTATTTGAATCATTCACTGCAGCCCCCAAAGTCTCACTCATATCTCTGCTTTGTGTTTGACAGCCTGTACGGACGACATATGCAAGCCAACCCAGAGCCCCCAAAGAAGAACAACGACAAGAGCAAGAAGATCAGCCGCAAACCACTGGCCACCAGAAACAAATGAAATTCTCCTCATGGTCGCTGCATGTGCCTCTGTCTATTACTTTATATACGCTCCCATACCAGTGTGCTGCCTGACGTATATATGTTTTTTTTTTTATATACGGTTCTATTATTATCTGCCACGTTGTCATCTTAGAAAAATGTCGTAAAAGAATGGAAGCTGGTCTCCACTTGGTCTAATCAGCCAATATCCGGATTGGGCCTTTCAGTTGATGTCAGTAGATTTACTCACACAGAGCTCTTCAGGTCAGCAGGTCAGTGTTTCTCAACCAAGGGGCTATCACTTGACTTGTTGAGAGTAAGATGTTAATAAGAGCTTTTAAATTATGTATAAAATGTGTTAAATTTGTACGATGGTGTGGTAAGACCTGGATGAGTTTTCTGCTGCTGGACACCTGAATTTCTCCTACGGGGGATCAATAAAGTATCTTTCTAAGACCAGGCTACCATAGAAGCCAATTCTCAAGATTTCAACCACCAATGACTGAAATTTTGAACCTAGAACACAACTAATAATGATAATAACAACTGGTCTATCAGTTTTCAATAACAAGCCTTTCTTACCTTTTGGTCCAGTTTTGCTCCAGTCAAGCATGAACTGCTTTTATTCAGAAAAATCTAAAACTCATTTTACCTACATAATATACATTTGCTAGTACCCACTGCTGTTGGGTACTAGCATGAAAAAAAACTATGAAATGAGTCAATTGTGTTTTTAGCATTGCATTGCTGTGATTGAGGGGAAATGTCGCTGTTTTCAGTCTCAGCAGATATGGAAATCCAAAGTATCAGCACATATCACATAAAAAAGTAGAAGCCAGGCATGCAGCAAGGGTTTCGTCAATGTCGCTCCCGTTGTGGTTAAAAAGATACAAATGAAAGTATGACGGACCACCTCAAGGGAAGTTGTTTGTATACCAAAGAGGAGCAGCTACGTTTTAAGTTGTACTGCTTCAGTTTATAGAAAGATATTTTACATTTTACAACACAAGCAATCAGGTTATGGTTATTAGATTTTGAAGATTTTTAATTTACATTTCAAGGAATTTTGTGTTTATAGTGTTCTTAGAAATTGCCTTTTTTCACTGGTAACATTTAACCATATTATTCCCTTGTTAAAAGCGCACCTGGATTTTGTTAGCTTCACCACACTAATAACATGCATTCAGAACACTCTTTGTTGAATCTGTTAATTTGTTTTGTTTTTAAACTTTTTTCAAACTGTATTTTCTCCACATTATTTCTAAGTTTACCTCAAACTATGTTCATTACAACTGCAGGACTCCCATTGGAGGTTGTAATTCCTGTCGACACCAGTAGATGGTGGTGGCCCTGTTTTAACCATATATCATATCTTACACACAGTATCTCAAGTCATTAAAAGATGTTGATTGTCAGCATTGGGCAGACTTTTTTGCTCAAAGGGGGTAAAAACAACCGCTGATTGCTAACTTGATCAGCGGTCTGAGTGGAGCCTGCAGGGCTGGTGATGTGCCCATATTTTCTGTGACGTACAGTATGTAAAAGGGCAGAGTGAGACATCGTGTTAGATCAATACAGAGAATCCAAATGTACTAAATGTGTATGTTACAGATGTTTCTCACAAACCAAAGAAGTGACGATGGAAAGATGTTGTTTATCATCAAGTAACAGTATAAAAAAATAAAAAATAAAGTGTGTTTTTGAGGCATCAGATTAGTTACAATTGAAAACGATTATCAAAAATGCCATGTCTGTTTGCATTTGGTGAAAAGGAAAGATTTGATTCGGCTTATGTCATGTCTCATCATACATTCTTTTCTTTCTAATGATTATTCCGTGCCGTCATTGCCTTAGCCCATGCATTACTGCGGTTTTGAAGCTGGACTTTGTAAACATGGGACAGTTCTGTTCTCTGCTGTCAAACTGTCCTGTCATTGTGTTTTTTTAAATATTTTAATGTATGTGCCAATGTATGGAAAATTATATTTCAGTGTTATGTCTGTGTCATTTCAAAACTAAATGTTATAAAAAAAGATTTAAATACATCGGATTCATTGTTCTTATTAGCCATACTTGGATCTCCTCCTGTCATTTTTGCCTTTGAAGCAGATTGATGTTCTTGGTCAGGGGTCACCAACTTTTTTATTACCGAGGGCTACCTCAAGATGACCAAAGGGCTCCTTGACGGCTACTGTATAATGTTGAATTGAAATGAATTGGGCATTGAATAAAGTACAATATTACACATTTACACACACATGTATACATACACACACATACAGTCACTTCAGATACAATAAAATAGGTAAAAGCATGAAAAGATAGGACTGGGTACGGATGTAAAAACAGCTGAAGAAGCGTCATCCACAAAGTCGTCTGCATCGGGAGCGGAGAGGAGTCTGCAACATGACCCTAATCGATTGGGGATGTCATTTATACTCTTATTTTTTGGGCACGAATGCTGAATCTGGTTAAATTGTGGTACTCAATACCAACATTGTAGCACTGTATAATAAAATCCATGTTGCTATAGTTTCCAGATGCGCAGTATTTTTGTCTCCAGTCACATGTTTAGATCAGCTTTTTCAGACCTACTCTGCCAATCAACAGCTCTCAGTCCAAAGAGTCAAAAAGTGACTCACATACGGTTCCTCCTGGGCATACAAAGTAGTTTTGATAAGATAAAAGTGTGCTGTTGTGTGATTGGTTTACAGCAATAAACAAGTTAAACGTGGTCCATGATGGCCTCGTGCGTTCACGGACATGGGGTTGGGACCCCTGTTTCAGGTTTTAGCTTTGTATTTCTATGGAATCATGCATGAAACAGAGACAACTGTCAGGATCATCATCAGGGCTCTAGAGGCAGAGCTCTCCGTCACTGGAGGACTTTAGACTTGTGCGGATGTTAACAGCAGTGAGCCGCTGGTTCATGTATTGGATGATGCTAAATTGAACGGGGCATGTCAGACATAAATGAAACCAAAGTGAGTAACGAAAGCTGTTACACAGTCCGATCATCAACATATATCCTAAATTGGTAATTTTGATTTTAAATGACATATTTTTGAATATCTATATTTATCCTATTCTGCACCAAAGTGGAATTATTCTTAATTATAAATGCAATGGACATTTTCAAGAAGATTTTCCAATCACCTACAACCATGTTACCTCCATTGGCCGCTGTGATTTAGCAATTTAACTCACAATGTTGTCAGCACACAAACAGTCGCTCTCTAAAAACTGTAAAAGATTAGGGAAAACATCTCATCAAAAGGTGATGAGAGTAGTCCATTGTGCATGTGACGGCCCCTTTAAGCAGAGTGTCACAGGTGTAAGTGGCACGGCGAGGCCCCAGCTCTGAGGCAATCAGGGCGGCCCTCACACATCGCCTATAAATCACTGCTCTGCGATCAATGCAGCCGTCTGACCCGGGACCATTGTGTCCTGAAGACGAAGAGAGGAATGCAGCAAACGCCGGGGAAAACAAACATGCAGTAAGTAGGACGCTACCACCTGAAAGAGGACAGCCAGCGCCCACGACCAATCTACAGATGTTGATGCTTGAGTGGATAGTTTTGAGAATAACTTCAGTCTGTGGTCCATCTCTATGTCTTCTAAAACACAGTCTAGGGATAACATTATACACAGGAAAGCAGCAGCGTGTGGGGGAGACCTGTAAAGTGAGGCTGTCAGTGTTCAACACTGCAACATACTTCACCTACAATGGTCTGAGTCTGGTGTGTGAGTGAAGGCGATTGCTTCTGTCTTTCTGCCCCAGGGCAGCTGGGTACAGTAGTTTACCACCATTTTAAAAGGCGTGAATGGATAATGCAGAACAATGTTGTAACATTGTTTTGGGAAAACTAGCTCTGTAAGAGGAGCACACTTCTCTCATCATCCGTAGAGGCTTAAATAATTATCCTCTTCTCTCTCATTTGGATCAGTACTGGTTCTTTTGGTACGTCCTGTTTCCAGTTAGCTTCTCATTGTCAGTACCACTAACACAGTTCTCTGTTGGCCTCACACTCTGGTTATGTTCAACAGCCCTAAATAGTAGCTCTCATTTCCTCAAAGTCTCACAAGTCTCTTCTTCAAATTTGCAAAGTTCACGCAAATGAGCAAGAGCAACAAAAATACATAAACAAACACAACTGAGATGGAGGAGACTGAAGATTTTTTTTTAGCAGAGTCGACTGAACTGAACAGCTGACTGATACAGGGACTAGACATGGAATCACACAGTCTTTGTCATGTTATACCTAATTCCCCAATACCCTTAATGCAAAGTAGAATAATAACAATAGGTCTATCAGTCTACAACAATTTGTCTCCCGTTTTAGTTCAATCCAAGCAATTTTTATTTATCAGAAAAGTCTAAGCCTTAAAGAAAACGTGTTATGAAAATATACTTTTTTTTTAATTAATCATGCAACAATAGTGTTCCCCATCAGTCACAGACATGGAGTTGTTTTTAGATCCATCCATACCAATATCAGGACGTTCTGGTGAAAAAATGTAGCTCTCCCGCTTTTTGTCTAAAAGCTCCTGTCTCCGTCATGTAACAGTATGATGTCATTGTGCCACTATGACATCACACTTAGACCTTTAAAACAAAAATATTGCCCATAAATTAGTTTTGTAATCATGTAAATGGTCTCATTATAATTTTTAATGTCTGAAGATAATGCGTAACATTTCTGCTTTAAGCTAAATGTCTAAGGCCTAAGTTAAGTAGATTAAAGAATAGATAACTACTTTAAAATAATAACCTGATGAAAACAAACTAAAAACAGACGTTCTCGGGGCATACTTGTGTCTTGACACGCTGTCGAGGCGCACACAGGCCAAATATGGTTGGTAAAAACAACTTTAAGGAGATAAAAATTCCAAATCTGTTTGATAGCGACCTTGAAGCTGGGCCAAAGAGCCGTCAGTTGCGAGTTCTAGTCCGCTCACTGACCTCGGTAACCGTGGAGCACAGCCTCGCTATGGTACGAACTTGCGCAGAGGTCGTTCATCATGCACATATTCATCGAGCGTGCAGTCGATCCGCTGACGGCCCGTTACCTTGGGCCCCTCTCTCTGGCCCCTGCGCTGGCCCCACAGATGTGCCTATTGAACGAAGTATTAATGTCGATGCTCTATGAGTCTAGAGTGAAACTTCGCCATCAGGGCTGGGAGGCTGATACCGGTTACTTATGGATGAAACAGGACCAGTTTTAACTCTAAACTCACAAGTTTAATAAGAACATATATTTTAGACGTGTTCTTCCTGGAGCCATTATCACAGGTCCCAAATATCAGCGTTTTGTAGGGATGCAACAATACACATTTCTATATGAGGGTCACAATTACACTTTGATTCATTTCATTTAATATGCTGAACATTAAATAGATAGTCATCTTTTTGTCAATGTATAATTTTGCTAAACAATCAGAAATAAGTTAAATCAGAATTACAGTGTTTGAGTATCTCAGGTCAGATATTGTTTCCATCTCATAGGAGGCGAGATGCACAGTCTTGGGAACAAATGTGCAGACAATTTTTTGTATTTAATTCAATCACACCAGTGTTGACTCACTGGGGCCTGTATTTCAAGTATTTGCAAAAGATAAAATGTTTTGTGATCAAACTCATTCACTGCCAGCCATATATAAAGAAGCATCCCCCATACTGCTAGCCTGGTCGTACCACACCATAGTACACATTACATTTCGTACTAAGGTCTGGATTTGCTCCATTGAGCTCCATGAACAGGTGGGAGGGGTTAACTCCTTTTGCAGATTGAAACGATTGGATCTGAGTTTACCGTGATGTATGTAGTGCGCCTGAGTCTGTTGTTAGCATTTAGCCTAGCTTTAGCCATCTCCTTTGCCGCTAACGGAGCCCGTGGGGACTAGCTCCACAATTTTTCCAGCGATTACATTTGCTAAACATTCCTATTGCTCCGGCTTCAATTTCTTGATGGAACCAGACCGGATTACTTTACTATTGCTTTTTTCGCCATTCCCAAACTACAACCTGCCTGTTCGACGCAAACTCTTGACGTCACCCACAACTAACTACAACACCCGCCTTCCGCGCTCTCTGAATGGTCGGTCGAAATTCAACCGATTGTAATCGCTAACATAGGGACTAGACCCAAACGTTACATGCAGTGAAATGATGATTGAACGGAGTGTAAGGATGGCTAAGGCCAGGCTATCATACTGCCAGAGATTTTGGATATTTTTAGTGTTTTTCCAAACCTCATATAAATGTGAGCCCTTGGTTGACACAAGCATGAAACATACCAAATGAAAGCTTTGTCTCTTGCCTTTCATTTAAAAAGTTTCTAGTAAGTTTCTACCCCTTTTAGTTTTTTCGCAATTGAGAGTACAACATAGATAACTTTCACACTGATGTTTTACAATGTATGACAGTTTCTTATTATGACACAAAACAGAAACAATACTTAGAATTGTATTTTGAATGTATGATTATTTTTAAACAAATTAAATGTGTACACACAATACACTCAAAGGATTGTCTTATGTACTCATAAAATATTCAACTTGTATACAATAAAACGCGTTCACAGGTCTGAAATGTTGACACACGCACAAGAGCCTTGACGAGCCATGGAAAAAAAAAAAACGATGAAAGAACAATTGACGTCAATGGCAGTGAATGAGTAACGACATGTTGTGATTGGAGGTTGCAGTAACAATTTTCGTGTTATGTTTTCAACAGTTGGTAGATTAACGAACCCCCCTGTAAAGTTGCCCCTAGAATTTTCCTCTAAATCTAGGTGTAATGAGTTCGCACAGTTTTTCGATGACAAAGTACAAGGAATCAAAAACACTATCACCTCCACAGCACGTATAACAATGCAACAGCCAGAGAAGCTTTCTGAGCTAACTCACTTTGCACCTGTGGATACTGAAACTGTCAAAAAGATAATCATGAGTCTGAGCTCCTCCACATGTAGCCTGGATATATTGCCCTCTAAATTTCTGAAGTCCGTCCTGAGCAGTTTGTTACCTTCACTGACACAAATAGTAAACATGTCTCTGTCGTCAGGAACATTTCCTATGGCCCTAAAAACAGCAGTCATAAGACCTCTCCTAAAAAAGAGCAGTCTGGATCCTGCGGGACTTCAAAATTATCGCCCCATATCGAATCTGCCATCCATTGGAAAAATTCTTGAAAAAGTGGCCTCCCAACAACTTACTGAATTTTTAACAATGAATAATTCTTTTGATATTTTCCAGTCTGGGTTTAGACCCCACCACAGCACTGAGACCGCTCTAGTGAAGGTAACAAACGACATTCGACTTCACACTGATGCAGGTAAAGTCACAGTTTTGGTCATGTTAGATCTTAGTGCCGCGTTCGACACTGTCGACCATGAGATCCTCATGCAGAGACTGGAGGACTGGGTTGGTGTCACTGGCACAGCCCTAGACTGGTTTAGGTCTTACCTGGAGGATAGGAAGTACTTTGTGGCGATTGGAAACTGCGTCTCAGATCATGTGGCCCTGACCTGTGGAGTACCACAGGGGTCGATCCTGGGACCTCCCCTTTTTAATCTCTACATGCTGCCGTTAGGTCAGTTAATACAAAGAAACAAAGTGTCCTACCACAATTACGCCGACGACACTCAGATCTATGTCTCACTGACTGCAGGAGAACATGGACCACTGGATTTGCTCCTTCACTGTATCCAACAGATCAGTGACTGGATGCAAAATAATTTCCTTCAGCTAAATGCAGACAAAACCGAAATCATTGTCTTTGGTCCCCAGAAACAAAGAGAGGGCGTCATTTGTCAACTTCAGTCTCTCTCCCTACTTCCTTCAGACAAGGTCAGAAATTTGGGGGTAATACTGGACTCAGACCTAAATTTCAATAGCCACATAAAATCAATAACATCAACAGCTTTTTACCATCTGAAGAACATTGCCAAAGTTAGAAATATAGTGTCCAGGGCAGACTTGGAGATTCTTGTCCATGCATTTGTCTCCAGCAGGCTAGACTACTGCAATGGCCTGCTCACAGGTCTGTCCAAACAGACCTGTAAGCAGCTGCAGTACATCCAAAATGCAGCAGCTAGAGTCCTGACAGGAACCAGGAAGTATGACCATATTAGTCCGGTCCTCAGGTCTCTGCACTGGCTTCCTGTGGCTCAGAGAATACATTTTAAAACAGCTCTGCTTGTGTACAAGTCTCTCCATGGCCTTGCACCAGAATACATTAGTGACATGTTAGTCCCATATGAACCAGCCCGGACTCTGAGGAGCACAGGGACTGGACTCCTGCTGGTGCCCAGAGTGAGAACCAAACATGGGGAGGCTGCGTTTCAGATCCATGCTGCTAAGATCTGGAACAATCTCCCTGAAAATGTGAGGGAGGCGTCTACTCAGTCAATGTTCAAATCCAGGTTAAAGACTGTTCCGTTTGCCTGTGCATACAACTGAAGGATTTTATCTCTTTTTAACACACCTTGTTATTTATTGTTGTAACTTTTTGTGTTTTTAACTATTTTATTGTTTTTAATTACTTGTGTGATTCTTATGTTTTTAAATTACTTGTGTGATTTTAATGCTTTTTAATTACATATGTGTTTTTAATTGTATTTTAATGGTGATGATTTGTGCATTGTGTGGTGTGGATTGTGAGGCGCTTTGTGTTGCCCTGTGCAGGAAAAGCGCCCTATAAATAAAGATTGATTGATCTGATTTGTGGTGTTAAACAAAACATATAATTAAAAAAAAAGAAATATACTCCTTTTTGGTCCGCTATAGTGATCATTTACCCAAGCTCCTGATGGATTGTTTTCCCTTCAAGCCAAAGCGGCTGGAGGGGCAATTGGCATCTCGGGTGTTAGAGATTATATTAACTCGGTCTAAAGATATGAAAAGTCAATTTGGTTTACATCTGGTTTTGTTACGAGGTGGTTTTGCACATTTTTGACCAAAAGCACAACTCTGGGGCAGAGACCTCTTCTCCTGAGCAGTCAAATGTACTTATTTGAGTCGAATAATATCAGTTGATTGTGGCACCTTCAAAAGAGACCTATGATGCATTATGTTGGGCTGAAAATATTATAATTGAGATTTTTTTTTACTGTGTCATTTAGTGTTATAATACATGAAATGAAATGTTAATAATTTGCAAATCTATGGTGAAACATAAAAGCTAACGAAGCAATCCACATTTTCCAGTATAAAAATAAGCATCTGCAAACACAGACACATGACAGTATAGATGGTCATTTCTGCATTTACAGAGCAGAGAATGTTTCATTATTATTGCAGATATGGTTCGACTGTGTTATAAACATCCACGCTGTATTTTTACACAAAGAGAGAGAATAGATTAGTTATGTGATGTTAAAGGTACAGTATGGCTTGTAACCTTCATGGTATCCCTCTAGGAGTGCTGTTGAGGTGTTCTGAACGCTACATGGTGCTACTGGAGCTGATTGCTCCTGTGGGTGTCCTGGGACAATAGGACACGTCTCTTCTAGTCTCGTGTCCAGGAGGCACTGTGTCATGGTCAGCACAGGGACATGCTCTTGTCCTTGTACAATGCTCCTCCTGGAGCAAAAGCTTGTTGTGGAATTTCTGTACAGGCCGAGAGCAAAAACAATGACAATGACCAAGAGCTGTAAAGCGACGTTCAGACCGGATCATGCGCTGCATCCAGTTTAAATGCAGAGTCAATGGTGATGTTGGTTTGTGCGAGGAATTGCATGTGCGTTGCGGCGCGGCAGAGGCGGTGGGTACATGGATTCGATGCAAGCGGCGAAAGCAGGAGATGAACAGATGAACGTGATGTTATAGGAAGTCTCTGGAAGATCTCAGATACAGAGACGCTGCCAAGCTGCATTCTTGGAGAAGAACTCTACACAAAAGCTGTTAGCTTAACCTCGTTAGCACCAAAGCTTGCCCGCCACTTCAGATTTTCTAAACTCACGCGGCTGAACTGTAGTGAATGTGTGTCCAGTGCGCGTGGACGCTGTATTCAAGCGTTGGCGGTGTGAACGTAGCTTCATACAATCAAAGTGTGGGTTTATTCATTAGTAAATATGCACATATACAATAAAAAAGGGACCACGCCTGGCAACTCTGAAACAAAGAAAACAAAGTGTGAAAAGGACCCATTGGAACAATAACATTAAGAAGGAGCTTCCCATTGGCTCACACATCTGAACATTGTTTTATGGACAATGGTCCAATCCTTCTTTATGGACCAATTCTGTTCGGTTGCTTTCTTTACAAATCAAGTATATTTTCAATATATATGTTATTGTGTTATTATTAATGAATAATGTTCTCAGCGTTATAGTGCAGTTGGTGTGTATCCTCTGATCTGAGAGTTGATAGTTCCAATCCCACACATATGTATTTGGGCTTTAGAGGGAGTGCAGAAGTGATGCTTCAAGCATCATGCATTTACCATTCCAATAACCACCAGAGAGGTGTGGAAACTTCCAATGTCTCCTCAGACACACACGGTTTGTGTTCAGCCCCCTCCCAGTCTTTCTCTCTCTCTCCCTCTCTAACACGCACACGTACACACACACATACACACTCACACTCTCTCTCTCTCTCTCTCTCTCTCTCTCTCTCCTCTTCCTCACTGTGCTCTCACTTGTGCACTTTGTCTTGTCCGTGCGCACGGAGAGAGCGCATGGAGCACAGTCTGAAACCTGTGGAGCTGACGCACCAGGACACGCACTCTTCACACGCACCTGAGGACTGAGGAGAGGACAGTGTCAACAGAGAGAAGAAGAGACTTTACAGGACAAGAGCGGGCGCAGAGACAGAGAAGAAGAGACTTTACAGGACAAGAGCGGGCGCAGAGACAGAGAAGAAGAGACTTTACAGGACAAGAGCGGGCGCAGAGACAGAGAAGAAGAGACTTTACAGGACAAGAGCAGGCGCAGAGACAGAGGAGGAGACTTTCCCACAGGACAGGAGCGGCAACAAACAAAAGAGGAGACTTTCCCTTTGGGCACAGGACAGAAGAGGACAACAGCAGGAGGAGCACAGACACTTCTCTCTCACAGAGCACAGACACTTCTCTCTCACAGGACAGAGCACAGACACTTCTTTCTCACAGGACAGAGCACAGACACTTCTCTCTCACAGAGCACAGACACTTCTTTCTCACAGGACAGAGCACAGACACTTCTTTCTCACAGGACAGAGCACAGACACTTCTTTCTCACAGGACAGAGCACAGACACTTCTCTCTCACAGAGCACAGACACTTCTCTCTCACAGGACAGAGCACAGACACTTCTCTCTCACAGAGCACAGACACTTCTCTCTCACAGAGCACAGACATTCTCTCTCACAGAGCACAGACACTTCTCTCTCACAGACTTCTAGCACAGACACTTCTCTCTCACAGAGCACAGACACTTCTCTCTCACAGAGCACAGACACACAGACACTTCTTCTCTCTCACAGAGCACGACACTTCTCTCTCACAGAGCACAGACACACACTTCTCTCTCACAGGCAGAGCACAGACACTTCTCTCTCACAGAGCACAGACACTTCTCTCTCACAGAGCACAGACACTTCTCTCTCACAGAGCACAGACACTTCTCTCTCACAGGACAGAGCACAGACACTTCTCTCTCACAGGACAGAGCACAGACACTTCTCTCTCACAGAGCACAGACACTTCTCTCTCACAGAGCACAGACACTTCTCTCTCACAGGACAGAGCACAGACACTTCTCTCTCACAGGACAGAGCACAGACACTTCTCTCTCACGGGACAGAGCAGGAGGGAAGAGCACAGACACTTCTCTCTCACAGAGCACAGACACTTCTCTCTCACAGGACACAGCACAGACACTTCTCTCTCACAGGACAGAGCACAGACACTTCTCTCTCACGGGACAGAGCAGGAGGGAAGAGCACAGACACTTCTCCCTCACGGCTCCGCTCCTCTTACACCATAGCGGGCAAAAGCCGGCCCGCAGAGCGCCCCGCGCTCTCGCGGCTCGTGGGCTTGGGCCGTGGAGGGGCCCGCAGGCGGCTGGTGGTGGTGGGGGTGGGAGTCGGGGTGCTTGGGGTGGTCTTGGTCCTGGTCTTGGTGGTACTCATCCCTGTTCTGGTGAACAGCGCAGGCGGGGCGCACTATGAGATGCTGGGCAGCTGCAGGATGCTCTGTGACCCCTATGCCAGCGGCACGCTCTCGCCCAGCAGCACTGCGCCTGCACAGGCGCCCGAGGACAGCGCATTGCAGTCGCTACCCACTTTTATCCAGGGGCCCAAAGGAGAGCCAGGCCGTCCCGGGAAGAGTGGCTCCAGAGGCCCGCCTGGAGAGCCAGGCGCACCAGGTCCGCCGGGACCCCCTGGAGAGCGGGGTGAGCCAGGTAGAGGGGGCCCGCCAGGACTCCCCGGGCCCCCAGGGGCCAGCGCCACAGGGGCCATCAGTGCGGCCACTTACAGCACCGTGCCCAGGATCGCCTTCTACGCCGGCCTCAAGAAGCAGCACGAGGGCTATGAGCTGCTCAAGTTTGATGACGTGGTCACCAACCTGGGGAACCACTACGACCCGAGCAGCGGAAAGTTTACCTGCTCCATCCCCGGAACGTACTACTTCACCTACCACGTGCTGATGAGGGGGGGTGACGGGACAAGCATGTGGGCTGACCTGTGCAAGAACAACCAGGTGAGGCACACACCAGGGCAAGCCTTACCCCCGCCCCTTCTGTTCAAATGCTCTGTTTTTAGACGGGTTACACTATGACCTCAGACTATGACATGATGGAGGTTTATGACTTGATGTAAGGTGTTTTACTACTCAGTGTTACACAAACTTACTCAGTGTTACACAAACTTACTCAGGGTTACACAAACTTACTGTACTCAGTGTTAAGGTTTTTAGATTGACTCAAAGCAAAGGCAGGAGACTGTTGACCTTTAAAGGACAACTAAATATCAACAACTAATTTTAACTCATAAACTGCCTAATTATGTTTCTTATAGTGCTCTCTACATGTCCTGGTCATTTTTTTGACATTTTTGTGCAAATTAGATAACATTTCACTTAACTGAGACTAAAACCGTCTGTGTGGCGCCCTCTCTACCTTTTCAGTGGCACATTTGAGTTTCGTAACCTGGCCTCTCCATTGGCTCTGGAGCATTGTGTGACATCAGATGGTATGTGTGTCGCTGACATATTAGCGGAACTCGCCATATCACTCTCTATATTTGGGCATCGTCTGGTCGTCCTGGCTCTGTGCAGTGGATGATCTCCCATGATGCGTTCACCAAATACGCATGTGCGGCTCTCATGCACGTGCAATGAGGGGCTCGGCCGCGCTCTGACCAATCAGAACTGCTGATCAGAGCACTGGTAGAGCGGGAGTTAGAGTGAGAGCCAGACGGGCAGAGTTTGTGGGTTTAAAGAAAACCGAAGGATTTAAGAAGAAAAAAAGTTCAGGATGTTCTCTGTAAGCTGAGGTCGGGCTGTTTTAGTTTACATTGAGTTCTATGGAGAAAATTTCTGGGCGGCCCACGTGAATTTAGTCTGGTTTAGTCTGCAGTACCGCGAGAATCCCCCGAGTACATGGGTTATTCAGCTCCAAGCTAGTATATCCTATCCAGTTATTATAATAGATCCATCGTATAAACCCATCCAAGTCTCACACACGCCCTGTAGCAAGTTGGAGTGTTTTGGCGATATCTATTAGTTTAAAATGTAATTACATTTGTTGACAGCCACTACTGCTGCAATTCTATGGCTTAGGTTCAGATGACTAGCTCAATTATCTTAATGTGTTAACAAGGGTGGAATAAGACTTTCTGGTGTGTAAACTATTGCTTTAAGCAGCAATAAAAACGGTTTGATTTTTTTTTGGTGTGACAAGCGAGCTGTCAATCACAGCCCAGACCACGCCCAGCTCTAAGCCCCCCTTCTTGTCCCTTCTTGCCACATCAGGAGGGGAGGGACAGCACAATCACGAGATCCTTACACTGCACATATTTTTTCAGGTCCGACCCTTCCAAATACGCAATCAGACTCCCTGAAAGCCTCTAAAGCAAAATGTTGTGGGGTCTCAAATTTCCTACAATTAATATAAAATAAGAATAAAATATATATTTATTCTACATGATATAATAATATGTTTTACTGTCATATAATATGTCTAATCATCAACATTTTAGGTTTACTTAGTATTTACAAGCAGCGCTTGAACTAGCCCGGCTCAGACCCTTGTAGTTTGCTGAGCTTCAAACAAGGGTCTGGGTCTGCATCATAGCGGATGAATTTTGGAAGGCGGGGCATTTTAAAAAAATCATTGTGATTGGATAAACCATTTGTCTGTAATCTTGAATGACGTGTTCCTTCAACCACATCGAAGCACACAATTCAGCACACGACTCCTCATTGCATTGCAGGGTTGCCAAATGTCAGCAAGATTTTCCAGCCCAAAAGCCGCGATAATGCCCCCCAAAAAACACCCACAATGATTTATTTTTGGCTAGAAACGTTCTGCAATTAACTTGGGCTATCATAATTCTGTATTTTGTCTTTCTGTCTATATATTACCTACAACTAGGAAAAAAGTATGTGGGAAACCCATGGATCCTTAATAATACCTAGCTGACCCACCCAGGGGGCGCCCGTGGTACTGCAGACTAAATTCATGCGGGCTACCCGGATTTGAGCTCACCACAAGACTTTCTCCACCGACTCCCACTGATGTCTGCTGTCGTTATGTCCTTGGCAAGACCTTTCTGGACACCAGGTTGAAAAGTGCCAAACTACCATTGTGTTCTTAGGCAAGACACTTCACCCCATTGCCTAGAATGAGTCTGGTGTGTGTGTGAATGGTTGGTGGTGGTCGGAGGGGCCGATGGCACAGACTGGTTGCCTCGCTTCTGTCAGTGTGCCAGGGCAGCTGTGGCTACAGTAGTAGTTTATCACCACCGTGTATGAAGTGAAAGAATAATGACATGTAAAGCGTCTTTGAGTGTCCAAAAAAGTGCTATTTAAAACCGATGCATTATTATTATTATTATTATACTCCATCTCCATCCATAAAAAGCATTTATGCATTCAATTGAACTTATTGTAATCTCCATAAAACTTTCCAGTAATGTCTTACTATAGGATTACAATGGAGGCTGTTTTACTGTTTGAACAATTACTTTACTACAAGTACCATTAATGAAAACATTTCCCAACACAGACCACTTTGCAAGAGGCGGACTGAGCTTGTATTTTACTCCATTTAAGCTCTTCTTTCCATTCTTTCCAGGGTTCTTTCCTCCACACACTGTTTACTTTACTCTGCATTTGAAAAAAAAAATTTGAGCTGATGTGCCGTGCACTTAGAAGCATCAGAACAGCCCTAAAATCTCCTGGAGTGAAGGGTTCAAGCCAAACTCCACTCTTCTGAAGATGTATCACCTGTTGGGCTTTGAACAAATTTAATTGAAGTTCTCGGATTGACGGAAATGTCTCCTCAAATTTTCAAATTACTGATTTACAATTACATAATGTTGAATCGTACTGTATGTGTCCTTGAGCTCGGCCTTTGAAAGTATTCGGTGTGTGCAGGTGCGGGCCAGTGCCATTGCCCAGGATGCAGACCAGAACTACGACTACGCCAGCAACTCGGCTGTACTGCACCTGGAGCCGGGGGACGAGGTCTACATCAAACTGGATGGAGGCAAGGCCCACGGGGGCAACAACAACAAGTATAGCACCTTCTCTGGATTCATTATCTACGCCGACTGAGGATCCCAAAAACAATGAGTACCCAATACACTCGGACATTCTTTGCGCCCACGATTGTTTTCAGTTTCATTTCTTGTTTACACCCTTTTCCCAAGCCACATCTGTACGAAGAAAAGTGTCTACTCTACAATGTAAACCACAGAAACAACAAGGATGAACAATAGAACATTTTAGCTTCATCCTGTCAACTTGTTGGCCTTGAGTTCAGTTGACCAGTAGTTTTGTAGCTACATTAGTAATTGTACAAGATTGTGCATCTGGCATTTGTCAGACTTCTGCCCTAAAGACTCATTCTGTGTGTGTAAACAAAGACGGCTGCATGCGCATCTTGGCAACGAGGATATGGCTTTATCATGGAGCCACGCAGACCTGATGTAAGGTGCCACTGCAGACGCGTGCATTCTTGATGGTGTCTTTGGTCCAATCCTCCTGGTTGATACTTAGCTATTGATAGTCCTTGATAGATTGAAGCCACTTCTCTGTTGCTTCTAATGCTCTGAGACAACCAACAGTCCCTTGCTGTGCTAAAACATCAGTCCTTTGGTGTGCTAGAATGTAAGTCCTTGTTCAGTATTTGGGGTACAAACAGGGGTCGCAATGGAAGGGTGGGTAAATATAACTTTGACATATCAAAGTTCACATGCACCACGCAGGGAACAATGCACTATATGCGCTTCCCCATTGAACCTGTGCGCTGGATCTTTTTCCGTTCACCGCGCCCTTTGTGCACGGGTCGCGGCTGAAGTGCGTCTAGAGAGCAATCGTTCACGTCGTGTACATAAACGTGACTGCTGCTCAACTCGTTCTGAGTCAAAGTAGACAGTAGTAAATGAGGTGTGAGCTTTTCTGACAAATAATATGAGCACTAAGCAGTGACATTCACAATATGAGAATGACAACACAAGAACATACTGTACGTGACAGATAAATAGCTAAATATGTAAACAGATCATTTAAACCTATACCATTTCTTTCTTTCTACAAAATGAGAATAAGACAACATGGTCATTCAATTCAATGTATTCTTGTATAGCCCTAAATCACAACAACAGTTTTCTCAGAGGAATTTACAAATCCATTGAAATCACCAACACAGATCAGAGAAGCAAACAGTTCAAACTCAAAAAATACAGAATCTTACCAAATGGGATATTCTAATTCACCCACATAAATCTGAGTTAGTTTACGGCTCAAGGTTGGCTATGAAAGCAAGTCTTGGTTTGTTAAAGTGTGGGCACCTCTGGGTTAGAAAAAGCAAGAACTCAGCACCTGGTATTTGGATGGATTGATTTGGTGTCCAGCTGGTATATACACGGTACTTTCGTTGCCACGGTGCACCGGCAACTTTCGGGCAACATAGGCTGTAAATGTCAAAGTCAATATTACAGGCAGCACTACTTTCACACTTTTAACCAGAGAAGTGTATTGGTAAACAAAGCCATGAGCTTATGTTGCACTGTTGGTCCCCATCTTCTCTCCTGTGCCCAGATATCAGCCTCTTAACACTAGGACACCCAGAATTCTGAAACCAATAGAACTCCCAGGGCAGTCATTTTGACGGCTCCCATTCAAATGGATGAAGTGTGTTTTAGGTATTTTAGTCACCACTTTGATCAAAATTAAGTGATTCATAAAGTTTTTCTCTTTAGTGCTAAAATTGGTTAATATACATTAAATACAGCCAAACTAAAAGCTAACTGCTGCAATTAAACATTTATGGTAAGTAACACTTTCTCCAAGCTGAGATTTCCGCCTAGAACCAGTTATATATAATTAAATCAAAACTAACTAAATGACAAGATATAAGGTTTCTCTCTCCAAAAATCATCAATGTTAAAAATTTTGCGCCTGTCAGTGAACGAGTGAGTGGAGGGGGCGTGGCTTAGGCAAATTTATGCCATGATTTTCATTTTATTCTGAAATATCTTTGGTCTTATTTTCTAAAATGTTACGCCAAATATGGCTAGAAACCTCCACAAAGGTTCTCCACTTGGGACAAATCACGGTCTGCTTAATTTCCAAAAACTGTTTTTTGACCTAATCGTTCATTTCTAGGTCTTGTTGTATTTTCATTCATCACAAACCTAACGTGGGATATGTACATACGTATAATTGAGGCCGTGTTATCTTTTGCATACTTGTAAGATGGGGCCCTGTGAGCCACTATTTGAAGCTCTGGGCTGAGAGCTTCAAATACCTGAGTCATGATTGTCCTATCTTTTTCACTTTTTTCATCTGAAAAAGCCTCAGCTAGGGTCAGAGTGTATTGCTCATTAAACAGTATCAAACATCTCAAAGAGTACTTTTGAGATGCGAACTTACCAAGATACAGGCGTCTATCTAAACTAACAGACCAAACAAGGAGAATGTAACAAAGTTCCCCATTATGACACTTGGAGGAGCTGTGAGGCACTACTACTGAGCTGAGGGAATCTGTACAGGGACAATACATAGTTCCCACATGACGTCACTACATACGGGGATTTGCCGACCCGGCGCCATTTGTCTTGGCATTCTGTGGGCAAAACAATAGAAAAAGAAGCTGAAACGTGTTAATGTCGTGATAAAGTTGAAAATGGTCATCTCCTGCTGGGTCAATGGATGTTCAAATCGTGCCGGAGGTTCCGTTAAACTTGGATTTTACAGTATACCCATCATTAGACTTCATGAATGTGAGAAGACTAAGCTTTTGTCAGAACAACCACGGAGGTTATGGCTTGCGAAGATAAACAGGCAAGAAACTCCCTCAAAACACGCAAGAATATGCTCGGAGCACTTTGTGTCAGGTGCGTATCGTATCTTATAATGTGTTGACAGACGTAATTTACTCAGTACTAACTTGTGTATGCTGATATCTGGTAACTTGAGAGTTTCAATATTTAGCGTTAGATTACTTTATTATGAGGAGGATCGGTGTCGCGTCCGAGGCTCTCGAGGGCAACGTAAATGTATTAAATAGATAATAATAGTTCTATGGTGGGCTAAAACAATGTTCACAAACAGCATTGCTTCTGTAAAAAGATCTGTGTCATAAAATAAACTGCTCTTTACGCCTGGAAAAATCAGTTGCCCACCATTCACCAAAACATACGGTCAAAAACGCGGAAATAAACAATAACAGCAATCCAGAGTGTCCGTGTGGCATTAGCATTAATTAAATTAATTGTTAATATAATTAAAATAATTAAATGGAGCTCCAACTGGTATTAAATCTAAAGTTTTTGAGAAATGTTTGCATTGCTTGTTAATTTTTGCTGCATAATTTGATCAAATATGTAAAACATGTCCGTAGCACGTTAAACTGTGGTGCCATTGTATTAATATACAATTATTTGCTCAAAAGTTGCCCTTTTTTTCCAATTTGCGTTTGAATATCTACATTTATTCTCATTCTTCTGTTTAATGGAATGCACAAACACAGCAGCGTGCCATCAAAGATGGCGTCTCCGAGGAGGTCATGTGACATTCATTGGTCTGTGGGAACTATGTATTGGCAAGAAGAAAGCCATTATTGAAAGGAAGTCATAATAAATCCAGCTTGAACTTGCCAGAAGTCAAGTTGGGGACACAGCTTCCATGTGGCAGAAGGAGCTTTGGTCAGATGAAAGGAGAATTTGCCCCAAATGCAAAACGTTGTGTGCTGCTCATCGTCCTGAGTGCACCATCCCCTGTCTCAAATATGGTGGGGGGAGCATCATGCTATGGGGCTGGTGTTCTTCAGCGGGGACTGGGAAGCTTGTAAGAAAAGATGGGAAATGGATGGAGACAAATACAAAGACACCTGCTGGAGTCAGAAAGAGAATTGTGGCTAGGGCAGAGATACAGCTATAACTGTTTTATATCCCAAAAACACAAAGCTAAATCTACAATGTACTGGTTTGTTCCACAAAGTATCAAAGGTAAATGGGAGGATTGTATTGTTCCGGGTGGATCATCGAGACTATTGGTCCTCCTAATTGACACACTTTAATAAGCGTTCGCTCTGAAGAGGGCAGTTCTGGAAAATCCTCTGATACCTTTAACTAATGCTGTATTAATACTTTTCAGTTTTCTATTTTTTGAAAAATTCCAGAAATTAATTCAGTCATTTTGCTTTCACCTAACAGTTGTCTGTTACTTAAAATAATTCAAAATAAAATCTTTATGTTTATGGTTGTTAACCCGACAAAATGTGCAAAAGTTAAGTATTTTCGAGTTGCTGTATATTGATTAATGATCTTTTTAGTCTGAATAACGGTTCACATTTTTTGTTTTTTTCATAAATGTTTTATTATAAACATTATAGCATACTTCATATTTGAGATTATGATTTTTGATTTGTTATTGACTAACCACAAAGATATAATTATTTGTGGTCAATCGCGCACTCATCGCGCACTTTGAAGCCAGCAAATCAATAACCAATAATCAATATCTCTAATACAGAGTAGCTCAATGGGTGCTATTGTATCAACGGGGCAACTTCTCAGGAGCTTAAAGCTGGGGTCTCTAACTTACACAAGCAAAACATCATTTTTGGCCTATGTCACATCTTTAGATCAGCTTTATTAGACAGAAAAGTGAGAGAGAGGACCACCCTCACTCAGCCAATCAGCTTTCAGCCCAACGTGTAGAATAGTGACTCACTGGGAATTCAGCAGGTTGTGGTCTTTCTTTCTGTTGGGATGTACAAAATGTATTATTTACAGGGGGAAACATTCCCAGTATCGCAGTGATAATTTTCCACCTCTGATGTGAGTGAAAAAAATACCCTAGAAAGTGAAACACATCGATATCCACTTGTGGACTGAGAGCCAATAGAAGTGCACCAATTATGAGGTGAACTGTGTAGTGGAATCACACAATATTATAGATTGGAGTAATTTGACACCAAACAGTAGTTTATAAACTATACCATAAACTAGTAGATATACTTTTGACATCATTTTCTAGATTTAACAGGGTTCACCAACCTCTTTAAAGCCCAGGACCTTAAGGTCACCAAATGGCTCATGGGCGGCTATAAATCGTTAATCGAAAGTCATTTTCTCATTGGTTTTCTGTCACCTGTTTAGATAAAAAGAAAGTTAGGTGCCCCAGCTTTAAAAGCCTCCTCGGTTCAGTCCTGGCTCAGAAATGGTTTATAAAAGCTGTATTTATTAAACATGTGGGACGTAAATGATACTTGTTGTTTTTAAACATACATTGAAACATTTATGCATAAAATGCAGCACATTGCAGCCAATTTATTTAGCCTTAAATGTAGTCCTGTACAGCATTGAACTTCTTACACTTAAATTCTGTTGCCATGGTAACGCTGTAGCATCACATGGAAACATATACATTTATGAAGTAAACTCTCCAACCTGCAGTCCGCTGGTGGACCAGACAAGACGCACTTTGAACAGAGCGAGTGGACGAATGAATGTGACTTCAGTGTGTACATAATGTTTGGACTGTCTCCTGGAATGAGTGTGCAGATGTATCTATATCAATAAATTCATCAATTTCTCCTCTTCTCATTGTGTTGTAAGGTGAGATGGAATGTCGCAAAGAATTAGACAGATTTGTATTTCAATATTAGACAATGATTTGTTTGTTGTTCCTATTGACACAGTTTTATATTTGAGCTCATAAAAAATGGGAGCACAAAATATTCCCTTCTCTACTTGCCCTATACTTACTGGGCCCCATACTCACTTGGCCCTATACTTACTGGGCCCCATACTCAACGGGGCCATACTCACTGGGCCCTATACTCACTTGGCCCTATACTTACTGGGCCCCATACTCAACGGGGCCATACTCACTGGGCCCCATACTCACTGGGCCCTATACTCACTGGGATCTACTTGGCCTGGTTCCATTGCACCAGGGTGCTCAACACGTCCAGCCGACAGCGAAGGCATAGTGAGTAGCTCACATGAGACTTTTCCTCTGCATGCATTTTCACTAAACACACGTCAACAGTGTGTTAATACTTTTGGTGTGTGTTAATCAATTCAGGCATGTTTGATATATTTATTTATTCTTACATATGCGCACCACCATTGCTCTCTCCTCGGTCCTCTGATTACCGGCACTCAGAATGACGGGGAGGACCCCTTGTGTATGAAGCTGGTGGCGTTTTTAGCTGTTTGGTTTGAAAGATGCAGTCGTGTCACACGACTGAAAAAAGTGGTTGAAAATTGCTTGAAGTACACAAAATGTGTCTTTAAATGACATTTGACTACATTTTGACTGCCTTAAAACAAGATTTGCCAATGGGAAGAGCATCATTTTCTGAAAAGAAAAAAAAGTAAATTCTCCTTTGGAATGAGAAATAAATACAATGCATTTAAAATCAATCAATCAATCAATCAAATCTTTATTTGTAGAGCACATTTAAAACAGCCTAGGCTTACCAAAGTGCTGAACAGACAGCGAGGAAAAATTAAACAAAATAAAAAAAAAAAAAAAAAAAAAAAACACATAAAATACAGAAATGTATATACAAAAAGAAATCGAAAAATTTGTCTCTGTCTACTTGGTAGTAAAAGCCAAAGAAAAAAGATGCGTTTTAAGCAGGGATTTAAAGTGCTCGAGTGATTGTGCAGTTCTGATGTGCAAAGGTAAAAAGTTCCACAACTTTGGTCCTATAACAGAGAAAGCTCTGTCTCCTCTGGTCTTCAGCCTGGTCCTAGGGACGACAAGAAGGTGCTGATCTGAAGAGCGCAGTGCTCTGGAGGGAAGGTGAGGGAGGAGTTCATATAAATAAGAAGGTGCCATTCTATTAAAACTTTTAAAAACGATAATAAGAATTTTAAAATGAATTCTAAAATATACCGGGAGCCAGTGCAGGGATTGCAAAACAGGAGTGATGTGCTCCCTGCGCTTTGTCCCTGTTAAAAGACGGGCTGCTGCATTTTGCACTCCCTGTAAGCGGCTGAGCTTAATAAAATAAGACCAAACTTGGAATTACTGTAATTTGTTTGGATACCCCACTTAATCACTAGTTTTCAGATGGGAGATGTGCATTTGAGTTGCAGATAAAGTAGGTTGAAGCTCTGTCTATGGTTGAAGAAAAATATCCATTGATAAAATAAAGCAAGCTGCGAGGTTACACATACAGGCAAACTCCTCATGCTCACACTTTACTCTTTGCTGTTCTTTCGGTTGGTTTGGACTTCGAGACCAGAGAAAGCAACTCCTAACTCTCTTTGCTCTTTTATGAGTGATAGATTAAAAGTCTATAAATCTTAGGAAAGAACTGCCCTCTCCACTTTTTGAACAAAATCTTCTGGTCTTATTTGACGAGCACGTATCACCAGAATGATTGATAATATGGAGGACCAGTAGTCTTGATGATCCACCCATAAAATCTTTTTTTCCTTCCAACATAAGAAATCAAACAATTGCTGGTCTGTTATTTAACTTATTTTGCTCTAATTTAAAGAATACCGTAGAGCTGTAGAGTGAAGGGTTTAGGCCCAGATGGGGATGGATTTATCAGAGAACCACTGTTTACTTTCCGGCTTCACCTGTACATATGTTACATTGTATTTGTACAGATATATCCGCTGTATATGACTGTTGTGGTTGTATATAAAAGCATATAATGTCAAATTGACCGTTAGACTCATGGACGTTCTATTCTCCTCCTCACAAAGCACAACATTCTAATGCATGACTGCTCTTTCATTAAATACACTTTATTTTTGTATGTTTTATTTGTTGAGTTGCTGGGAGGGCTGTACACATGCTATAACTCTATATCCACTTGTCAAAATGTATTATTCTTGAATCTGTAAAATAAAATATGAATATATTATCAGACTGGAATGACGTTTCTGCTTTTTATTTCAAGTACTTTATGATAAATAAATATCCTTGATTATTTTTATCAGCTAATCTATCACTGATCCTGTCGCCGTCCCACAGTGGGGAAATATCTGTGTTGCATCATATGTTACAGAAGAATAGAAGAACTCCATCCATCCATCCATCCATCCATATTCTACCCTTTAATCCATTTCTGGGTCAGGGGGGTGGCAATCATACTTGCCACCCCCATACTTATAAGAACTCCATACTTATAAATAAATGTTATGTATTTAGCTTATTAAAGAAACAAAGTATAAAGTGCAAAGAAATCCCGCTCTCGCAGTCTTTAGGAGTTAGTGCGCGGACGTAACGCTCCTCGTATTATTGCGCCTCACAATATAGTACCCCGTTTTATCCGCTGAGAAAATCGACATGTTACATTTCTGTGTTACTATACTTTGTAGTGTAACACGTCACATAACTGTATTTAAATAGGGAACACGTGGAGGAGTTTGGTAGCTTCTAACGGGAGCTGATTTGGAACTATACAGAATGTGGAAGAGGCTGCGTTTGTGCTCCGTTTGCATGACAGAGCACACGGACAAAGACCAGACAGGTACATATCAACTAGTCTAAGGTAAGAACATATGTCAGTATGTAAAAACTGTGGCCTATTCCTTTAATATATATCAAAAAAGGTATTAAATCAATGGTCATAACAGTGAAGTGGAAGACAAGTGTGTGTGTGTGTAAGTGTGTGTGTGTGTGTGTGTGTGTGTGTGTGTGTGTGTGTGTGTGTGTGCGTGTGTGTGTGTGTGTAAGTGTGTGTGTGTGTGTGTGTGTGTGTGTGTGGGTTGATTCTCGAACAGGTGCCAGAGTGGGGTGGCTGCGATTGTAAAGTGCCAAACTGTTGCTGTGTCCTTAGGCAAGATACTTCGCCCACATTGCCTAGAATGAGTCTGGTGGTTGAATGGCAATGAACGAACACAGCCATTGGTCCACAGGGAGCAGGATGACCACTGTTCAGAAAAGTTTATAATGTCCGTAGATGTCGTGAATCATCACTGACCACCAGGAGTCAGGCCGTAGAACGAGGACTGAGGCATAAACAGTGTTGAACAGGCATTTTTGCTCAAATGAAAGAAGTTGCTGATTGCTAACTTGATCTGCGGCCATAGCAAAGCCGACAGGGCCTTTAACGTGAGGTTTTTTCTGCTAGTGATTTTGATGATGTGTGAATTTGCGTCATATTACATGGTTTTAGATCAATATTGGGATCTCAAATGTTCCAAACGTATCACAATGAATAGCAAACACATTTCATTCATAAATGTGCTTTACCCAGGCCTCGCAGAGTCCCCAGGTGAGTGATCATGTAGTGGCTGATGGTGTGATTGGCCAGAGAGTCGAACATGCTGCTGAGCGCCGAGGCCCCGACTGTTGTGCCGATCAAATACTCCAGAATCAGGTTCCAGCCGATGAAGAAGGCCACAAACTCCCCCACGGTGACATGGTAGCTGTAGGTGTAGGCTCATCCCGTGGTCTTTGGGACGCGCACACCGAACTCAGCGTAACACACACCTGAACATACATCACACAGCATTCTTTTTTAACCATATACTACCCAGACAAGTGAGTCTGCATGTATACTGAGACAAGACAGGTCTGAGCTGATCATAAGATGCATCAAGGGCCAAATTAGCCTGGTTGTACCACACCTTAGTACAAATGACATATTATACTAAGGTCTGGATTTGCTCCATTGAGCTCCGTGAACAGGTGGGAGGGGTTAACTCCTTTTGCAGATTGAAACGATTGGATCTGAGTTTACCGTGACGTATGTAGTGCGCCCGAGTCTGTTTTTAGCATTTAGCCTAGCCATCTCCTTTGCTGCTAACGGAGCCCGTGGGGAGTAGCGCCACAATTTTGACCAGCGATTACATTTGCTGAACATTCCTCTTGCTCCTGCTTCAATTTCTTGATAGAACCAGACTGGATTACTTTACTATTGCATTCTTCGCCATTGCCAAACTAAAACCTGCCCGTTCGGCGCAAACTCTTGACGTCACCGGCACCGATCGCCTTCTCTGAGTAGCCGGTCGAAATACGACTGATTGTATTCACTAACACAGGGACCAGACCCAGATGTTACATGCAGTGAAAATGATTGAGCGGAATGTACGGATGGCTATGGCCAGGCTAGGGCCAAATATACTTTCCTACAGAAAAAACTCTTAGCCTCTGCCATATACTACGTTGTCGTGTGCTGGGCCCCGGGCAGTACAGAGCGGGACAGGAATAGACTGAACAAGCTGGTGAGGAGGGCTAGCTCCACTCTGGGCTGCTCCCTGGACTCTGTGGAGAAGGTGAGGGACAGGAGGCCCCCACTTTTGAATTGCCACTTTTTATTGTACATAATATATCCTGCATTCAACATGTTTGCACATTTCTTTCTTTTGCACAATCTTGAGTGTTTCTGTCCATGCCAGATGTGACATGTACATTTCTCCAGTGTGAGATCAATACAGTTTATTTTATCTTATCTTAAATGTAGTTCTACAGTTGATTAGCACAGGTTTAACTATATTGTATAAACTGTATGTATTCTAAACGTACACAATGTCAAGAATAACACACCACATATCTACTCTTTAGCCATTGCTCTCAAAACACAGCTAGGTTGTATGGGGATTGAGCCCACATCCTTGGCATTATTAGCAACATGCCCTTTCCAACTGAGCTGATCAGAAACTTGTGATCAAAAACAAATGTATCAATTTTTGAGAGCAATGTGCATTCATCAAACCTCAAGTTCTCTTTATGTATTTTCACAGTTTATGAATCTATCTTTATCTAATTTTTATTATGAACAAAGGTGAGCAGGGACTTCTAGACATATCATATCAGGAGCTGCAGAATTTAAATGATTATCTCACAATGTCAATAACTTTCAAATTGCACCTGTTTTCCTTTGGCATGATCTTGTTGATATTCAAGGGAAAACACATGGCAAGGTGGGGGCTTACAATAAAAAACATGCAGTAAATTAAAAAATGGCCTAAAGAACCCTTACGCGTTTTTGATGCCATGAGCACTTCACCCCAGTTCTGTGTTCACTTGACTGGCCCTTAGTTTCTTCACAAATCACATTCAAAGCTCTTGAGCAAGCAGTCACTTTTTCTTAAATGTTGTTTATTTTTAACTTATTTTGTAATTATCTTGTGTGTTCAATCCATCCATCTATTATAATTTTCATAATTCATTTTCTTTATTTTCAATGAGGACTCTTTGCCAACAGTAAAGTAGCTGCAATAAATTGCCACGGTAACAGAAGCGTGGAACATTCTATCATCATGGCAACAGTGATTCCACTGGAATCATTACGTCATCAAAGCTAGGGTCTGCTGTATTTGTGTGTCTGTCCGTGATTCGTTAATATAGTCAAACAAAAGAGGGACTAAACGGAGTAAACCAAGTAAACGGAGTAAACTGAGCAAAATGGCGTGTTTTGGAAGGCAATCAAAGAAAGACAAGCTGATTGAAAAGCTTGAAGACGACGCAACGGTGTTGCAGGAAAAACACAAGAGTCTTTTGGAGGACCTGCAGAGGGAGAAAATGCAGAGGAATGAAACGGAGAAGACTCAACTGGAAGTGCGTCGCCAACAAGAGGAGCAAGTGATCCAGCTCCAAACAGAGAGGTCTGCCTTGGAGACTGCTCTGCTGCAGGCGGAAACGAGATCTACCTCTACACAAGAAAAACTGGATTCTACCATTCAGGAGAAGACAGCTATCCAAGAGGAACTGCAAAAGGCCCATGAAGACATTGAGGCCTTGGACATTGCAATGAAGACGTCTGCTAAAAAGACAGACGCAGTGATTGGAGATCTGCAGAATGAGCGTCGTCAACAACAGGAGCAAGTGAGCCAGCTCCAGACTGAGAAATCTGCCTTGGAGACTGCCCTAATGCAGTCAGAGAAGAACTCTTCTTCTATCTAAGACAGACTGAATTCTACCATTCAGGAGAAGACAGCTATCCAAGAGGAACTGCAGAAGGCCCATGAGGACAATAAGGCCTTGGACATTGCAATGAAGACGTCTGCTAAAAAGACAGACGCAGTGATTGGAGATCTGCAGAATGAGCTTGTGCATGTCAAGTCTGTGAACAATAAGACGATAGACTGCCTGAAATCTCATACACAAGAAGGCCACCGTATCATAGAGGAGCTCAAGACCCAGATGCAGGACAGAGAGACAGCAAATACCCGTTTGGAGGAAAGTCTGGCAAGCACCCAAAAGGAATTGAAGGAATGTAGCACAAATTTCCTTCTGAAAAACTCTGAAATTGCCAAGATGGAGGCGGAGAATGGGAAACTCACAGCTCTGTGTCAAAGGTTCAAGACAAAAATACTGGGTATGGAACAGGAGCTAAAAAACGTGCACGCTGCGTCGGAGAAAAGACTTCTTGTGGCCCAGGAAAAATCCAATAATGAGGTGGAGGATGTCAAGAGGACCTGTGAACACTCCATTCAAGAGCTGAGGAAGCAGGAGGCCAACGCAAACGAGACAATTAAAGAGTTGAAGGCCAAGCTCTTGTGTCTGGAAAAGCATTCTATAGACATGAAGCAAAAGTGGGAGGAAGAATGCAAGGAGGTGCAGAGGATGAAGCAAAGTCATCAAGAAAAGATTCCACCGGCCGCTCTGACCAGGAGCTACCCCTCGCGGCCGGGCGGAGAAGAGGACCACACCGAGAGAACCGCTGATGTTCTGGTAATTGGCAGCTCTATTGTAAGAGATGTCGAGATCCCAGGGGCCACTGTTCTGTGCTACCCTGGGGCCAGGATGGGTGACATTGAGGGGAATCTGAGGGTCCTGAACCAAAACAAGCAGCGTTTTCGTCTAGTCGTCGTTCACGCGGGTGGTAATGACGTTAGGCGGAAACAAACAACAGCAGAGATGTTGAAGGTGCAGGTTGCCGCCGTTTGTAATCTGGCGAGCACAATGGCGGACACGGTTATCTTTTCTGGTCCCCTTCCTAGCACCGGCAGTGAAGAAGCATACAGCAGCATGTTATCTTTCCATCGCTGGCTGTCTGGTTGGTGCCCTCAACATGGTGTTGTCTTTGTTGACAACTGGAGCACCTTCTTGGGAAAGCCCGGTCTCATGCGCCCGGATGATGTCCACCCAACATTGAAGGGTACAGCCCTTTTGATCAAGAATATGGAAATGACTCTGAGTTCTCTGACCCACTCAAATGACAGTCCGCCACAACCTCTGAGTTCCCACCAGAGAAGAAGACAAAACCTCAGAGTGAAACGCTGGTAAAAACACAACAAGGTGTTGTGTTTAGGCCAAACCAGCCACCACAGGTCACAATCAATACAACAGGACAGAAACAAAAACCGAAGAAGACACCAATACCAACAAATTCCTTTAACTCCCAACTCCCATTACCTAAAGTCTGATAGAACTTTTCCACAATGACAACAAAGACTTCCACACAGCAAATTCAAAAGTGTTAAATTCAGATCCCTACTCAGCGAAAGGATTTGTAAGTACTCTTTTTATATACAGCTTATCTTTTGTTAACCTACATAAATAATTTTCAATACTCTTTTTGTTCTAAAGGAGCACCTTTATGACCCTCTGGTTGGGTCTGGTTACCTGTCCTGCTTAAGTTAACCCGAAAAAACTACAACTCGAAGACCAGCTATTTGGAGATGAATGCCAAGAAGCTGTAGAGATGCTGACTCTCTAAACACGTCAAGCAATCACAAAGGATACTTTTCAATTGCCATTTTCTAGTACATGACCAACAAGGCTCTGTCTCTCTTTTGGATGTTTTATCCAAGATTACTTGACACACCAGATTTAGTAAGTATACATTACTTTTTGCTTTATTATTTCCACTTCAGTCATAATATAATTCATCGTGTCTTCTAGCTTAACCAAGACTTTGAGATGATGTTTGGCGGAGATGTTGCTGATAGTTTTGTCTCTAAATGGTCGACTTTACCAACCAAGGATTCTCGCTGAAAGTCCAGTAAGTTTCTGCTTTTCTAGAATTAAAACTGTATCTGTTTTTGTAACACTTTATTTTTTCCAGGATGGGATTGCGACATGTCCAGTATTTTGCTGTTGGTCCACCAACTCCAAAAGGATAAACGAAGTGGCAAATTGAGCTCACCTCAAGCTATTGAGGACCTTGTTAAAGATCTGCAGGTATGTTGGTAATATCAAAAGAAACATTCTTTGCAGTTCTGTATATGTGTATTTTTTTGTTTCCTTTTAAACCATTTACTGTATATCTATTTTAAGTATGTGCAAAAAGTAACAATCCTCACTATTTTACAGATTGGAGCCTTGACTCTTTTCTTGCTGGGGTGGAGCCTGGACAACCGTTGCTTTTATGTGTTGGTGATGGGAAGCACAACATCCAGATGTTCTACATGGTCGTTGACCATAAGGTGCTCCATACCAGCCACAAACACTTTCTGCGTTGGATGAACTCTTCAAGGTGCTCAGTCGCTCAACAACTTTTAAATCTTCACACAAACAACGGTCTACAACATAGACTTTGGACAAGTGAAGGAAAATCCCAGAGTCAAAGAGCTCAGAGCAAGGATCCAAAATGTGGAGCTCCAAGGAATCATCTAAAGAGTCTGGGCAATTTTTATGTTCCTTCTGTAAAGGACAACATTCCAGTTCTGCAGCACTCTGCCAACATTTAAGGCACAGTCATGGACTATATCCACACAAACATTTGAGAATCAGTTGTGGACATTTTACGGCTTTAAAAGGCATCTAGCCATTCGTCATAAATTCTAGTTATAATCTATAATTTAGGCTGTATGGATAAAGGGATACAGGGATATTTGTGATGGGTCAACATTTAAATCACATGAATTATTCTCAAAATCAAACTATGCTCTCCAAATTCAACTTTATTATGACGGGCGGCACGGTGGCTGAGTGAATAGCACTCTCGCCTCTCAGCAAGAAGGTCCTGGGTTCGATTCCTGGTCGGAACTAGGCCTTTCTGAGTGGAGTTTGCATGTTCTCCCCGTGTCTGCGTAGGTTTCCTCCGGGTGCTCCGGTTTCCCCTACCACTAAAAATATGCTCAAGCCTACAAGCCTCCAGCTCTGGTACTCCTGATCAAGCCTATAGTATCATTATCTAGAGATGGGTTCCCGGGCGCTGTTACTACGGAGACCACTGCTCCCCATGAGGATGGGTCAAATGCAGAGAACTAATTTACATTTAGAGACTAATCCTTTGGGTTCCAAGAAAGGAATACACAAACTAGGTGCTACAGTGGGGCGACTGTAAACTTGTTGTTGTGCCCTTAGGCAAGACACTTCACCCACATTGCCTTGTGTAAATGTTGTGCGTGTGAATGATGGTGGTGGTAGGAGGGGCCGATCACAGGCAGCCTCACTAGGAGCAGTTTGCCTCAGGGCAGCTGTGGCTAGTAGCTCACCACCACCGTGTGTGGGATGAATGGTTAGTGTGACGTGTTGCATGCAATAGGAAGCAGTATTTCAGATTGGATGCAACAGTTTGAGAGCACCAATAGCACTTTAGTGTCATGACAGGCCCTTTAAAATGCAAATGATTTGGTAATAATGGCTCCAATAATAGGTTAGTGTAGTTTTCTTGCTATCGAGAGGACGTGGGTCCACAGGCCTGAGTTCTATCAGTTCCTGTTGACCCTGTGATCTTAAGGAACCCGCAAGACTTTTAATAGGAGTGGGAGCTATGCTGTGAAATTTGACTTTCAGTAAAATACAAATAAAAATTATATTAAACATATCAATGTCTGTATACTGAACTTTTATATTCAAAACTCCTGGGCTCACCAATGACGAACATATTACCAACTTTTACCTTCCAAAAGTGACTCATTAAGTGGGTTTTGGTGAAGAATTGTTGGTGCAATGACAGCTTCATCATCAGTCATGTATTTTTACAGATTTACTTCTGAAACTTAGAGGAAACATAACTTTTCAGTGGTTTTGACCATGTTTCCCTGCGTCATTATTCCACGCCAATTTGTTTTTTATCCACCAAAATTCTGTTCTTCAGTGGTGGTAGTTTTTTAGCGTGTTTTTTTTCCCCAAGAAAGAAAGAATAGCTGATCACGAAGCCCCAAGTGTTTAACACTTCATGATTCAATCATTTTTGTCATGTGGAGCGAAAAACCCAAAATGCAAAACTCCAAAATAATGGTTTTATCAAAAAGTGATACAAATCAAGATCTAGCAAAAGCACCGCAAAAAGTCACCAAACCATTAACAAGAACAAGAACTGACACAGACGAGGAACGACAATGACAGAACAGGGAGTGAAGGAGCACACGGGGCTAAATACAAGATTTGGCCACGAGCCTGGACACCACGTACATGCCTGTGCCCACGCAGCGGCCCACGCCCAGAGAAGTTGGAAGTTGAAATATTGTCTGTGTACGGACTTTTTACAGTTAAATTGATAACAGCAGGATTGAAATATGAGAGAAAGTGACTTAGATTGAGCTTGGGGCGAGCCTTATGAGTATAAATGGGTTACAAACAGATGGAAAACAAACATATTCAGCTCAACAGATGATGTCACAGATCTCTCAGTAAAGCTGGGGTAGGTAACTTTTGAACCACATAAAATAATTTAACCATGAAATAAAATCCATTTACGCTTTAAAACCAGTTTTCTTCTATTCACATGCAGGGTGTTTTACCTCTGTTCTTTCAATTCAATTTATTTTTTACAGTTCTAAACAGGAGACTGACTTTACAAAGTTGTCGATTTGTCAACAGAGATCAGAGAATCAAATAGTTCAAACTCAGGACATGCAATGATAGAAAACGCATAGAGCCATTGGTCCATAAGGCGGAGATGACCCATGTCCATCAATGATTAAAAATGTCCTGGATCATCCCCAATGTCACGTCCGTCACATCCTTGCAGCTTTTTACGACAGAAAAGTGGAAAAAGAGAGGACCCCCCTCACTCAGCCAATCAGCTCTCATCCCAAAGAGTCAAATAGTGACTTACTGGACTCTTCCTTAATCTTGTTTACTCAAAATATGTCGGCATGTTGTGGTCTGATTCGTTCCCAATGTTTTACTTTTGCAAGACTCATGTCGGGACAAACAACATGCATAATTCATGAAGCAAAAAAGTTGGATACCCCAGCTTTAGGTGTTCTGAGGGTAGTAAGGCTGCAATAGTAGGTGCTTATATGTACGTGCATGGAAGCTAAAAAATTAAAATGGGAGTCCAAGGCAAAGCAATGACTATTAGAATAATAAATAAGTTGCAGTTATTTGATTAACGTGTTACAGCCCTACTTTAAAAAAAAAAAAGCAAAGCAATGTCTTCTTCATGGAAACCTCTGACCAGAAAAGTTAGTGCAGCTTCATAAAACATACCAGTTTTTTAATACAGACTATATAAAGAGGGAGACGTGTGTTTTTTACTTAATGGTAGAAAAATGAAGTATTTCACATGAATGAATAATTACTTTTGTCTATTCCATACGTTGAGCTCTTCTCTGTGTGTACTGCAGGACAAAAGTGACCTGTTCACACAAGCTTTAAACTTTTACCAAACAATATGTAATCTTTTCTGTCTTTATTAGTAATGTTTCCACTGTTAAAGTAGAAATATGTAAGATTTCCAGATCATTAAAGGGCCCTAATCTGTCAAAAGGCATTGATAAACTATGATCTTTTCCAATACTTCTTTAACTGATAACAGAAGTTCAGAGATATTTGGATTTGAAAATTAGTTTTATGGCCCCTAAATCTTGTTATTGTTTTAATTTTGATGTCCCGCCCTCCACCGTTTTGCCAATCAGAAAGTCTGAGATCCGGGCGCCAGAACTCACCATGTCAAGCAAACGTATGTCTGCAAAAATAAAAAAAGATTTTGTTATGTTTCTCAAATCAATAACGACAAAACGAGAAATAAAACCAGGATTTCTATCTTTATGAAAAAGGTGTTGGTTATAGATTTCTTGCTGACTAAACTCTTTATTAGTATGGTCCCAGCTGGATTCGTCTGCATATCTGGCAACCTGAGTCAGGGAGAGTGCAGTACCACTTTTGGCCAGATTTTTACATACTACTCCTTTAAATATTTTTCAACTTGTGTTCTTTATTGTGACATTCCCAATAAAGCTTTACGCCAACTCATGATCAACAGGTCAAATGGTGCATTTGTGGTCACTAATAAAAACAGAAAGAAACTCTGATTGTTTTATTCTCTTTTTGACAAAACACACTTTCATCAGCACAAATGTTCATCGTTTCAGTCCACGCAACACTCCAACACACTCACTCCAATAACAAGTCAGATATCAGTGCTTTAATGTAGGATACTTTCAGAGGGTGGGAGTGCACGAAGGCGCGTTCACACATGGTCTGGTTCACTTCAACTGGACCAACCCTGGTTCACATGGAGCAAAAAGGATAAAGTACACAGGTCACTGAACTCTTTGACTGCCATTGATGTATTTTTCTGAGACTGGTGATTTCTGCCAAAATTCCATCTATTCAACTTTTACAATTGTGGACATTTGTGCTGTCGCCCGCTGCCCTCTGCTTCTGTGTGAACGTGCTGTGGGCGGGACATGGAGGAGGATGGTGTCTTATTGGTGGTAAGGCAATTGTAGCAAGAAGAAAGTTTTAAACAGGGAGGATTTTGGCCTTCTCTAACTCTCTCTCTCTCTTGTTTCTCTCTCTGTTTCTCACTCTCTCTCTGTCTCTCTATAAACTAGCTTCGAGTTTGGCCATGTTTGCAATACTTAACACTTTTACCTACCACTAAAAATATGTACAATAGTTCTGGCATGCGCCTCCTGTACTGGCGACCCCGCTCCCATCTCTGCGTGGAGTGAGAGATTAATGCCCAAAAAAAATAACAATTGTAAACCGCTTTGAGACTCTGATATGCAATGAAAAGGCGGTATATAAATAAATATTACTACTACTACAACTTACTTACTTACTCTATTTTGTTGCCAAACCTTTGAGTGACTCAGTGTTTGAAGGATTCCCTTATCCTCGTCGTGACTTCTGTCTGGGTGCGTAATCAGATAATATTGGTCTGGAGAAGCCGTACCCCGGACCATCCATAGGGCAGAAAGTTCCCTCCCTCCCAGTTGCAAGCAGAGATGAAGAACAGTCCGGCGATGATCATGAAGACCCACACGACCAGATTGACCACGTTCAGGACGTTGTTGAAGCCGACAGAGTTCCTGACGCCCAGAGCGATGAAGGCGGTGACCAGCAGCACGATGAAGAGCGTCAGCAGGTCTGGGTACGTGTAGTCGTTTTTACCTGAGAGACAGAGAAGACATCTGTGCTTCAACAGCTCTCTGCACCCAACGTACACAACCATGACAGAGATGCGGACCACCATAGACAACACAAAACCACATGTGTGCTTAAATTTGTAATGCTCTAAAATAAATGTGTGTCTCAGATTAAATAAAAACATTTTCCTAAGATGATTCTGTTTAAAAATGCTTTTCTAAAGCACTAAAGCAACACGTGGAGGAAAGCACAGAGCAAGTAGTGGGAGAGAGGTGTGGGGTCAGAGAGTGTTTGGCCTGTGTCATGTGTGACTGTGTGTGTGTGTGTGTGTGTGTGTGTGTGTGTGTGTGTATATGTGTGTGTGTGTGTGTGTGTGTGTGTGTGTGTGTGTGTGTGTATACCCCAGCTGACATGATTGGATTGGACAGCCCCTGGCCTGTATGCATGGCGATAAACTCCAGCACAAATTGGCAACAACAGACTATTAAGAGCAGAGGATAGTGGCGCGTGGACTAAAGCCGCTGTCACTTCTGATCTGTGCGGACACATCCACACAGACTAAACGATAAAGCTATTGTGGGTGCACCTAAACGGGACATGACAATGGACCAGGATATCAGGGTTTTTCTTCTGTCATTTCTATCAATCAATTGCGTTATACATATGTGCTGCCGACAACTTAGAGCCACATTTGGCCTCTGTAACTGTGAACAGATTCTAAACCAATTTTAAAACTGTTATCGTAAATATCGTAATTATAATTTCAAATACTGGTCAGGATTGTTATTGTTGATATTTGGCCTGTGTCTTGTTTAAGTGAGTGAATGCGGTGCCCAACCTGCATATCGCAAATACACAGAAACATTATGTATTCTGTGTATTTGTTTTGGTGTTTAGAAGTACTGTGTATACTGTGGATTGGATTCTCATTCTTTTATCACATTATTTTTTACAAACATTTTGAATCAGAATCCGAATCATATATATTGCCATGTGGGTAACAGACTAGAAAATTGCTTAAAGTAAGGCATAATAAGAATCAGTATACATTTCTAAAATAAAACAATTACAATTATTACAACTAATATTATTTATTAGAATTTGGTTTTTTACATGCACCAAATAATGATAAGCCACTAGAGTCATAATAGATAGATAGATAGATAGATAGATAGATAGATAGATAGATAGATAGATAGATAGTATGATAGTATGACAGCAGGAACATCTTCTTAAAACAAAAAGACAAGACTTCCTGATCAATTGAAACTATGACATAGCTCCAATCTTTTCACATTTAAATGCCCTGGATGAATCTGGAAAAGCAGTCAGACCAGTGCGACCGGCGCGAGGAGAGCCACTCCCATCAGCACTCACACACACACACACATACATACACACACACACACACACACACACACACACACACACACACACATATGCAGACACAGGGAGCGTGCATGCCCAACACTCCACATCCACCGGAATAACAGCAGCACACGCAGGTAAATGATCTCATACCCCATTTGTCTAATGTTTGAAGGATTAGCCACGACAGATAACAACACTGTGGTCGGTGTTTTGAACGTATCAGTGTTTTGGAAGCTGAAAGATGAGTAGAATTGCATTTTAACATTTTGAAACGTTTATAAGAACTCATTGAAGCACCTGCCCTTCTGTCTCAGGGATAGGTTTGTAAAGGTTTGGTTGAGAATGTGTCAAGCCCTGTCATAAAACTTTTCAAAAGGACAAATCAGGACGTTGAGATGATGTACTTTTAGGATATGACTGAATATTTTGGAACTGAACATTTTAAACTGAATGAGCAAAATTCTGGTCTGGTACAAGTATGATACATTAAATTTAGATTAAATTTGATTGGAAGTCTTTAAACTTGTTTAGAGGCATACAAGAAATATTCATAAGATTGAGATAGAAATTGAAAACAGTATTTAGGCAAAAGGGGCAGGGTGTGTGATTGGATGCAGCCAAAAAAACTCAAAGTAGTTTTTTCATGAGGAAGTATGTTGGAACATTGTTAAAACATTCTTTAAACAAGCCTAACAACCTCCTGCTTGTTTTACACATTGTACTTTTCTCATGTAGTAAAAGGATAAAAGGAACCCAAAATGCAGGACTGAATTATAAAGTGTAATTTAATGAAAGAAAAACAAAATCGACAAGCCAGAGACAAACGTGGAATAGACAATGAGTGGACAAGTGGGTAAATCAGGGAAGTCCCCTTGCACGCTCATTCTCCACCACCTTTGGACGAGATTCCCATCCTGAACTTGGGGCTTCCAGCTCATACCCTGCACAGATATTCCTGTACACCAAGGTCTCCAACCTTTTCCAATCAGAGAGCTACTGTAGTATAACAGAAGAGGCAGAGAGCTCTAAATAATTACGACAAGAGAAAAGGCCTTGTGAAATATACTAGAATACTGTATAACCCTATGTTCATACTTATATGTAAAAACTCAAAATGTTATGTTAAATTCTAAATCCTTTGAGGAGCTACCTTGGAGGGGGTGGTGAGCTACTGTAGCTCCCAAGCTACAGGTTGGAGACCCCTGCAGTACACTATGCCAGCCACTTGGACGTGTAGGCGTACCCTGCCCGCATCTTGCACCCTGCAGTTATATGTAGAATCATCTCAGGGGCCTCTTTGCACAACTGACACCTTCTAGTCTAGTCTGGTTTATCTGCACCACTGGCTCTCACACTCACTCGTCCTCTGCCTCCTTCTTTACGGCTTGAGTTCAGTCTCAAGACACTGTACCTTGGATGGAATGTGCCATGCATGGTGAGGTGCACGGCCACCTGCTTATTCCTGCAGGGATCTGATCACTGGCAGGACGTAGCTGTGGATACTCACGGCACTTGACACAAGGCTTCAGCCACAGTCCAGTCTGTGCACACTGAACAGCCAGCAGCCTGAACAGAACCACACACAGAACATGTAACATGGACAATATTGTTAAGAATGTGAACCAGAGTCCAGGCACATCACATCAGCACTGAAGTGAAGGCACCTGCACACACCGGAGAACACACACCGCAGAGCCCACACACACACACACCCCAGTACAGTAATTATTTCTTGTGTATTTCTATGGTGTTTTCTTAGGCAAAAAACAGCCGTAGCATACATAGAAAACTTAAAAATCCCCCTAATTGTTTATTTCACCTTAAAATGTAGAGGTGCTTGACATTGATTTAAATTATCTCATTTATTGCACATACAGTATTACTAAATTATTATTGTGCATGTTTTATTTTGGCAAAACCATCTAGAAACAACAAAAGAATATATAAATATTCAGTTCCATAAAAAATGCACATTGCAGCTTCTGTCAGCTGCTTCATAAATTGTCTGCCCCCTGTCAAGAGTCTTGTGTGCCTAGATTATTGATTAAGGCCTATATTTGATGCAAAGGGATTAAATGCATTATTTCCTCTCATACCCAGACACACTGTACACACTATCAGTTCTGTTAGTAGCCCTTTCCAACAGAGTGTCAAAGGGCTACAGATTGTCTGCAGTGTGAAAGGGGCTACAGATTTGTATTAATTAACTGATTTAATTAATAGGAAAAGGACAAAGGCTGATTCACAAACCTGTTTCCCGGATCTGCATAAGTGCAGAATAAAAAATGAGTAGACAGAGCTGCTGAAATCAATTTTAAACAACTGTATCATATCCGCATCCGAGTCCTGATTATTTCTGTTACATTGTGTTCATTAAAATGTTCCAAAATATTTAAGTAGCATGTATATAGTGCATTGAGAAATGCATTTCCACTGACGCCAGTGGACGGCGGTGTTGGCCCTGTGTTTTAACAACATTTAAAACATTTAAAACTCCGCGAACAAATTAATGCATACACCATATGACGCATCCATCAGTTAAAATGATAAAGGTAAAATTGACCAATGTATTGTTTGATGATTTCCCAATGTAAAGAAAATTTTTTCCAATCCTCGCCTTATTATGATTCATATTTTGTGGCATCAGCTGCATGTCAGGGTTTTGTCTCATTAGAGTTTAGTGTTTGTGTGTATGCATGTGTGTGTGTGTGTGAGATATGAGACAATGGAAAAAGTGTTTGTATATCCATCCATCCATTTTCTTCCCCTGATTCCATTTCTGGGTCGGGGGGTGGGGGGGGGCAGTCAGCGCTGCACCCAGTTCACAAAGCACCAGCATGTACTGGGTGCAGCGCTGCATAGTTCATATACTAAACTACTATTTTAATACCGCTACTCAATTCAACTGAGAAAATCACAGGTACTTCCACTGTTTGCGTGACTAAAAAAGTCTTCCTCCTGTGTATTTAGAATAGCGTCAATGCAGCTCAACTGGTCCAACATGACTTCAGACACAGGGCTAGGACTCTGTGATGTGGCTTCATTTATATCCTTTGACAAACAAGGGTCGAGTGTCAAAATGGTTTTGTAAACAATACTCTTCATGCAATTCAACCGAAGAGACCAAGACAGAAACATGAATGCAAGAAAAAGAGTGATTGGCGCATTGACCCCGGCAGTGACACTTGCAGAGGGGAGATTGTCTGCTGCTGGAGAAGATCTCAGACCCCCCGGGGTCAAGTACTGGTGGTGGCTAGAAGCATGGTGTAAATGGGGCGCAGGCGGAGCAGAAGCCAGAGCTGGAGACAGAGCTGGAGCCACAGCAGGAGCCAGGTCAGGAACCAGGGCAGGAGCCAGAGCGGAAACCCGACTAGGAGCCAGTGGCCGGTCTTTCAGTCTGAATCTGCGCGTTCAGCATCAATATTCTTGTGTTTGAGATTTACCCAAATGTGTTCCTAATCCAAAACAGACCTGCAGTTTTTTCAGCTCCATACATCCTTATATGATAAACTGTTGGCACGCTCAGAGGTTTATAGTAGTTAACACGACAGTAATTAACAGTCCAAATGCATCAAAGTCAACTGAGCAAAGACTGAAAAACTAAATTGAATGTTCTGGAAATAATGACAGAGACAACCACCAGTGTCTGCTCCAGTGTCTGCTCCAGTGTCTGCTCTAGCGTCTGCTCTAGCGTCTGCTCTAGCGTCTGCTCTAGCGTCTGCTCCAGCGTCTGCTCCAGCGTCTGCTCCAGCGTCTGCTCCAGATCTGCTCCAGCGTCTGCTCCAGCGTCTGCTCCAGCGTCTGCTCCAGCGTCTGCTCCAGCTCTGCTCCAGCGTCTGCTCCAGCGTCTGCTCCAGCGTCTGCTCCAGCGTCTGCTCTAGCGTCTGCTCCAGCGTCTGCTCTAGCGTCTGCTCTAGCGTCTGCTCAAGCCTCTGCTCCAGCATCTGCTTTAGCGTCTGCTCTCATCTGCTCCAGCGTCTGCTCCAGCGTCTGCTCTAGCGTCTGCTCCAGCCTCTGCTCCAGCGTCTGCTCCAGCGTCTGCTCCAGCGTCTGCTCTAGCGTCTGCTCTAGCCTCTGCTCCAGCATCTGCTTTAGCGTCTGCTCTAGCATCTGCTCCAGCGTCTGCTCCAGCGTCTGCTCTAGCGTCTGCTCCAGCGTCTGCTCCAGCGTCTGCTCCAGCGTCTGCTCCAGCGTCTGCTCTAGCGTCTGCTCCAGCCTCTGCTCCAGCATCTGCTTTAGCGTCTGCTCTAGCATCTGCTCCAGCGTCTGCTCCAGCGTCTGCTCCAGCGTCTGAACTAGCGTCTGCTCCAGCGTCTGCTCTAGAGTCTGCTCTAGCGTCTGCTCCAGCGTCTGCTCTAGCGTCTGCTCCAGCCTCTGCTCCAGCGTCTGCTCCAGCGTCTGCTCCAGCGTCTGCTCCAGCGTCTGCTCCAGCGTCTGCTCCAGCGTCTGCTCTAGAGTCTGCCCCAGAGTCTGCTCCAGCGTTTGCTCCAGCGTGGGTGGGTCCTGACCGTTTAGGTGGTGGTTTAAGGTCATTCATAAGATCAAATGAACACACATAGGGCAGGTTGTTTTTTCATGCTCTTCCATCTACCTTTGCACCACTTACAGTGCTGCTGCACAATCGGGGAACATCAGGGAAGTACTCGAACATAAAGTAAACAATCTGGACTGGAATGTATGATCTGATAGATGAACCAATCTGATAATTTTTTGTCATGTTTTGCTGCATAATAAACATTAACTTTGGACTTTCATCATTTATATAAAGAACACTTCTTTTATCAACATTCATTCACGTTGGTCACTCCTTATTTTGTGTCAAAGTTTAGTCACCTGTCAGGCTGTGGCAAGCGTACTGCACTGTCAGACTGTAGTAGGAGTGCTGCTGCACTGTCAGACTCCTGTAATGTCATGTCTCCTTTGGGTCCTGGGGTCTGTCTCTTGGACCGGTGGGGTCCTGGAGCCTCTGCTTTGTGTCTCCTCTGGGTCCTCTGCCGTCCCCTGTGGCTACGGGCGGCTCTCTGCTCCTGGTGCAGACAGCTCCTTGGATGGCACTTCTTCAGCTGGTTACATCTGCACCTCTCTCTCTTCATGGTTTTACTGTTTTACTGGTGTGTGTGTGTGTGTGTGTATGTGAGGGAGCGTGCGAGAGCAAGTGTGAGAGTGTGTGTGTGCGTCTGCGCATGTGTAATAAATGGTTTGGGGTGGTTCTGTTGGGTGGTCGGGGGGAGGGGTCATGGGCGGGCGGGATGGTTTTTCTTTACCAAATTGCAAAGCACTTTGTGTTGCGTCTTCTGTATGAAAAGCGCTTTATGGATAACATTTGATTGAGACTATAGTAAGAGTACTGCTGCACTGTCACATACACAGATCCTGACACACATAATAAGCTGTCATATATTTACCACCATGTTCTTTGTGTTTCAGAATGGGCAATAACCAGAGCAGTGACAAGTTGGTCGTTAACCAATACCTGGACGGACAGGGCCCGCCCACACTGGAGCAGGCCGGTGGGTGTCAGTGCGCATTGCTAGCGGATCACCCTGTTAACCTTAACCCTAAACCGAACCCCAGTCTTCATCCTAACCACAGGAAACCCTAGACCCAACCCTAACCTCCAACCCCTAACAATATGCCACTAAAGTCTAGATGGCCTAAGAACTGTCACTGGTGATGAGCGGTGAGGACTGAAGGCAGAGAGAAAAAAGCTCTGAGGAAAGGAAAGTCAGTGCACGTCTTCATACGGACGCATGTGAAGAACTGGCGGAAGCTTGAATCAAAACTCAGCTTCTTCTGCAGTAGAGGACCAGAGACAGGGGTCCATCACCATCACTTTCCATTTGAGCTCGCTGGTCCCAAAGTGACTACTGAATCATGTCTGCCTCTGACCTGCAAGTGTCCGTCCATCCATCCATCCATTTTCTTCCCCTTAATCCATTTCTGGGTCGGGGGTGGCTCTCACAGCTGCACCCAGTTCACATAGCACTAGCTCCTCACTGATTCTCTGCAGGTGGTGAGTCCACAGGAGCATTAATCCTTCAGCAGGGGGGGGTTAAGTGTCTTGCCCAAGGACACAACAACAGCAGACCTCAGTGGGAGTGGTGAAGTAGGTCTTTTGGTGGGCTCAAAACCACTCTACCCACTCAGCCACTATCGCACCTGTATGTGTCAGACACGTAATTCCCCGAAAACAATCTTTGAGAGTACAAGCTACACGAATAGGAGAGTGAAGGGCAGTTTTACCTCGCTACACTTGTGCACCCTCAGAGGATAACACCGGAACAGTTATTGGGAAAGTCAATTTACTGTAGTATACTGTGTGTGCACACCTATTTCAAAACCATTTTTACCAAAGCACTGTATACCGTTAACTCTACACATGAGTATGTACACATTAAGTTGTTAATTAGTGTTTGTTACAGCTTCAAAAGGCCCCCCCAAGGTGAACTGCCAGCCCCCAGGACACATGACGTGGGTGGTTCTGCACAGAGACCTGCCGGGCTTCTCCAATGACAACACCCTTCAGGTCAACTTCAGCTTCCCCGCGGGCATGCAAATGGTGGGTCCACACACTCTCACTTTTCATATAAAGCTGGTTACCAGCTTGCTATTAGCTGAGCAGATATTTCTCCAATATTGCATTTCAGAAATAATATCAGCAGACAGATTTTCCCTATTATATTATCACTATCCCCTCATGACACAGGACTGTGGCCTATGGCCAGTGCCTACAAAAATATTTGTAGGAATCGTTGAAATTAACATTGAATGTGTTCTATAACCCTTTAATATAACATATAGCTGGACTCTCTGAGAAGCTCAGAGTCTGTAAATTTGTAAATTTGCAATTTGCCTCAGAAAAAAAGCTGTTCAAATATAACTTTTTGAAAAACATCTCAATGATTTGATTAATTAACTTTACATAACTTAACTTAATATAATATAACTTACAGCGTCATGTGCTTTGCAGGAAGGCCACCCCCATCCGGGTCAACCCTACCCCAGCCTGCGTCTCTGTGCCTACCTGCCTGACAGTCGGGAGGGCCGCAAGGTTCTGGGGCTGCTAGAGAAGGCCTTCCAACAGCAACTCATCTTCAGTGTGTCCACAGACATCCACGGAGAGGACGTGGTGTGTCCTGCAGCTGTGCCCCTCAAGACCCAGTCCGAGGGGGGGGCCGCCATGTGAGTGTCAGCTACTGGAGCTCCAACACTTTGAGATTGTGATTAGTCCGTTCACAATCCATATTAACAGTCAAGATCAATATTTTATACAATTTACTAAGATTTGCTGAGATAAGATAAACACAGCATTGTAGAGAAGTAGCATCATCCTTCTGACTTCTGAATATCAGAAGTCAGCGTCCCCAAGTCTCTGCTGTAAACAGCAGAGACTTGATTGATTGAAGCCGTACATATTTCAACTTGATAATGCTGTTGTTATCGTATGCTTGGCTCTATAGCACAACTGGTTTGGTATGAAACACATAACATGTGCTTGAAATGAATAGCTTTAATTTAAGATAAGATAAGATGCAATGTTATTGATCTCACATGTCACAATTGGTGGGACGACAGTAGCTCAGTTGGTAGAGCATTGGCCTTTGGGCCTGAAGGTCGGGGGTTTGAGACCACTGTAAGACCTACTTCACGACTCCCACTGATGACTACTGTCGTTGTGTCCTTGGGCAAGACACTTAACCCCACTTTGCCTGAAGCCCCTGCTGAAAAATCTCAGCTCTTGTGGACTCACCACCTGCAGGAGGATCAGTGAGGGGCTGGTGCTCTGTGTACTGGGTGCAGCTCTGACTGCCACCCCCCCGACCCAGAAATGGATTAAAGGGAAGAAAATGGATGGATGGATGGATGTCACAATTGGCATACCAGTGATACCACAGCGACACCACAGTGACACCAGCGACACCAGCGACACCAGCGACACCACACATGAGAGAATGACTTGTGTTGGTCGGCCAGTGTGTTCGGCATCTAGCTTTCTCTTGTGGAGAGATTGGAGAACTATCTGAACTCTGAACATTGTAAAGTGCTTTGGGTGACCCTGGTCTGTAAAATGTGGCGTATCACTAAAGATGAAAACAACTTACACAGGGACACCACACATGCCCACAGTTCATGGCACTAGCACCACACATGCCCTTCCTTCTTGAGGTGGAGTGTCTGTATTCACAAGTCTTGGGGAGTATTCTTCATCCGAACAACGGTAGTGAAGGCAATAATACTTCTGACCCCGAATTTACACCAAGCGACACATGTAACATAACATAAGGTGTAACACACATGTACATTTTACACATTGCTTAAGTGTAAATTGATTGCATCGTCCACAGTTGTGGTATCTAATATATTGTCACCTCTCTGATGGGCTTTTTTGATTTTTCAGCCTAAAGGCTGAAAGGATGGGTTTCTTAGTGACAGATCATGTCATCTTTAGAGCTGACCACCACAATTTTCAAATGCAAGTACTGGATCACAATTGTAATCTGCCAACGCACAATCTGCCCTTTGTGTGTTGGCTAAAAAAGAAACGACACACTTCAAAAAGTGGGAGGCTCTCATAAAAACTTGTAATTCTTACGTCCTCCACTTATTTTCATAAAGAGTTTAAAGTGCAATACATGACAATTACTGATTCAAAAACATGTTTCGTTACAGGAACGGTTACCCTGATGACGACTACCTCAAGACAGTGACGAGAGTCTTGAAGGAGAAGCTCGACCAATGAGAGGAGAGGCTGCTGAGGACCCACTGCAATGGACTGTCATAGGACTTTGATATAGTGTTATTTTATACTTGTGCCGTAATTTTGCTTTATATTTATCCATATATATATATATATATATATATATATACAGTACAGACCAAAAGTTTGGACACACTTTCTCATTCAATGAGTTTTCTTTCTTTTCATGACTATTGACTGTAGATTCGCACCAGGCTGTGTAAGGGCCCTTTGACCAATAAGGAGAGTGATGGGTGCTGGGCCAGATGACCTGGCCTCCACAGTCACCGGACCTGAACCCAATCCAGATGGTTTTGGTGTCTCTCTGTATCGTGTATCCAATCGGAAGAGGTGCATGCTCTGACGCCGCGCAGGGCCTGCTAGCGGGCCCTCAGGAAACAGATTTAACACTGATTGGTTAATGCCACAGGTTTGTTTTTAGTGACGATAAGCTACCGGGGGCCAGCAATGTGGACTCAGAGGCCCAGAGGCAAATTATGGGCCATAGCAACACATGACGCTGAGCAATGATTGGATAAAAACTCTGTTAGACGCCAGACCTCCCGAATGTCGACCTGAAGTTGGAAGCTGCGCAACCAACGTAGTTTGTGAAAAGATAAACATAGAAAACATATAATAGTAGAACTAATTTATATTATATATATTATAAAAATTATATGTAATTACGTGAAGGCTGTGCAGGCCTTGAGGGTCCGCAACTGCTTCACACACATAGAACATTCATAAATGTGAGCCAGTGTGAGCAGGGGCTGGTCTACATGCCGCTCAGGACTGGTCTGAGGGCCATTGTGTGAGCTCAAGAATAGCCAGGCCCCTCATGTGTGTGATAAGTCTGAGGTCTGGGGCCCCTGGGAGCCCGGCCCCTTGTCTGAAAGCCTGAGTCTCTCGATCCCTGGCCTGGTCTAAAGCCCTGCATTCAGATACAGGACTTTGTGTGACAAAGAACAGGCTAAAGGTGCTATCTTTAGCCATCTCCTCACTATCGGCCCACAGACCACAAGGCTGTCCACGTTTTGGGAAGTCACTAAGGACTTACTGAGAATACATATTCAGAATATTCTGAAAAAACAGCTACTTTTTCTTTGTTTCTTTTTCTAAAATGAAAGGAAACGATTGTGGTTCTTGATAATGTAATTTAGGGCTTCAAAGAAAATGGCATTTGTCTGATATTCCTTTACGGATTAAAAAAGATTGTCTAAAGGTCAAGGCACAGCAACCCTGTCTGGTTTGGTCTGCAGAGTTTCATTGTCCTGAGGGTCTGAAGTTTGCGCATCAGTAATAATCAGAGCTGGATCTTTGTCAAAACAGGGAAACAGTAGAAGACACAAGTATTGAAAAGTACACTTGAAAAAGGAAATTGGGCCTCTGTATATCTAAATGAAATTAACAAAAGGGGTGAATCCAACACGATGTAAATCATTTTAATTATAGGTTTGAATTTCCTTCTGCCGAAGTGTTTGAAGGAATTAAACTCGGAGCTCAACATACTCAGCAGCTGACTGTTTACTATTCTCTTGTTTTAAAGAAGCTTTCCCTGATTATTTTTTGTAGGAGTTCATAAAAAAGGTTATTACTACATACAAGTTGTATTTTTATCCGTAATTGAGCTCATTGATGCAGTTTGAGTATGAATTCAGGCCGTAAAAAGTGCTGAGTAGAAACTTAGCATGACGCCCGCTCTCCTCCAATCACAGAACGAGGAGCGAACAGATTAGCCTCTACAGCGCTGCTAAACACAGTAGCATGTTAGCAGAATTGGCTACAACTCCTCCGGCTGTAAATGCATACACAGCAAAACAGCCAAAACTACACAACAGCGAGGAAGAGAAGAGGGAACTAAAGTGAAAAAATGATCAAAGAAGAAATCAAGCCCAGGTGAAGCTAGATTACATTGTATCCTCTGGAGAGACCTGCGGGACCGCCATGGACTACATTTGGACGCGAAACAGGCGGTAATCTTTCAGTTATATATTTTGTTAGCAGTGCGTTGCTTTTGTACCATTTCATCAGTGATTGTTGCACAGCTTACAAGAAGTTGCGCTCATGCAAATGTTAGCATATGTATCAGATCGCAAATAAAACTAGATGGCTCCGTGGAATTAGAGCGTAGGGGAAATGAAAGACCTGTGAGCGACTTGGACGTTTTGGACATGTGATGATTTATTAATCTCATGTGCATTATTGGTCTTTATAACTTGTTTGTATCTTTACATAGTCATGTAATTCTTTTTATTATCTTTTACTTTTGAATGTGAGGAGTTCTACCTCAGGAGTTAACTCATTTTCCACCAGAGAATATCAAGTGCTAGTTACCACCGCAACACTCCAGTTTAAGCTCTCATTAAAAGTGAGTAAAGGTAAAGATCTTATAAATGACTTTCTCTTAATGAATCTGGTGAAAAGGTAAAACATCTTTGGGGGAACTTCTGGGAGCAGTCAAAATGAGCAGCTTTAGAATTCTGGGAGTCCTCGTGTGAAAAGAAAACAGCTTTAACCTACACACAATCTTCTCCTTACACACTGCCGGACTTTTTCATCTGGGGCTCCGATGTCCTGAACCCCCCCCCCTTTTTTTACGCACACCCTTCTAAATTAAAGAGCCTGATGAAACCGTGCGCACCTCATTTGTCACCAATACTCTACAGCGCTGCGGCACAGTCCTCACCCTCCCTCCCCTCCTCACCCCCACCTATCCATTCCCCCACAAATTGGGATTATGCAAACTCTCCGTTCTTTTTCCCGAGCCGCCCAATTGATCGTTTTGACAACAATAATTCCCCTGCCGAACCTAGCCCACCTATAAGCCACTCCAGAGGCTATGCGGCAATATTGCGACGGGGCCGAAGACAAATTTGACAGGTGCAAAGAGAAAGAAAGGAAGGAGGCTGCTGCCACGCTTTACGGATGGAGTGTCCAGGAGAAAGTGCTTTAAAAGAAAAGAGCCCGGGTGACTGTCGGGGCCCCTGATGTGATTAGGCCTTATTGTGGGCGCGCGGACCTGCCCACTAATCCGGTTTGAGGGCCCGAGGTAAAGAGGAAAGTTCAGGCCAGGCAATATCGACTGATGCTTTAGTGCGGGACAAATGGAGTGCTCAAAGACTGCGCTGGAGTTGTTATGTTTTGATACAGAACTGCAGACATGTGGCTCCCAGGGGCCCCAGCTCGGTGTCTATGAGAGACTGGAGATGCATGGAGGGTGGTGAGAGGCAGGAGAAGGCAAAGGAAGAGTCACGAGTCCCTCATGAGGCAGAATTCTATAAAGGAAATATAGATAGTGATACACTGCCCTTGAAAAGTTTGGGGTCATTTAGAAATGTCCTTCTTTTTAGAGAAAAGCTCGAAGTTTCTAGAGAGGTGAATATAAAAAACAGATAATATGCTTTGATGGTTTAAGCTAAAATAGAGAATAGCTGTATTAGTCAATGAACTATCTCTTATTTAGACGTTTTAAATCAGTATCGTGGCATATACTCTGTCATTTGTTACTAAATCTTTTGTCACTCCTTCCATTGTATATATAGCGTGTATCCATACTTCTTACACATTCCAACAGAACATTTTGATCTATATTTATAAAGGAAGGCTAACTTTAAATGATTCCAAATGACTGGAGCCGTATTGTGTTTGATTTGATCCGGATGGAAGCGTAATCCTCATGGTCTCATCTTCACAGGACAAACTGTCACTCTGTTTGTTAAAGCTGACCCCAGCGCGGTGAGGCCACGGCGGGCAGACAGATGGACACTGGAGTCAACAGTACAGATAATAAGACAGAATGGTCTGTTATTGGCAGATGAGACCGTGTCCACGAGGAGAGTTTCTGAAAATAATTGAAGAAGATAGAACAGGTTGCGTTGTAGTGCTCAGAGGAGCCAGGAGGAGCCATGGCATCTCAGGTGGAAGAGAATATAAATGACTCAAACATACAATTACCCTTTAACATTTATTCCTCGTAAAAAGAAATGTCATTTCTTTATTTTTCGTTTTTCTTTCAATGTAGGAGCACTAATGGACCTAATATTTTTTTCTAACCCCCCAGCTTGTTTTTGTTGTAGTCTTTAACTAAATGGTTGAGATGCAGTTTGGTGGTAAAAGTCCCTAAAACCAAGTGAGACGCCCCAAAGAGGTTAATTTCAGCTCCAAACAGATTCATGCAGCTAAAATCTCGAAACAATCTTCCTGAAAGTGTGAGACAGGCCACTTCTCTGACAATGTTTAAATCCAGGTTAAAAACAGTTGCTATGTTCAGCACGGCAGCACGGTGGCTGAGTGGATTGCACTCGCGCTTCTCAGCAAGAAGGTCCTGGGTTCAAATCCGGGATGGAACCGGGCCTTTCTGAGTGGAGTTTGCATGTTCTCCCTGTGTATGTGTAGGTTTCCTCTGGGTGCTATGGTTTTCCCTACCTCTAAAAACATGCACAATAGGTATGAATGTAAATGAGAGAATGAATGGATGGTGTTGATTAGGGGCTGATGCATCTGTGTGTTCGGCGACCTCTTTCCGCCATCACCGTGTGTGGAATGATTGGTACAATATCTGAAACTCTGAACATTGTAAAGCGCTTTGGGTGACCTAAACATTACTTACTTACAAGTTGCCGTGTGTATGAATTGTGCTATACAAATAAATGTGCCTTGCCAAGCTTAAAGTAGATAAGTGACTCAGCACGTGATCTTCCAAATGTGTCGAAGAAACCATTAAAGGGTTGATAACTAAAACTAGTGTGAGTCTAGAACAAGAACAACTTTAGCATGTCAGCTCCCACAAGCCTTTAAAATTACCTGAAATTACCTTTGGGACTTGTTGTAGGTCAGCACACACACACAAACACACATGCACGGACACAAAAACCTACACACACACACACACACACACACGCACATACACATTTATAGAAATTAATCTGCTCGTAATGTCTTGCATTGGGGGTGGGGTGTTAATCAAAGAGGTTTGCGTGTGAGCGATAGTGATGTATGGGTCT